GGAAGCAATCTAACAAAAACCTTTGTTAAGATTGTCGATAAAGTAGGCTTTAATAAGCTCTAGCTCAAGGATCGACATCTTGTACAATAATGAGTACCGAAGCGCCTTCTCCTCTCCTTCGAGAAGCTCGATTTTGTGGTCGTAAGGCCTGTATAGTGCTAGCACGTTACTAGCGGCCTTAGAGAACACGTGTGCGTAATCGGAGTATTCGGGAAAGATAGGAAGGTCGTCAGTAAGCTCTGATAGTTCCGTTGCAAAATCAATAGCAAAGATAGAGCCGTTGATGAAGCGTGTTAGCGATGCTTGGTGGTCAGCCTAAGTAGAAGCAATCGTCTGACGCTCGGAGATCAAGCAATCGAGCTCGTAAAAGGACGTAGAGAACAGTTCTACGTCTTTTTAGCGAGCGATCATATAAAAGGCGTGTCCGAAGACGCTGTTGATTTTGAAGTTTCCATTAATTTTATGCTTAGATGTTTAGCGGAAGCGTTTGACGAGTAAAAGAGGTTCTACGAAGGCGATGTCGGTTGACACAAGCTTACGGTTCATCTAAAACATTGATTTAGCGTAGTCCTTGGAAAAGGTGTTTTTCGTAAAGCGAAAGAGTGACGGCTCTACGAGAAGGTGAATAAAAGAAAAGGGTTCAACGATCTTAAAAAAAGAAGCGGAGAGAGGACGATTCCGAAAAGAAAGAGGTGATTCAACGATTATTATTGCTGCCTGATCCGCCCGTAAACTATAGTTCACGAGTGAATTAGCGTCGTAAGCTCTCTAAAGGCGGTCCAAGGCTCGATCACGCTTATTAGCGTCGTGTTAGTGACGAGCGTTTACTTTACGCTAGTTAAAGTATATAATCTCAATAGGTTTAGCGTAAGTAGCGGTCGGAAGGTTGGAACGAAGCTAATAGAGCTTGCGGCGAGCGCAGTCAAAGAGAATCTGGTGCTCAACTAGCTATGCTCGTCCGAGGATCACGCTATGATTCCCAAGGTTAATGATAAGAAAAGGAGTAAAAGATTAGACGCGCTTGTCAACCGTAAGGTTGAGAAGTGCAAAATGTAAGATAGTAGCTCTACGAGCTCTATTGTATGACTTGACAAGGAATAAGGCCGAGAAAGGTTGAATCAAAGGTTTGAGAAAGAAAGAAAGCGATTTGAGTAGCGCTAAGTCAATCAGCGCGTACCTATTAGCTCTTGAATCGAGCAAAGCAGATACCTTGTACGAAAAGCCATTCTTAGTAAGAGTGACGGGTATAATCATAGCTTTGCCACTAAGAAGCTTCGTAAGGTCGAAGTATCGCATATCTCGAAGCTAGCTTAAGAAAGAGGCTTTGCTTAAGCCTCGACGTTTCCCTTATTATCGAGAGCGTCGAGGTCAGCAAGAGGGAGCTCCTGGTGATCCTTAAGAGCGTCGGAGTAAGGCCCATCGTCCGAGTCATCCGAATAAAGGCCGTATTCGGGTCTAGCGCCGTATTCTATCTCGTTGACTGAGTAGTGGCGGAAGAGCTTCGGCGTATTCGGGTCCTTACGGGACGATCTAAGGGTTTTGATTGCTAACCTAGGGGCGTTTCCGAGAGAAGAGAATTTGTTAAATCGATTGGATCGATCTGCACTAGCGCCAAGGCTGTTGAAGGTTTAGCGCTAAGAGGTAAGGAAAGAGACGAGGGCTGAGCTACCTTAGCGGTTCTCGTAATAAGTGATTTGCTTGACCGCTGCTCCTTAAGCCGAGCGGGATTCGGTACGAGCTCCATTATAAGAGCTCTTCGCGAATTGAGTATTATACCTGGCTTATGGAGCATCGTAGAGCCTTGCAAACGCGTATTGGCCAGCAGCCAATTGTTGGACGGCGGTCTGAAAGTCCCTGAAGGTTATAGTCTTAGCAAATTCCAAATAGAGCTGGTCGCGCAGCGTTTTGGTGATCTTAGAACGCAAGGCCTCACGTAATCGGTCCTCGTCCTTGATTTCGGCGGTAGCGGCAAGCTCCGAGAAAACAAAGTAGAAGTCTTAAAATTGCTAGTTAGGCCTTATATAGAGTTTTTCGAACTCAATTGACGCTTTGGCCTTCTTAGCGGGGTCGTTCAAGAACTCGAAGGCGATCTGGACGAGTTCCGGGGCGGTTACGAGGTTGCTACGATCCATGACCAAAAGAGCCAAGAACAAGTGGGCTGTTCCTTCGGTTTAGTCAAGGACGTAGTTCTTGCGTTGGCGTTCTATAAAAAAGTATTCTTCGAAAGCTTCCAAGTTGTCGAGGACGCGGGCTTGCCAGTGACGTGCTCGGTAGCTTACGCCGTCTGAGAGCTTCTGTTCAAAGTTAAGGATCCGCTCGATACGAGCGCGACCTTAAGAAGCTAAAGAGAAGGCTCCAAGAGTGTTGAACCTAGCTAAAGTGCGGAGGTTGGTTGGCCTGTGAAGAGAAAGTGGTTCATCGTCGTCGGCGAAGAGGCGGCGAAGGTTAGCGGTTCTATAAGTAAAGGGAGTGGCCTGGGGGACCGAAGGCCTGTATAGCTCCTTGCCTTTGGAATTATTTTCGAAGGAAACTTAAAGAGGCTTTGACGAGCGTTCCGTAGTTAGCAAGACCGCCTAGAGCTGGTCCAGTTCCTTTCGAGCTCGACGGGCCTCTTTTTTAGCCTTTTCGGCGAAGGTTTTTTGTTCGCTAGCGCTTTTATCGAGCTCTTCGTTGCGGGTTTTCATGTCTGCGAAGAGCTTTCTGAGCTCAGCGGCCTTTCGTTAAGACTAAAAAAGAGCTTGGTGTTGGGCCAAAGCTTCCTCGAAGTTAGTAAGGGCCGAGGGATCATCTTCATCGTCTTGCTCACTAGTAGCTTCTTCTTGAGTAGAAAGAACTGCTAGTTAGGCCGTAGAAAAGGAGGAAGGAGCTGCTAGAGCAGCTTTAAAAGGTGTGCGGAGGATTTTGCCCGCGGGGCGAGGGTTGCTGTGTTATATAAGTGCTATCCTTCAAGTTGTACTTAGAATAAGCCTTCTCGTGACCGTTAGAGTCGTCTAAATGTTTTTTGACGTCCAACCACTAAGGAATTCTAAAGAAGAGGAATATTATTGAAGCCGTTCCCGGCGGAGTGAGGTAATTGTTGATAATGTGACGACCTTAAGCGATTACCTAAAAGAACTCACGGGAGCGCGAGGTTCATATAAGAGCTCAAGAGAATCTCAAAGTAATGACTTAGAATCAACAACTACCGAGTGTAGAGGTCGAAAGTAGCTGAGGTCTATATACACGAAAGTAGAAGCGCCAAGGACTCGTGAACCATAGTTCATAGGTCAAAAGCGGGGAATGAGAGAATACGAAAAATACGAAAGGAAAAAGGAGGGAAGTAGCTTGGCGCATGTGAGGTGCGTCCAGGAGACCTGGCGTGTCGTCACACCGTAGACGAAAAAGGGGACACGCTAATAGCGACATCGGATTATCACGTGGACAATACTACTAGCTTATCCTCTTCGTTTGTAAAAGGCTCGAGCATTGCTGCTGGCTAAGATGCTTAAAACAACTTTATATGTTAAGCACGCCGATACGGCACCGCGGCACCCGCCGCAATCGATAGCCCTTTAAAGAAATCCAAGTCTATTAAGCGAACGTAAGCAAAAGGCAGCTACACTATATTGCTTTACTCTACTTTTGCTATTCGGCAAACATTAACGTTATCTATGTTTAAGAGCCGTATACGCACTCGAGTATTAAAACTTAAAACCACTCGTTTTACAAATGTTATGCTTCGATAGAATCGTAAGATAGTCAAGACGATGCTTAGTACTTCGTTAAGCGATCACGAGTGATGACTTACGTGCGCAAGAGCGTAGGTCTTCGCACTTAGCAGCGCCGTTTTATTCGCAACAAAGATCTTTTGTAAGTCGATATGAACGGCTTCGCTACTTTGAACGTCTATCGGCAACCTTTGATAGACTCGATTATAAATTATATCACTTACCTTGTCTCTTTTTTTAAGTGCTTGATTAAAAGGGACTTCAATATATAGCACGACATATTCGAACTAAAGGTTAAGCTTAAAGGCCGAAGAAGAGACCTTGCGGCTTGGTCTAATGCTAATAAGATAGACTACATTAGACTCTCGAGCGACCTTACTTATAAAGCTGGTCACGTTCTAGACTTGACCTTTTTAAATATCCCGTTTGCTTAAACGACAATTCGCTTCGATCTTTATTCGAGCTTAAACTACGAGACTTAAGTTACGACTATCTTTAGCTAAGGAGTCGTTCTTTTAAAGCGCTTTTAATACCGAGTACTAGACTAAAACTTCGAGAAATTCGCTTCGCTTATAGCGCTAAGCGTAGACCAACTCTCCGACCCGTAGACGATACACTCTATTAAAGAACTCGATTAGCTTGCGATCAGCTTAGCTATTGCTTTTAACTTTGCTTTAAAAGTTGCGGAATAGCCCGCTCGAGAAAGGCTGACGGCTGTATTATAATAGACGGCAGACTGCTAGACAGCGTATAAGAAACACTTAGCAGCGCGCTCCGTAGTATACGACGGAGAACCGACTTAAAAAACGCGAGACTAGCTCGTTATAATCAAGAAAGCTAAGAAGGCTTATTAGACTTACGTGATCGACGGAGTGAAATCGGACTAAGACTTGTATAAAGTTATAAGCTAGCACAAGCTTACTCCGAACTTAAAATCGCTTCTTTTAGTAGTCAACGACGAGGCTATCGAAGATACTAAAGAGAAAGCGGACGCGCTGCGAGAAGGCATCTTTAAACGGTTTAGCGCCGCCGACGACCTCGATTACGATCCACTCGCTAATTGAGAAAGCATTAGCCGGCTCTTTTAAGATATTACGGTATTATTAAAAGAAATGGAGTCTTACGTAATCAAAGTGATAAGCACTTTACTCGAAACGGACAAGATCACCGTACGACTGCTTAAAGCATGCTAGCAATACGTTTATCTCTTCTTCTATAGCTTTTTTAACAAGTGCTTGGCTCTTTATTATTTCTCGGATGCGTAAAAGCTTACCGAAATCTCGATGATCTTTAAGGTAAAGAAAAAAGACAAGACTTTTATCCGCTTTTAACGACCGATTGCTTTGCTTTCGTGCATCTTTAAAAGACTAGAGCGCATCGTTGCGAAGAGAATTGCGTAGACTGCCTTTACTAACGACGTCTTTAGCTTATAACACGCGAGAGCTCTCTTACAGCGCTTTGCATTAGACCTCGCTTCGTGCTTAACACACGATATCGAGTCCGCACTTGTAATTAAATACTAAGTTATTATAGTTATTATAGACGTTTAAAGAGCCTTCGATGCGGTCTTGATCCGTCGCTTCCTTAAACGCATAACGGAGCAAGGCTAGCCGTACTCACTGCTTAAGCTGATAGAATCCTTTCTTTTAAACCGTAAAGTCAAGGTCCGACTAAAGAAAGAAATCACGGATACATACGACGTAAAGTGCGGCACTCCGTAAGGATCCTCGTTATCATCGGTGCTTTATATGCTCTACTTAGCTGAGCTACTCAATTAAGACCGGATATTGCGCTTCGAGTACGCTGACGATATCTGCTTGTATCGCGTTAGTCGCACTTTCGACCGGAACATCGTTATGCTTCGAGACGATGTTAATTCTATTATTAAGTGAAGTAACATTTATAAGATCGCTTTCGCTTTAAAGAAGATCGAGATAATGCACTTCTCTCGTAAGAAAGGTACGTATGCCTTTCTTCTCGTAGTCGATACTATGACCATTTCGTGCATCACTACGGGTCCGAAGGACGAGGACATACTTGCGATACGATAGCTTAAGGTTTGGTTTAACCGCAAGCTGAAGTTTCGCCGACACGTCCGGGAACGAGCGGCTAAAGTTAAGAAAGTCGCTTAGCATATCCGCAATCTCGCTAAGACAGTCCACGGTCTCTCTACGGCTTTATTGCGCAAGGCAATTACTACTTGCGTGCTGCTTTCGGTGCTTTACGGCACGGAAGCGTAGTACGCAAAGCGCTATCGCTTAATCTGTAAGTCCGAAAGACTAAAAGTTGTTAGCGCTCGAGTCGGAAGGATAGTTGACCTTATTAATAAGACGATAACTTTCGCGGCGCGCGAAGTACTTTCGGTCTAGAGAACGATACTAACGGCAACGCTCTTTCGAGATGCCGAGCTCTTTTTTAGCGCTACAGCCTTAAAAGAAGCTAAGGCTAGGTTTGCAATAAGACTAAAGACGGTAGACGACAAGCACTTACTAGTCAGCCGGATACCTTTGCGGATCCGATAACGCGGTCGCGGCGCAAAGACTATTAAGATCTTCGAGACTAAGATCTAAAGACTAAGAACTCTTTTCTTAAACGTTCTCCGCTTTCGCTTCGTCCTTCCGCACTTTACATCGAAGAGCAGACGGAACCCGGCGGACGGCAAAACGAAGAAGGAAGCTGCTGCCGCATTCGAAGCATAATAGCAATAGCTTCCGCTAAAAGACATTACGATTTTTTTAGACGGGTTAGAATAGTACGATTAAAGCAATCGATTAATAAGCTACAGGTACGTAATCTATCGAAGACGATAAGAGATAAGCTACGGGTACGGCTTTATTAACGATTGCTCTTACGTTTTTAACGCAAAAGCGATAAGGGCATAAAAAAGCCTCGAACGAGTAGTGCACGCTTATCCGACGGCGAGACGGATCTAGCTTTGCATCGATAGCACATCAGTCATCTAGTGTCTTCGCGAAAATGCTTCTTTATTATCGCAATAAGCGTTCTTGAACGTCTAAAAGGTGATAGAGACTCGAGACGTGCGAATACGATGGTCCTTAAAGCACATAAGTATTAAAAGGAACGAACGGGCGGACAAGCTTGCAGACTTAAAAGCAAGGGAACCGGACTAAAACATTAGTTTAGCATCGCAACTTACGATTAGCGGCATCCGCACACTCTTCTGCGATATACGAGATAGAGCACGAGAAGCTTAGTAGAGCGCAAGCTCTTTTAAGCTCTTACGCTCGTATCGGAAATAAGGCTTTCTATACTTAGTCAAGCCTCTTCCGGAGCTAGAACTCTTACGATATGTCTTATATAAACTACTTGCGATCCGAACTACGCACGGAGACTTTACTTGGTACTATATTAGGTTCTAGCACTACGACGCTAACTTAAAGTGTGCTTGCGGCAAACGCAAGTCCTTTTTGCATATAGCCTTCTGCCGATTCACGCAACGACGCTTCTTCTCTTGGCTTTACAAGACCCGACCGCGGACCCTTTCGAGCACGATCTCGGAAGCTTACGATTTCCTTAAGGGTCTCTTTAATAATCCGGCCGATTTTCAAGCCTTCTTGACCATTACGGAGTTCTACTTTAAGCACTACACCCGATAAAAGTGCTATTCTAGCCAACTGATATTGCTTCGGTAAGGAGAACGGGGTACGCTCCGCTTTACTCAAGCTGTAAAGGCTCGTCAGATCAACCGCGTCACGGGACTAGGACTTTAAGATAGCGTAGTGCGCTCTCGGGGGAATTCTCTTTAGCACTAGTGTATTATATTAAGTTTTCTTTTAAAGTTTAAGCTTTCGTATTCACCTTTTCTTTCGTACTCGGCTGACCTCGGTCCGGCCTTGATTTTTGTCGCTCCGCGACGTGAATAGCTCGCCTTTGGCTAGCTATAGCAGTTTGTATATGCTTGACTCTCTTTTTTATGGTTTTCCCTTGATGAAAGGTTTCTTTCTATGTGATCCATCTTATCTGTAAGAGAAGGGCGCATGCGATAGTAGCCCTCGCTACAACACTTTGAATTGCTTTCTTGGGCCTTCTTGTATGTAACTCCTTAGCTTAGCACGTCGCCGTACCCTATGGGAGGTCCCAGGGCGGCAGGCTTCGCCTGCTACCCGCCCGACGTAAATAAATACAACAACAACAACAACAACAACAAATCCTACACAAAAAAATTCCGCAACAAGAAACAACGCACACGCTCACTCATCCACTCACGATACAGGAGCGAAAGAAACAATCTATCTATCTGTCAATCTGGCTCCAGTCATTGCAAATAGCAACTTCACAAACGCCTCCGTTGACTACCGAATACAACGCGGCCTTGGACAGACAGCAGCCAACTGGCTAAGAATAAGACGAGGAGAGCGAGTAATGCCGAGAGGAGCACGCAGCAGTTATAATAGAGACAAAGTTACCCTTTAAACAAAAGATAAGGAGGAGGAAGAAAAAACCGCAATGCTGTGTGGAGATAATAGGCGTGCTGCAATGGCACGTGACGCTCTCTTCCATCTTGCTTGGATCCACCTGGGTGTCGAGTACCGAAGCTGGGGTAGTAACATGGCAGTAGCAGACATGTTGAGAGGAGAGTCGAAAGCTGGCAGGTGCTGTGCGCGTGAAGAAAAACTTCAGGTACAGCGGCTGAAGGTACGGAGTGTCGGGACGAATCATGAAGTACATGGGGCGCCCATTCGAGGCTTGACTGGCGTAGCTGCAGGGACAAGGAAAGCTGTCACCATCACATTCGAGCGAATGATGCGCCAGTGAGAAAAATCCCTTTTTCATTCATAAACCAGCAGCGCAAAAAGGAAACAAGCCAAAGGAGAGCAAATCTCAAGCCATCATAATAAATACACAGATTGATCTGGAAGAACGGGGCCGCGAGACGGGACTGAATCTTGTCGCAAAGAAGAAAGAGAAAACAACTTCAGAGCCAATCTTGCCATCATTTCTTCTCACCCCCGCCAGGTGCAGCTTTTGCCTTTTCCGTGCTTCCGCTTGCAATAATCAACCTGCCAGGGAAAGCAAGCCCCTCGTGCGCTCCAAACCTGGCTTTGCCAATTGCAACATAGGACAAAATTAGGCCTCGCAGAAGCCCCGGAATAATGCCCGTTCCCCATTGCTCCTCGCTTCCCATGCCTCGTCGTTTATCGCGCAAGTAATTAGGATGAATGATTAAAGGGACAACAAGAAGTGAAAGTAGGGTAGCGTCTATTTGCCATGTCGATATCATCGTAATAGAGGTACGTCCATCACAGACGCGAGCTTGGCGGCAGGCCTAGCGGAGAGAGAATCCCTTCCTCTTGCCCTTCTCTTCTATGGGTCGCCCACTCTCGATTCTTGCCTTCTTCTCCTCAAGTTCCAGTCTTTGACGCTCGAGTTGCTCCTTCATCTCGCGATGACGGGCGTACAGCTCTTCCTCGCTCTGCGTCAGTTTGCTCTCCTTTTCGGCGACCTTCTGCTGGAACACCATCTTCATCTCGGCTTCCATCTTAGCGAGCTTCTGCTCGTGGAGCGTGCGCTCCTCCTCTTGCTTGACAGCCGGGTTGACCTCCTTGAAGACGCTCGGGTCTTGTGCGACACCCATGGAGGTGAGCTTCTCGGATCTGTAGTTCTCGTACAGAGCGTTGTTAGTGTGCTCTTTCAGCTCCTCCATGTGGGTTCGGATGAGCATTTGGCGAAGCTTGACAAAATCGCAGTGCTCCTCGTTGTCGACTTCGATAATTCCCCATGGGTATTTGCGCCCCCGGACCTTGCGCCCATCATCGCTGGTAATCTCGGAGTTGGCACCGACGACTGCGAAGGGGACCTTGGACATAATCTCGTTGTTCTCGGCAATCGTCTCCTCGTCATCGAGCTCGTACCGGGGACCCTCGAAGATTTGAATGTCGTGGTGCTTGATGTCTGCGAGGATCTGCAAGAGTCAGTACAATTGTCACAAAGATGACCAGATAGAGCTTACTCTGGACTTGAATGCCATGATCTCCTCATCAGTCATAGTATCTGCCTTTGCAATTACTGGGATCAAGTTGACCTTGGTATGCAGTCTGCGCATAACCTCGATGTCCAATGGCTTCAACGCATGGCCGGTTGGCTGGATGAAGTACACGCATGCGTGGACTCTGTTATCAACGATGTTCATGCGGTTGACCTTGTTCTCAGCATCTAAGTATGCATCGAAGCGTTGCTCGATGTTATCCACAATCGGGCGCCAGGACTCATCGTTGTTAACGAAATCACCAAAACCCGGGGTATCAACAACAGTCAAACGTAAGCGAACGCCATTCTCCTCGATATCAGCACTGATTGACTGGATGGAGACGGTCTTTGGGATTATGTCGAGACTAGGTCCTTTGCGCTCGCGCGGTGGGTATAGGGAGGTGTTGAACAGGGTGTTCACCAGGGTAGACTTTCCGAGCCCGGATTCACCTGGGGCTGTAAGTTGGAGACCAGGGAGAATGGAAGTTATAACGTACCAACAACCATAACATTGAAGTTGAATCCCTTTCGGACACTCTTGCGGTGCCATTGGTTGGGCAAATTTGCAAATCCAACGTATCCGGTTAACTTTCGTCGCACAATATTGCGCATATCGCTGGCTTGTTGAGCAGCTATCTTGGGATCGCTGGAGCTGACGGTTTGTGGTATCTCGAGTGGCGAAGAAGGCTTGCTATGGAGATTAGGCGCTGGAGAGGCTCTTGTCGGTGCCACTGGGGCAGCGCCGTTAGCAGCTGTGTAGTAGCACAAAATGTCAGCCCAACTCTCTGTCCTATGTTTCCGTTCTGTCTGACTGAGCTTTTCAGCAACCCAGTCCTCCATGGATTCGTCGGGCAGCAATGACACTGGATCCAGGGTTGGTGTATCGATATCGAGCATGCTGCGATAGTAAGGTACGATTGGAGTCAATCGTGGCTGTGGTTTCTGTAGACCACTCTGGTAGGCTCGAGGGTCGGCCATGTACGCCATGTTCTCATATCTCGTGGTGGACATTACGCTGGTCTTCGCGGAACTCTCGGATTGAGGAATGCGTGACTGGTGGAAGAGACTGGTGAGAGCGGACGCCATGATGCTGATATATCTAACCAACGCTTTCCATCCCTTTCTCAATCCGCTTGCGAAAGATATACAGATGGCCGGTGTCGTAATTGAGAGCATGCAAGCCTCCTTTGAGTGAGATTGCACGCTGAATCCAAGCTCGATGCCGATCCAGGGGCCAGGTATTGAAGTCCGTCGAGGTGTTTTCGTAGATGTTCCAACTCGATGCTGACTGGCGAAGACCCGCTCCTCGGAAAAGAAATGAAATACATACCCATTGTGATACACAAGTAGAAGGATCGACTGTATTTATCGTCGGGGAAAGTGCGAGGTGGGATTCTGGACGAAAAAGGTTCATAGTTAGCTCTCTGAGACTTGAGCGCGTGGCAGGAATCAGAGATGGATAAAGATGACAAGCTCTGGATTCACAGTTTTTGCAGACATCTCTCATCTTGATAAAGGAAAAGTAGCGCGCGATGCACGAATACGATCTGAACGTACCAAATGAAATCGACCTCTTCTATCGGTCCTTCCAGACTAGTGGTCGTTCGAGTAGGGATGAGGGTATCTTAAGAGAAGTCGATCTGCTAACGGCGCAATCGCAGTCAGTCGAAGTATTGATGAGGAAGACGTGACGAGATGTTTGAGAATTGGAAAGTAAAAGGGGTTTGGGGCCGTGTTGACAGGGCGAGGCAAAGCAAAGCAAGGATGCCGAAGCTGTCATTTCAAATTGCCCAGGTGTTGTTTGAGCGCGGGCAAGGAATAGAACGTACCACGGGTGTAATAATCGAGGTCGCGATTGTAATCGGGAGGGACTGACGAGAAGAGTATTCACAGTCGTACAATGTATCCTCGTCGGCGACGGATGGGAGGTGAGATGAAGAAGTGAGATGAGGTTGCACAAGGCAGGTCGCGGTCGGCACGAAAATTGGAATCCGCTGAACTCCTACAGGGAAAAAGGGGTTAATCGAGCTAGTGACGGTTGTAGCTTAGTGTTCTCACGTGATAGATATGCGTTGACTGTACTCCAGTGCTCCACTCCCCCAAAGTACTTAGTCTGGGCTTGGCCATGGATATGTGGGGCGACCGTCCCACCTCTGCTTTGCATCGACATCTCGGTACGGACTTTCACATCCTGGCTATCTGTATCGCATCAACGACGACGACGACAACGACGACGACGGGAGAAATCAAAATTCAAGAATCCAGAGTCAACAGCCCAGATGACAGATAGTATCCTAAGAGATCTAATGCTATTGATACATGAGTGCTGCTTCTGCTCCGTCGCTTTTGCCAACGATGATCCGACTTGATCAACGGCGCAGCACACAATGTAGCATAGTACAGCACGGTCTTGTGAGATTGCAGCGAAAGAGAGGCTCTCCTCGTCTGAGACCAGGCATCACAGGATTCTCTTTGTCAGTAATGCTCACTTAGCCTTTCGGACCTCAAAAAGAAAGATCTTGTCAAGGCAGCCAGCCAGCCGTCAGATCCAAACCACATATCTCGCTAGCGAGTAAGAGACACCTGGGACTCTACCGACCTTTAATACAGGAATGTCCAAAGCCCGACAACCACCAGCAGAGAATGCCACAGACACTCATTCTGAATTTCTTTAACATTACTTCCACACCTGCCTTTGGCGCCGCAGAACTAGCTATCAAACGAAGTCTGCTTACCCATGGCGGCTAAGAGATTCTATCCGAGTCATCATAGGGAGGCTGACCGTCGAGCCGTGTGATATTGAAATTCAGTATTCGGATACCCGTGGCTTCTTTTCCCGTGTATCGACCCACGCGCCTTGCGAGTCTGCCAGCTCTCTCGTGCTGCTATCATCGGTCTTTGACTTTCCCTTTTTTTTTTTTTTTTTTTTTTTTTTTTTTTTTTTTATTATATTGTAGCTTTCCACATGAAATGCGTACCGTCGTCAACTTCGCCGTGGACACGCTTAATTCCTATTGCGATTTTCAGCCTCGGCTTGTCAACTTCTTCGCCTCCCCTCAGTCTATAGAGGCATCCAAGCTGCGTTATCTCGCAGCTGACGAAATGCTTGACGAGTACATGTAAGAGGTCAAAACCTGAACATACGACGTTATTGCAAGTCATATGATCATGAAGGTCATCAAGATGCTGCCCGCCTTGGAGGAGTTGCGCATCACATATGCCTTGAGTTTCATACCCTACTCGGAGCTTGGGGATCCTGTGGCTGGTGGAAATGGCCCAGTGCAAAAACATATGAAGATTGTCGGACATCATCTACGAAGACTACTTTGCCCGTCATCTCCAAAACGAGTCAGATTATCGCATGATCAATCCTGATCGGCACTGTTAAGCTTGCGTCTTTGGCGCACACATGGCTTGATATCTGGGGAATCAAGGTCGATGCTGCTTCCGGATGGCATCCAATCTAATTCTCGAATGCGGATCACACACGTTACATTTCTTCATGAGGAGTGAGAATACTTGGTGTTTGAACATATATGCTATTGCAAATGGGGACGGCGCATGGTTTGCTCTCCATATAAGACCGGTACAGGTCAGAGATGTCCTACGACCCATAGATAACGAGCGACCCAGAAGACTATTTTACCTTTTCAACTCCACAATCAAAATATACCCCACAAAACATCCATCTTCCAGCCTTCAACAATCGTACATCTATCTGACCTTGAGATCTCGAGAACCCCCACCCTCCAAATCATACAAACATACATACATACTATGCATACCAACAGCCCCCCCCCCTCCCTCACAACTCTCGCACCCCCCTCGCTCGCAAACAACACTGTCCTCCCACCTCCACCTCAGAGCCCCCCCCAAGTAAAGTCCAAACGAACCTTCCACCCTCAGACAGCCGAGAGCCTCAAACCCACCCAAGAAAGAAAACCAATCTGTCTCTCTCCACGCTCTGCTCAAATTTCCAACCCAGCGCAAGACCCCAGGCGCAGACATCACCAATCGCCAAGCCCGGAAGAGGTAATCGCATTGCTTACCTCCCGGTACCCAGCAGCCTGACGCGGCGACCGGTTCCTTCCCGCGTCGCACAAGGCCCTAGGACGATCGGAAGTTCGGACGCCTCCTCCTCCTCCTCCTCTGGAGGTCTTCCGGAGGGAGGGCCTGGGAGTGGGGGTTCCACGGCTGGTCTTCTCTTCGTGTGCGCGCTCGATCGATCGATCGATCGAGCGCGAGCCGGCTGTCCCGCGGGTGCCCTTTCCCTGTTCGGAGAGCGTTGTCTGGGAATCACTGCGACGGCTGAGCTCCGCGGGCGGAGTGGTCCTTGGATGAGAGAGAAATTTGGGGGTTTGGATGGATGAGGTACCCGACGTCGAGGGAATGCGTCACAGTCTTGTGAGTTTATAACTGATGTTGTCAAGGCTCTGTGAGAAAATCCTTGAGATGCAGTGTGCCATGGGGCTTGCTACGTGGGGAATAGCAAACAGAATGCATCTTCGGTTTGCTATCTCAGATGCATGTGTGGCAACTATTCATGCTACTATTTCATCACTCCCCGCAAATAATACCATGTCTCTTTCTCACGGTTTCAATCGCAACCTAGCTCAGTGATCAGAAAGAATATTCCCACCCCTTTGAAAGAAATAGCTAACCCCCTCCAAGCAAACAAATTCTCGCACAAGGCTGTAAGGTATTAGCAACGACCTTATATTGTACCCTCGGAGATTGTGATCATCTCACTGACCTCTCGCTACAAGCGAAAAATATTGCCTCATGCAACTCTCTGCTTCTTGATGGAGCTTGCGCTACCTTCAGTATTGACACGCTTGGGCCGCTTCTTCTCCGTCTTGATGGTGTCCCTATCTGGTACCTCGCTCAGCAAGTACCTGTGCTGGTTAGAGATGTGCCACGGAGCGAATCTCGCAGCAGGATTCTTCAGAGCGTCGACCTGAGCTCGAGCGACGACATTTGCCAGGCATCCTCCTCGATAGACATATTTCAACCAAGAGTAACCACCGTGGGCAGCCTCCCAGACCAGCTTGTCCAACATATACGAAAGAAGCTTGTGCGGTTCGAACGCTGCATTTTCCATGCACCGGAAACCAACCTCACGAAGTGAAGAGATCGCATCAAGATCCTCATCCGCAAGAATAGCGAAGATTTCATGTTTCACTTCGTAGTCTTGTGCAAGGTCAATCTCACCCAGGGTATCTCGCTCCATCATATAACTCATGGCAATGTTCTGGTACTTGGGACTTCCTAGAGCTGCGCCCATGCACCAGTCGCGGATGTAGCCAGCTCCAGTTTCCTCGCCCATGTAATTGTTTCTTAGGTGATTATCGCGACGGACCTTACCAGAGTATAAGAACTTTGTGGCCCTATCGATGTCGCCCCAGAGATCGAACCCGTAACCAGGCTCCAGACCAAGCTCAGGTTCCACGATGTCACTCCAGTCGATGACAGGCCAGGATCTATAGGCAGGTACCAGCTCCTGGACCCGACGGAAGACAGAGCAGGTCAAAGCTTTCGGGACGAAAACTCGTGAGTGAATATTGTCGTCGTCTTCATTGTTGATCTCCAGCATACCCGATGCCCAAAGCCTGAGAAAGTGTGAGATGACAGAAACCCAAGCTATGACACAATGTATCACCCACCCTCTGGCATACTTCACTTCTTCTTTTGTCTTGTACGGAAAGTTTGCCAGATCTTCCTCGAGACTTGGCTCGCTCGGCGTCCGCTCAACCTCCTTGCCATTGGAATAAGTACGGAACCCAATCTCGTTACCTGCCATGACTGCGGGGCTCTGCTTGGACTGCGAGTTGATCTGGAGGTGAGGTGTGAGGTGAAGTGATGCAGAAGAAGCAGACACGTCTCTGCGTCCAAATGTCCTAATGAGGCTCTAGAGTGCCTCGGGACTTGAAGTATGGACGACTTTATGGTGTTGGTTATAGGAATAAAGTGGGAGAGAGGAATTTCGCAGGTGCACGAAGTTTGCGAGTGCGAGCAAGGTGGTCACTGGCCCAGTGGTCACCAACAGAAACGGAAGGCACACTTCAGCTCATCCTACCGCGCGTGACACCTGCACCCATGCGTCCCTGGATAGCAATGCAAGAATACTCGTATAATCTCACTTCTCTCTTCATATATATATATATATATATATTTTATCTAGGTTGCGCATATCTTGATAAAGAAGAGAGAGGTTGACTCGGTCACATTGGCTCACTAGTACACGTGACTAGGCTTCTTGCGTCTTGAATGTCCCTCGGTTTGAAGTCTGTGATATCATCGTGTATGCAGCCATGTCGTGGTTTTTGCTGGGATATGCCCTGAGTCCCCCGGACCGACTCTGTCTGAAGCTCGACGATTGATGATTTTCAATTGGCTTCTCTCAGAAAGACTGCGTATAACCAAAAGACTGGGTCAGGAGAAAATATAAATCTCAATCGCAGTACAGCATACGTAACGACTAACCTTAGATCAGTATAATCGTTTTGACAGAACTTGGGAGAGGAACATATCCACTTGAAAGCAGAGGAATCACGGAAGGAGTGGTGATGATGTTGGAGAATGTATGATAAGTGGCGAGTGCTTCTACGCACTGCAGAAATGATCTCGGTATGAAGCAGATTGGGGTGAGCTATGCAGATGAAATTGAGGGCTCGAAATTTCTAGTGTCCATCAGCGTAGCCCGAGTGCCCTCAAACTCAGTCCCCTAAATATAACTTCCGCAACTCTGCAGAGCCGTGACAACTCTCAAGTTGGACCGGCTTTTCTGAGCTTCTTGTCTTCCCCAGCCAACTCCACCACCGCCTTGCGCTTCACAGCACAGGTGTTGCTGCTTCGATCATAGTATTCTTGATGAAATACTTTTCACGGTTCAGCTCATTCCAAGGGGCTCCAACAATATCTTTCGTTGCCCTGAGCAGGATTCTTTGGTAGAGCTGAATGGCCAGTTCACCGCCGTCTGATAGAATGCTCCGGATGTCTGCATCATTCTGCATCATCAAATTCGACCCAGGCGCCACAGTCGAACAAGCATAGGTCATTCAACTTATCATCCCCAGCCATGTTTCCCTTCCACCTATTGAGGTCCTTCGAACGGCCAGGAGAACAGTTTGCTTGTTGCCGTAGTATGTTGATCAAACCCGAAGTAGTCTGATTAGCTCCCGCATCCTGCTCAAAGTCTGGCGAGCTTTCTGAAAGGCGGTCCATAAGGGCCTTCATTACAGCGTTTTGTAGCCGTGGTGCACCTAGAAGATGGCCAAATAACCAAAGGTGCACGTAAGATACGTGAAATTGCCGAGGAAGAGAAGAAGTAAAGAGCCATTCGGCGTAAATCCCAAGTTTCCTTGAGCCTTCGTAGCAACCTTAAGTTCTTTACTGGGTCGTGCATATCTCCGATCAGAGTATCAAAGGTGAACTCGCGAGTATTAGTTCTCAGACAAGCATCTCGGAAGATGTTTGAGGTTGAACAGGCAAGTACTTCAGGGGAATCGGATGATGGTGGTATCATAACCAAAGGTCGGAAACCTTATCGGGATCATGCCAGAGGTGAGAAGTCTGTCATCCCAATGGTAGGCTCTTGTGTGCGCAGATAATAGGGAAAATCAAATACCTTTCCATAAATTGATAGCCATCATCTGCCTCCCCGAGTTCTGCAGCCATGTTAGAAGACGACGATTTCAAGCTCCTCAAATCTCGTAGGATTTCTGGTCACCCGAAGTTGTTTGTGTGGGAGGAAGCAAAATGTGTGAGGGGACAATGAAATGCCAAGGCTGGGGCTCGCCCACGCAGCTTTGGAAGGCGCTACCCAGACTAGCTGGGGGTGTATGTAGTCAGAGTCTCGCTCATCTTCAAGTCCCAGCACATCTCAGACTTTGTAAATCAGAACCTCTTCTTTTCCTCGAAGACAATCCAGACCTTCATCGAGACCTCGTTCCGATGCCGTGATGAGAGCGGATTCTGTTTTCGATTGCAGACTGTATTGGATTCCTCTGCCTAAACCCCGACCAAACCACAGTCCGTCAGAGTCAAGTTGAAGTATCGTCTTTCCGGGATCAGATATCTTTAGTATTAATCTCTGCCCAAGGCGACTCAGTGAGTGTACCGTATCCCATCTACGTCAATCGGTAGCCCAAGGCAGCTAGAGCACGCAAGCTAGCTAGCTATCTTTCAGTTCTCAACGCTCGGCTACTTTTTGGATGGCCCCCTTCCCTCCCAGAGTTCCGACCTATGCTCTAAGATTGGCTACCTCTCAGATCAAAATCCAACAACACCAACCACACAAATTTACGTTAAATTCCCACAAATGCCATTCTTTCTCAGGGCAGATTTATAAAGATATTCTACAAGTGAAATAAATAATCATGCAGAAAATCATGAGAGAGAGGACCAGAGACACCACACACACACTGAGATATATACACGCCAACCACTCAGCCTAGGAGCCAAGGAAGGTCCTAGAGTCCAAGCATTGCGTTTTGGATACCCGCCCGACGTTAATAAATACAACAACAACAAATCTCTCTCCCTCTCTCCTCTTGGGCCCGAAGACTTCCATGCCGTAGAGAAAAGTCAAGTTCTACCGGCCAGGAGCAAACGAAGAGCCCTGCTTGGATAGAGAGAATAGGGGGAGAGAGTAAGGAGAGGGGAATCCCATAGATGGGTGCGATGAAAGTTGCGAAGGCGGGAAAGCACCAAATCTTTCGAATCGATAGGGCGGGACGAGGAACGCAGGTGCTATACAACTTTTCATACCCAGCTGCCTTGAAAGCTATATATGAGTATATATGTTTACGCGCACAGCTCTTGGGATATGAATCGCGGGACACGTCCGTTGTACCGTTGTACGGCGGTAGTGATTAACCAATCGCTTCCTTTCATTGATGTATGCAGGCACCTGACCACGTAACTCATCGCATCGCATTGCATCGGAAAAAGAAAACATACAAGACGCAGCAACAGAAAATCGTTGGTGCCAAGTGTAAAAAAAGGAAAGCTGCTACAGGCAGCCAACTACGAATACATCCACGTCCCCGATTCGCTTCTACACGGCCCATTCTCATCCACCCACATCCCACCAGAAATGTGCATTACTCGAAGAGTAGAGGAGAGAGAAAAGGAACCAGGGCTGATGCCATCCATACCATATCCCCATCCCCACTTCCAAATCTCGAAAGAGCACGCTTTTCCCAGTCATCAATCAATCCATATCCATTCCCTCACCCACTCTGTACTGTACGATAGAGGCAACTGAGTTGACAGTGGCATGTGCTTCGCCATATATGCAGACCCAGAATATTGCCAATCCAGAGTTCCAGCTGATCGTTGGTGGAAAAAGCGTTTAAGAAGCCTTCTTGGCAGCAGGCGCTGCGCCAATGTACTTGCTAACGTCAGTAGCGTCATGAAAGGTTCTCGCGCCACCCTTGACCGTGTCCCACACCTGTCTCGCCGCGGGAGGAGTTGACTGCGCACCGACCAGGCTATCAATCCTGGCCTCCAGCTGCTTGAATTGGGCCTGGACAAACGAGCTTTGAGCGAAGCGTGCGCGGAGGAAAGCAGTGTATATGGCGATCAAGATCCACGAGCCCTTGGCGAAGGTGATGGCGGAGAGGAGTAAGCGGCCCCAGAGAAGGATCTCAAGAACGGCGACTAAACCCATGGAGGCGTCATAGTACTCCTTCACGAACTTTCCGATGGTATCGGCGGTTGCGTTGGGCTTTGCGGGAGTCTTGTCGCCAGCAGCGGAGGGTGCGGAGGGCTGAATGGTGGGGATCAGGTTGGTGCGGGTGTAGGTTGCGAAGTGGAAGATGGAGTAGATGCCGAATGGGAGCATGGCAAGCGGGTATTGAGGGGAGAAGAGCCAGACGAGGGCCATTGCTGTTGACACGTTAGGGATTTGAGGTATTCACAGCATATCTTCAAATGAGTGATAGATGAAGGCTTACCCAAGTATTGGACGTTCTCGTCAGCAGCAAGGGAAAGAGCGCTGCCTTGAGGCTTGGAACCAGCTCTGGAGCGAGCACGGAATGCCTTGTAGACCACGATACCATATGTCACAGCAGCCGAGACGAAGGCGGTGCGGTAGGAGAATCGGCCCCATCGTGAGTAGTAGTTGAAGCTAATGTAAGAGAATCCGTATCTCACGATGCAGAACAGCAGACTGACGTGTCTGTTTATAAACGTGTTAGCTGCTATGCGCGCTCCCTTGTTCCCAGATATATATATATGTATGTCTGCTTCCCGCTGGGCTCGGAGCTTGGACACCAACGTATACCTCAGCTCCGAGTCCAGCTCGAGGCAGAGAGACACAGAGCTCGAAAGCTTTTGACAACTAAGAAAGCAACGTACCCGACGAACCACCCAACTGGAGAGAAGAGTGTCAGCGTAAGCAATCCAGTCGGCAGCAGTCCGAGACAGTTGGTGGCTTACACTGGAGGGTCTGCGCAAGTTGGAGCAGTCTCTGCTGCAGCGGCAGCGAGGCAGAAGGTGGAGGAGCCATTGTTGATGTTAGTGCAGACGAACAGATGCGGAGTAATTCGGAGTTTGAGTCGCGGTCGGGGAGGATGTCGGGAGAGGTGGCGATCTGGAGGAAGAAGGGAGGAGGGAGGAGGGAGAGGGAGGTTGTGGTGATGTGATGTGATGTGGTGGAAGTGGTGTGGTTTGGTTTGGTGCGCAGAGAACAGAAGTTGGTTCGGGGTTGGTCGGGTTGGTAGGGTTGGTAAGGTAGGTAGGTAGGTAGGTAGGCTAGCTAGCAGATCCTTGCTTAACCTGCGCAGGGTTAAGTAACGTCAGGGCACGTCAGGGCACGTCAAGTCACGTTACTATTTATATTACTATTTATACTACATACCGGTAGATATTACTCACTATACGCACAGAAGATATTTTATGCAATTGATCAGTCGTTACCTTACAATCTGCTCTTCAATCACGCAACTAAAGTAACTAACTACCTACCTATCCCTAAAATAATTAGATATCATCCTGTTCTCTATTAGTATCTATATCATCCCTTCCCAAGCTTCTCGCCCATTCTATCCGACATGGAAAAGCCACATCATCCACATCGTCATCGCCCTGTGGCTTTTCTTTCAGCTCGACAAGAGCCCGCACGAACAAGCTTGGATCGAAAAGGCCGGAAGGCCTAAAAGGATGATCGTCGGGATCCAGGGTCGGATCCATCAGTGCACATGCTCCTTAGCCTCAGGGATCTTCTCATTCGCACATCAATCAGCTCGTCCATACAGCTGAGAGGTAGGTACCGGTATATCAATGGTGTCGTTTTACCCTTGAAGAATAAAGGAAGGTTGTACACAGAACAACGGCCCAATGACGCCCGTTCAGAGCCGAGAGTCGAGTCCCGAAGAACGTTACATGGATTATTATCTAGCACTGTGGTATCTTCCGTCTTGGCCCATCTAACTCCTAATACTTCCTTACCCTCTTATGATGATTGTACCCTCCCCCTCCACGATCGAACCCCCCTCGTCCCCTATCATAACCGCCCCCGCCCCTCCCAAACCCATGCCTAGGACCATCATGTCGCGGCCTCTCCCTCTCGTCCACTTTGGCCTTGATCGGCTCTTCAATCTCAACCTCATACTCCTCGTACTCTGTCTTGAAGTACTCCGCCGTAACATCCTTCTCCCGCTTCGCCTGATCCGAGTCCAACATGAACCTGACTGTGCCTTCCTGTCCCCTCGCTCCAGTGCCCCTTCTCGCAGACCCAGAAGACCGCGGACTCAGTGTCACGGGCGACGCAACATCCATCCCATTGACACGCGTGTCCGCGGGGCTAGCGGGCGTAGCTGGGGTCTTTGGAGTCTTAACATTGGGTTTTACGCCGTTGATGCGGCGGATCTCTTGGTGCTCGGTGTACCGCTTCAGGGACGACTCTTCCATCTCCTTGTTGATGGTAATCCGCAGCCGGAAGAACTTATCAACATTGTGATCTGCGCCAACAATGTTGAATTTGGGGAAATGCGTGTACAGATCCAGCAGATCCAGAATCGTCTCGATAATCTCCGTCCGTGTAGTCCCCCATTTGCGGTATTTGGGTGATCGTTCGCCCCGAATGGCAGATTGCTGCTTCTCTAGTAATAAGGTAGAAAGTTCAATGCAAGCAAAAGCCATAGTCGAGCAGGACTGCTTCAAGGGCGCAAATGTCCGGTACAAGTCTAGCATCATATTGTAAGCCACCCTCGAGACATCTTTCTCAATGCCCGCCTCTTTCCCCAGCTTGATGATATGTTTATGCGGATACCTAACCCGGAAGTCGAAGCCTGACGACTCGAGCATGAGTCGTTCGAGGCCAATTACAATCCTCGACGAAGCCTCGAAAGTGCTGTCGTCTGGGCTGAGATACTCTGCAGGACTTTTCGTAAGATTATGCGCTGCGCATAATATTTCCCTCGATTTCTTAAGCGTATCCTCAATTTTGCAGGCCGTGAGCAGCGCCGCCGCCGCAGCGTCGTGAAACTGATACTCGTTATCTTTATGCTGCATCCTGAAGCGATGATAATAATGCGACGCCGTGCAGAAAGTTCTGATGGGTCTGTTGGCAGTCAGCGTCTTCCTCTCGTGAAGCCGCATATTCAATATGATGAGGGGACATACAGCTGCAACGCAGTCCTAACATCGTTGATCCACTGCACGCCCTGTAACCTGAATGTATCCTCTCTCGTCGGATTCGTCCCCAGCGCCATCATCATCCCATTCAGCTGCTGCTGAAACATAAATACTTGCGCAACATGGATATAGCTCGGGTGCGGTCCTATCCTCGATTCGGGAACCACAGCAGGCGCCATTTTTCTTCTCCTCTTCTCGATCCTGATGACCACCCGTGGACCAGAGTACGGGCCGTACTGCCAGAGCTGGTATTGCTGGAAGTCGAGATCTGGGAAATTTTCGTCACCGCGGCTGCCGAGGGTCGACGGCGTCTGATAGTAACGGGAGTATAGTGATGAGAGTTTCGAGCCTAGCTCCGGAGTGATGGTATCCATCTTGGCTGTTTGTAATTGGTTAAGTTTTGTGACGAATCCACTCAAGTTGTCCGTCCACTTTACGAAGCTTATGGGAGGTAAAGGTAGGCTAGGTTGATTCTCACCGCCCGGTTCTGCCAGCAGTAACTAAAAGCATGACTTCTTTTTTGATGATGAGGAAATCCAGCAGAGAAAGGCACCCTGGATACTTGCAATAAATATGATTCGAACTGAAGATGATTTCATCTCTTATAGCTTTCAATCCTGCAGGAAAGTTGATGTGCGAATGCCATTCACATTTAATCCGCCCTAATCGGATATTCATTTTCTACAAATCGCCATTATCTGACAACCACATAACACCAATAACCCCCCCCTCCCAGTCCGAACACACTCCCAGGACGCCATAGCAATGCATACCCAAACCTTACAGAGTGAGATTAAGCAGTGACAGGCTTGCCCTTCTTCGCTCTCTTTGAAGACCTAGGAACTTCGTCTGCAACCACATCCTTAGCCGCATCCGCCTTCTGCTTCTTCAGCTTCTCCTTTCTAGCAGCGATCTCCTTGTCCAGATTATCATCGTTGCTTTCGATCAACTTTTGCTTCTTGACTTTCTTGGCATCCTTCACTTGGTCGCTGTTCTCCATCTCGACGCCCTCAAGAACCTTGGATTTGCGCTTCTTTCCAATGTTCGCCTGCGCAATCTTCTGCGCATCTTCCTCGGTCAGAACATCCTTCTCGTCCACCCATAACTCATCCGCCAACCAGATCGGTAGAGCTGCAGTCTCAGGACCTTTGATATGCAATGATCTCACACCTCTCCACTTCTTTGGAACATACTTCTCAATCAGCGCCAAGCTCACCGCTCCTACGTTTGCAGCCAGCTTCTCTGCATCCCAGTGCGCATACCCAACTCTAACAGCGGTATTTGTTGAAGGCGTCAAATTAACGACAGCGGAAGCAATCGCTTTCGTAATCTCATTGGCAACAGCCTTGGCATTTGCTGCCCCCCGTCCACCAGTCTTCTCCTTCGCCTCCTCCTTAGCCTTCGCAATGCGCTTCCCGTTGGTCTTTGGAGCCGGCTCCATGATGGAGACTGGAATAGGCCGCTTCGACTGGCTCTTGTAAAAAGTTTTGCCCAACAATTTTGGCAATTGAGTAATGACGCGGTCATCAGCTAGGAAGATGTCATGCTCGGCGAAGAGCTTGCGCTGGGATTCGTACTGATTCCATTTTTTCTTCAGCTTCTGCACGCCGACGACGCGGGTGATGCGCGTGGCCAGCTCAGAGGGGAATGCATCCGAGGCGATCAGGTCCTTGTAGGTGCGTTGCGGGTCGGCGGTTATGAGGCAGATGGTTTTTGTGGATGAGGTGTTGAGGGCGTGGGGTAGGGCGATCTTGATGGGCTTGAACTTCTTCTGGTCGATGATGTGCTTCTTGGTGGTGAGCTGGAGCCAGATGGGAGTGGATTCTGTGGCCTCGTCCTCCTCTTCGTCGTCTTGGAGCAGACTCTGCTTGCCGGAGGCCATCGCTGCTGCCTTTTCGGAGGTCTTGATGTGATTCAGGAGCGCATTGGAAGCTTTCAGTACCTGCGCAAGTGTTAGGATCGCTGCGCTTTTCATTTCCAATATTTTTTCGGGCGCTTGCCTGTGCTACATCGAGCTGATAAGGAGATCCGCTTTCCACCTTGGTGGTGAGCGCTGTAGCTGTGCCAGCCATTGTGTGTGATCTGGATCGGGAGATTTCTTTCTGTTGGGGAAGATGGAAGATGAAGGGTAGACAGGCGATGGAGCAGAAGTGAAGCTGTATCTATCCCACTGAAATTTTATTTTTTTTAAACATCGGCACTTAGAGGGCCCGACGCTGAGACTAAGCTCCTTTGAGCGACATGCTGCACCCCGCTTGCACGAGGCTGAACTGATTGATTGATTCCTTTGATCATGAGAAATTTGAAAGGGAAGAGTGCATATGTCTTGTTAACCAAGAGCTGCAAATTTTAGTTTCTTTTTTGGACACAGAAGTACATAAATTTAATACGTATTGATTAACCCTTTATGTCGTGATACTAGTATCAGCCCTGAGATAGACGATTGATTGGTATTGTTCCTACGCTTGATTACACCGCCTATCACCAGCTTCAGCCTTCTCCTCAAAAAATTCTTGAGCAATTAATAAGAGGGTGCATACTGCAAGAGGCCCGGCTTAGAAAAATTCTGATCTGTGCTGTGCTGTGCTGTGCCTGCTGTGGGCCGCTTGTGTGAAAAAATCGAGTCCGAGCCGGCCACAGGATCAATGCCAATGTGCGAGACCCGATTTGTCTCATCGGCGCGTACTGCAAAAAGCGTGTACTCCGTCCGTACGCGCGATGGGGGCTGGGACTTGAGTAGAAGATGCGGTGCGCGGAGTGCGATTGTAAAATCAAATTACAATATTTTGAAGCGATTCGAGTTCTGAAAGATAGATACGGCTTTGAAGATTGTCTATGAAATTCAGCGAATTTGTTCTCGCGAAATTCGTGGTGCTGCAGCGGTTCCTGTGTGAGATGCATATCACGGTTCATGAATAACTATAAGCGGTTTCTCGCCTCGTCGCGGCAGTCGGCTCGTGATGACGCTAGTCTTTCCTCGCGTTTCTCCACCACTTCATCTTCCCCAGACCGGCCACTCTTTCGACCGCGAGCAATCATCTCCTCCTCCTCATCTCTTCCTCTCATGCAACAATTCTCGTCTTGGTGATTTCGGTCATCGTCCCCGATCATAAACTCCTTACACCCCCAATTCCCTCAAAATCAGAGTCCCTTCTCAGAACGCGTCGCGTGCTTGATATCACGTCGAGAAGTCTTCTCCTCGCAGCCATTTCTGGTCAATGTCTGCTCTGAAGGATTCCTCCTCAAGCAAGATGAATACTCACCCAAGTCTCCCAGCGAAAGCAAAAGCTGGTACCAAGCGTCCAGCTCCGTCTTTGCTGCCGGCCTTCGAACCGGTCGCGATGTTCTCGAGTTCGTCGCCGGGATTCCCTCGACCATCCAAGAGACAGGCTCGATCTCCATCCTCAGAAGGCGAACACGTTTACGCCAAATACCCTACGCCAATCCCAACTTCCACAACTGGTATCCTCTCCTCTTCACCTCCCCAAGTCCAGGCCGCACCTGGCTTGCAACGCACCCAGTCTGTGGTCTCTGAACGTGCTCCTCTGAGAGCTGTTACTTCAATTATGCTGCCCGAGAATGGAGAATACCTGCGCTTGGGTAGATCGAGCAACTCGTCAGACTATCAATTGTCCGCCAATCGATTGATCTCCCGAGTCCACGTCAAGGCTCGATTCGTCGCTGCAACCGTTCCCCTGGAGCCCAACAAGGTGGAGATAAAGTGCACGGGATGGAACGGTCTAAAGATACACTGCCGGGGTCAGACTTATGAGCTGTCGAAGGGTGATACGTTCTGCTCCGAGGCCGAGTTCACAGATATGATGCTGGATGTGCAGGATAGTCGTGTATTGCTTGCCTGGCCAGGAAGTGATCGCACCATTACCCTGGGAGCTCAGGCAGATTCGTCATCGGATGATGATTCTGCTCGCACTCGCACTCGTGCTCCTGCTGTCAGTGCTCGTGGCCAGCTGATTGACTCCAGCCCTTTGCGTGGTCGTCGTCAGCGTGTCCAATCTCCAGTTTCCCCGACTCCCGCAGGCCCGGCCCGTCCCTCGGCAACTCGCCTAGCAGATCTCTTTTCTTCGGATCCAGTAGAGCCTGTGGTTAAAGTGTTCGAAGATGCACCGTCTCCAGAAGAGCAAGCAGAAATTGTGGGAGGAGAGTCTTTCGTGTCAACCCAGGCTGCTACCTCCTTCGCTGTCGAGAGTCAATTGAGTGATGAACTCAATGACCCTGAAAATGACCCTGACGAGGAGAACGACCCAGCCATCCACTCCTTCGGTCCCCACGGTGCAGACATCTCCGCACGTATGGCATCATTCACCGCCGCTGGCTCTCCAGAACAAGCTCGCGGTCGTGGTGTATCTTCCTCTTCCCCCAACGCTCGCTCCAGCTCCGAATCCACCAACGAAGCCGAAGCTCTCCCAGTCGTCAACCACGTCGTCAACCAACTTGCCTTCTCCCGCCTCTCATCCACGCCACTTTCAGTCATCTTGAACAACCTCCCAGCTGATTTGAAAGGTGCCAGCTCCCCGCACTCCGAGAATAGCGGCCTTAGCAAGAGTGACCTGCGCAAGATGCTGAGCGCGACTGCTTGCATCGGCGAGATCCAGCGTGAGGGAAAGGATGCCGCTGGCAAACCACTGGAGAGTGAGTACTACTACATCCCCGACGAGGACAGTGATGAGCAGAGACGGGCCGCTGTAGTTGATGGGTTGAGAAAGCCTAGTCTGCGAAACTGCCGAAAGCAGCACAAGGTATGTCTATCCCCTACACAAGCACCGCAGGAATTGCTTTTACTGACATCATCTCTAGCAATACTACTGGAAGAAACCCAAGACACCTTAGATCACTCGTGATCCTCCGTCCGCGTCGATCCGAAGATCTTGTACCCGGCCGCGACACGACCCAACTCTATACCTCTTCTGTTGTTCATAGTCATGTCCCTTTCATACCCATTGCATAGCGCGGCGTATGATGTTGAAGTTCTCTTTTCCTTTCTCCTTTTTTTTCCTACTTGATTTGTGCGTCAGACTCAGATGGATATCAACCAATGCACTGTTGAGCTTCCTGGACACATCCGAATTTTCAATTTGGATGTTGTTACTACTCGTGGACAGACGAACGGATGGGGGTGGTTTTGCTAGGGGTGTTGCTAGGAGTGTTGCTTGCTTGGAGGGAAAGGGGTGAAGAATGGCGTGGCTACTGTGGCTGCCGTTTGTATCTAGAGATGATGCAAAAAAATACCAAGCGTTGAATTAAATGCTTCAAGCGCAGCGTGATCTGCATTTTGCGCGGTCATGACGATCGAGAGGAAGCAAGCAGATGGCCTCGCGTGAGCGACCAACACCAACACCAACTAACTGTTCACCATGCCACACCGACCAGCTTCCCCGCACTTGCGCCCTGACTCCAAGGCCTCCGCCACCCATCAATTTTTTCTATGCCGCACACGCATTTCTTTCATGTACCAGAGTTGACATGCAAATAGACCGATCATTTTACGTACTAATTAATCGACGGGGAGGCGTGTGTTGCCTGGATGAAGCTTGCAATCCCTCCGGCGCCCCTTCCCCCGCAACGAAACCAAGATCGTACTTCAACTTTAAATCCAAACAAAAAGCTCGCTTAAATAGGTCACGTGACATGCGACACAGGGGCTGCGGATCCCTTTTCTTTTTCTCTTTCTTCGTTTTTCTCCCCACCTGATTGATCGCTTGGCTGTGCTTGGGTTTGGTTGGGTTGGCTGCAAGGGTTAGATTACCGCTGCTTGCTTTTTTTGCTGGGCGGCTCAGATAAATAGATAGATAAAGAACAGATGGATAGAGGCGGATCTCCTGATGTTCATGCTTAGTCTTGGGGGCGTACGTGGGTGAAGTCAAGCGTGCGACCGGCTGGGCTTGATGAATGTGGTGGTATAGGGGGATTGGATCGTTCCAGCCTGCGACCACGGGTTTGGTTGGGTGGTGACTGCCGGATGCGGACATGGGTACCGTGACGTGATGGAATGGTGGGCTGACCTTCACCGGGCTGCTTTTTACCTCCGTACTTGCCCATTCCAGTCGCCCGAATATCGCGAACGAGGTTCATCTATTAATCGAGAGCAGATTCATCCATCCATCCATCCATCCATCATACCTACAGCCATCATACCTACAACCAACAACAACAATAACAACAGCAAAATGGCTGCTAACCCGAGCCCAAATATCACCGCACAGCAACCCGCCATCACCCCACCACCATCGACATCCACATCCACCTCCGAACACTCAGCCTCAACCACCAACACAATCTCCACAACCTCCCCTCTCCCCTCAAACTCAGACTCAACCTCGAATCTCCCCAAGACAGAGGCAAAGACAGCAGCAGCGCCGCCGCCCGAGGACGGCCGCCGCAACTCCCAGGGCCAGGCCCTGCCCAGCCCGATGGAGACGTGGAAGCCGAGCTTCGCGCGCGTGCAGAGCTGGAACCGGGAGGAGTTCAAGCGCAGCGCGTACGTCGAGCTGGGCGAGATAGAGGAGGGCCGAATCGAGAAGGAGGGGGACGGGATGGGGGGGATAGCCAGTGGCTTTACCGAGGGGGCGCGCGGGGAGTAGGAAGGTTTGAGCTTGGAGCGCAGCGGAGGAGGGAGATGGGAGGTGGGAGATGGGAGATGGAATCGGGGGGTTGTGGGTGGGTTGAAGGGGTGGGATGGATGATGGGGACTTTGGAGGGGGTAGTGCGAGACGAAAAATTGTTTTGCGGTGACGGGTGCGTTATGACTGATGCATTATGACTGGGCTTTGGCCTCAGGATTAGGACCTGGACGGGGAGGCGGGAGTTATTAGGCGCGGTATTTGCGGCGGTGCATGCAGACATGCAGCTGAAACGTGGTTTCCTATACAGCAATGAACGGTAACGATTGTCCATGTGTCTCGTTTTCCGAGGTTTGAGAGCAGTCACATTACAACTTGCCCAGTTCTGCTGGTGCATCCGACCTGGACCACTGTCAAAACCATCGGCGGGAGCTTCCGCCCAAGCTCGATTCAAATCCATCGTCACCCCAAGCCCAAGCGCCCTGCCCTAATACAGTACAGCATCATCAAAATACTTTTCTCTTCATAATTACAGTTCCAGCTGCCAAGAGCTCTCCTCATCCTCATCCTCACCACCCACCTCCTCGGCATCGAACTGCCTCCCAAGCGGCCCATAGTTTGCCTCGAAAGTCTTTCTCAACACCTTCGAACTAAGCTGCATGTGTCCTCCTTTCGTGACCTCGAATTTCAGCGCCCCCTTCTGATCCAAAGCCTTCAGCCCAATCCAATCCTCCTTGTACATCTCCCTCTCCCGAAGTGGCGTCACCTCCGTCCCATTAACCTCAGCGAACCAGCCGCTCTCCTTCGGAATAACCGTCTCGTCCTCCTCGAACAGCACCATCGTGAACCGCTCCAGCCCGCTCAGGTTCTCCTTATACGTCTGATTCTTCACCGCCCGCTCGTTATTGACATCCGCCAAGAAGTTGCTGAACTCGAGGTACTCCTCCATCCGGCGCGGATCGCGGAAGTACTGCGCGGGGACCAGCCGGCCCTGCACCAGCGGCGACCAGGTATTCGAGCGCAGCAGGCCCTCCGCGCCGCGACACAGCCAGTCCCCGGGGGCGCAGGCCTGGAACTCGGCGATGCCGTTGTGCTGGCTGCCGAAGGTGACCAGGCTGCGCACGGGGGGCACGTTGCAGCGCTCGACGTAGCCGCGCAGGAACTGGCCGCCCTGCGAGAAGCCGAGCGCGTCGACGGCCGGCGCCACGGACAGGACCGGGTGCGCCGCCAGGGTGGCGCAGACCGCGGACAGCTGTTGCGTTAGGTTGCCGAAGAAGGTCGCGCTGCGGTCGGCGCTGGCGTCGTCGCCGAGCCGGATTATGTAGGTGGTTGTTCCTGGGTGGACGGCTTCGGCGAGGGCGGCGACGTCGGCGAGGCCGGAGGCTGCGTAGTTGTCGCCCAGGCCGTGCCAGATTATTAGAGGGAGGGGGGTGTCGTCGTTGGGTGTGGATGTGGGTATAGATGTGGAGGGGTGGTTTGATGGCGAGGCGGGGACGAGGAGGTTTTGCGCGGGGAGGACGGACGCGTGGAGGAGGGGAGTGGCGCACAGGAATAAGAGTGTGGTAAACCTAGCCATGATAGTAGGCAGTGTCGGTGGGGAAGTTTGGAAGCCGCTGGTGGTAAATGTGAAGCTGACTGTTGTTTATGTCCGTCCGTAGTGTCGTTGATCCAAGAGGTGGACAAAGCTCCAGCTCGGAGCTACTTCGTGATAAGCTTCTCTCTCGCGTCTGGGCATCGTACTTGGCGCCAGATTATATCCGAGCCGCAAGGAAGCCGGACGTGAGAATTGATGCGTATACGGTATTTTGACTGTATTAAAATTTTCGCATTTTGGTTCGAGATGCTCCTCCTAGCACGGCTCTAGTCAATATTAGCCTAACGGCTTCATGTCGCTTCGCCTTCATCCGATGCCATGCCTCGATCAGCATATCCAACCGACGAATCGGGAGAGGTGCGGATAGGTACTTCAGTGATGATCTGCATCATTTCCCCGTCTTTTTCGCTGCAGCCAAAGGGTGCTCGATCATCTATCTGCCTCAAACCTTAATTAAGCTATACTCGTAGAATCAAACTCAGAAACCATATTTATACTCCGTACGATCAAGCGATATATCGCCGCCCTTTTTGGCGTTGGGAGCCAGACTCCGTCCCCGGAAGATACTCAAGAAGATGAAAAATAACTTTGAGAAGAATGTTATTTTTCACCCTTTTGAGTATCTTCCCTTACCCGCCTCGCGACCTCGTCATATCGCGTGAATGAGCGCGCCTCATCCATCATCATCTCTGTTTTTTGTATCTTATCAAAAGAATAAGAAAAAAAAGAGTATAAAAAGTATAAACATATAATTATAAAAAAAATGAAAAACTCAGCTGGAAGCTTGCAACAACGGGATGTTACAAGGTTCCAGCCTACAAACCCAACTTAATGGGTTATTTCGTATTGTCGTATTGTTATATAATAGGATATACACTATTATAATTTATCGAACCGGTGAATGGGGCGGTTGCTCAAGCAGTCAAGCCGCTGAGCTACCACCCCGGGGTCACCGGTTGATGAAAGCCCCTGCGAGGTTTGGTTATATAGAGTTGGTAATTTTTTTTTTTCCCGCCTTCTCTTTTAAAGGGCTTGGCAGAACAGGGCTGATGGATTGTTTTCTTTTTGAGCACGTTATAAGTTACTGAACTATCTTTATCTTCGACTAGCTAGTTAGCTAACCTGTATACGCAGCGTGGCGCAATGAGCTGCTGTTCGTGGGCGATAAGGCGGCGAGTCTATCTGCATGTTGCATCTATATGAGGGCGGTGGCCTCGGAGAACGATGTGTAAAACACCATCCACATACTGGCAACGTGGCTATGCTGGAAAATTTTCTAGTATCAAGCAGGTGGTGGACATATCGCACGGTTACATCGTGCACCTTTTGCAGAAAAGTTCGACAGCTCATTATCTCGCAGTGGGAAGTTGACAGCCGATTTCTTCGGGGGGGAGATCAAGAGCTATTAGAAATTTAGAAGACCGAAGTCGAAGTGCATGGTGTCGGGGGTGCAAATGCAACACAAAAATCCCGTGATTGAATGTCGCAATCAGTCGACAGTGAGTGAGTGGAAGCTAACGTTGATTTTTTCCAAGTATCGTTCATTTTAACCCTTCCCTTATTTCAGAGCCTTTCTCGGACTTTACCCCGACGTTTTAGCAAGATTGATTGATTAGTACTGATCGAAAATCGATGTTTACCTGTTACCGAGTGTTTCTCGTCATTCCTCGGCTCTCTTCGCCAGCCTAGGTAGGGGCCATTCCGTTATCAGACGGTCACCCTGACAAAAGCAAAGACCTTACTTACTTACCATGTATGCAGTAAAGCGAAGCCGCGTCATTCAGAAGGCTCTGGAAGAACTTATTACTGGAGCCAGCTGTTACCGGTCCACGGGTCAAATTACCGTTACCCGAATGCAAGTGAGGCTGCTCAAGTCGCCCTGCACTGTCAAAAAAAAAAAAAAAAAAAAAACCCCTCCATCCGCGGATATATTTTTTGTTATATCGGCGACCGAGAACCGGGGCTCATCATTTCCATCCGCACCGTTGCCGCGGGCTAGCAACGGTTGGTTCCGTAACGAAAGATCGTCATAGGGATTTTCGAATCAGAGTCCCTTGTTGACATCCCTGGTTTGGAAAATTTTGCGGGGGGGCGTTTAGGGAGAATCTCTTCGGATGCAAGGGATACGTACCTCTACGGAGTCTTGACCTCGAGCTCGACCTCGAATATCTTCATCTTTCTTGATATCCAACCTCGACAGCAAACTTCTAGACCATGAAAACCTTGATCTCGCCCCCAGAAAAAAGCTTGAGTTGTTGTTCAAGAATGTTTGATATATTGCCTCCACAGCATCGTCAAACAAAGCTTACATACCCGCGATCCCCCAATCTGACTTTGCACGGGCTGAGGTCGCTGATGCGATGACAGGCAATATCGTCGCCGCGTTTCAAACAAATTGTTCCACCGGCCATTTCAGATGACTTGCCCCATAAACAATCTTGTTGCAGACGTCTACCCGTCCCGGCTCAGGGGTCGAGCCCGCTTAGCAACGCACGTTTCGAAACAATAACCGACAGCCAACAGCCAACGACCACCACTCGCCAACAGCAGGACCCGCCCGTCAAGCCTTTGCAGACAAGAAGATGCAAAATGCTTGCTTGCAGGTCACGATATATGTTAATATATTTGATTGTATATCTTGATATCTTGATCAGAGCACGTCCCTTGTGAGCGGACATCAATTCTGCATCGAGACGTCAGATCATCGAGAGCAGGCATCAGCACCCGCTTTTCTGCACATTCGCTCAAAAGTAATCAACAGTTCACGGCGGTAGGCGCCGAAGAACGCTCAACGCCAGACACTTCCACGCAATCCATGCGCCCGTTCCTCCAATCCGATAGCTGAGGAAAATGGAAATGATTCAAATGAAGGCTCCAGACTTCCCGTCTCCGGTATGCAGAATCCTAGAATCACCTCTCCGCTTGCAAGGAATCAAGTGGGGAAACGAATAGGTCCTGTGCCTCTCTCTCTTTTCTTATCTTCTCATCTCATCTCAGATACCTATATATACAGAGCTGCCTTTTCCTTTACATACTCTCTCTCTCATCACATTCACGTGGAACTTTCACATTCTTTACAGTCGCTCACGACTTTCTTTCTTCTCTTTCGCCTACTCGATATCATCTTCATAGATTGAAGCCGGCTGATATCTTGTTCAACCACACCACACCTGCAAACGATCATAACGCAGAGCGAAGATTGACCTTCCAGACCAAAACCTCACCATGTCCTTCTCCAAGATTTCTGCCCTCGCCGGGTTGGTTGCTTTTGTATCCAAGGCTAGCGCTCACGGAACCGTCAGTGGAATTGTGGCGGATGGAGTTTGTGAGTTGGCCTTCACCACGCCCAAGTCCAATTGGATCTTTACTGATGGGAATGGGATTTTAGACTATGTCGGCTACTCAGCCAATTACCAATACATGCCAACTCAGCCAGTTGTCGTTGGGTGGTCCACCCCTGAAGATACTGACAACGGGTTCGTTGCTCCATCTGCGTACGCAGATCCGGACATCATCTGCCACCGGGGCGCCACCAATGCTCAAACATCAGCAACCGTGAAGGCTGGCGGAACCATTGATTTGCAGTGGACTACCTGGCCCGAGTCGCACCACGGCCCAGTCATTGGTATATATACATACTTATTTCTGTTGACCAGAATGATATACTGACAGTGTACAGACTACCTTGCGGACTGTGGTGGAGACTGCACCACTGTTGACAAGACTGCCCTCAAATTCTTCAAGATCGACGAAGTCGGACTCGTTGACGATACCGTTATCCCCGGTAAATGGGCGGCTGATCAGTTGATCGCGAACAACAATACTTGGAGCGTCACCATTCCATCCACCATTGCCCCAGGAAATTATGTCCTCCGTCACGAGATCATCGCCCTCCACTCTGCCGGGACCGTTGGTGGAGCTCAGAACTACCCTCAATGCTTCAACTTGGAGGTCACCGGGGCCGGAACTGATGCACCAACTGGTACTCTCGGTACCGCGCTCTACACCGAGACGGATCCTGGAATTGAAGTCAACATCTATGCCGCTCTCGAGTACACCATACCAGGCCCAGCTTTGTACGGTGGAGCCGGTGACGCGTCGCCGGTGAGCCCAGTTGCCTCGTCTGCCGTTGCAAGTAGCCGTCCTCAAGCTACATCTGAGGCCGCCGACATTCCAACCTCAGTCTCTTCTCCAACTGCCGCGCCAGCTCTAAACAGCTCTGTTGCAGCCATCCCTGCCAGCCCCGAGAAGACCAAGTCCGCATGCAAGTTAAAGTCCAAAAGCAAGTCAAAGTCCGCCTCTAAGGCAATCGCCCCAGATGCCTCAGCAGTGGACCAAGCCAGCCCAGCCACATTCGCGGCGACATCTACCCCAACCTCTTCTGCCGCTAAGACCACCCGAATCGAGGCCAACCCAGGACGTTCCAACTCGGGATCGGGCTCTAGATCATCAAGAGACACCGACTCAGAGATCGTCGCCGCCGCCGCCGACGACTCGCCCTCCCAATCAAGCTCCAGCATATCAGCAGTCACCGAGCCATCCGGAACGACCCTCGGCAACCTCCATTCCTGGCTCTCGTCCTTCTACTCGAAGAACGCGGGCACCGCCCACACCGAAGCCACCATCGCCCGCCGCCACGCCCGCGACGTCGTCGCCGCACGCGCATTCGACAAGTCCTACCCCCATGGTGCTGCTCGACCCTCCGGTGGCGCCCAGCACCAGAACCAGAACCAGCACCAGCGCCCCCGCCCATCGGCCGGCTTCGGCGGTGGCTTCGGTGGCGGCTTCGGTGGCGGCTTCGGTGGTGGCTTCGGCGGCGGCTTCGTCAAGCCGACCGGCGCCTTCCCCCCCAGGCCCACCGGTGGTGCCCACTTCGGCGGCAAGCCCAGAAAGAGCCTCTCCTTCCCAGCTGCTCGACCTCCCTTCCCCACTGGCGGATATTAAAGCCCGCCCGGCTTTTCTCCTCTCACTCTCTCTCTCTTTCTGCCTCCCTCGGGTAGTCTCAAGTTGACCTTGACTCTTGAGCCTGGATGAAAATTTGGCGGTGTTGGAAACACCATTCTTTACTTTACTCACTTCTCTACCTTCTTAACTTACTGCATACGCATTTGCCATGCATGATAGCATGTCATGGTTTTATTTGATCTGATTTGGTTCTGAAATCAGGACGAGGTCAGACAGTGGTGGGATTATCTTCTTGGCCTCTGGTCGGTCCTGGTGTGGTTATTTTTAATTTCTTGTAGATAAAGATAAGATACAATTCTACTCTGCTTGCAGAGGGCCCCCTTCGATCGCTTGCGGGATTTAAAATTCTTTGTCTTTTGATACCTATATCTATATCTATATATATATATATATACGAGATCAAGGTTCCCTCAGAGTACAAAATCTGTCTTATCGAAACTTGAGACTTGAATGAATGAGTTGACAGAGAGAATAAAAGACTGAGAAATATGGATAACTCTCGTATAGGATATAAACATCCCGCTCCCCCTCCCCTTCTTTTGTTTGTTTGGTTCTTAGCCACCTAGTACTCTGCTTCTACTTGCTACATAATCAAGATTTGAAAATATAGGCTTGGCTGGCTGGCTACTGAGATCGCAAGTCATGGTTTGTTCTATGGCAGATGCCGATCCTGAAAATAGCCTTTGATGGCAGCTAAAGGTATTAACACGGAGGAAGGGAGATCGCGTTGGTTTTTATACGGCATGACTATGGGTGGGGATATCACTAGGGACGGGAACGCGGCTGTGGATTGTTTGCGATGAAGCATTTACTATACTAATACATGTGAATTGACATCCTCCGTCCACCCATTCATCCATCCACCCATTCATCCATCCACCCATTCATCCATCCACCCATTCATCCATCCACCCGTCCATCCACTCAGTGGCCCCAAATCGACAATGAGAAATGGGCAGGATATCCAACGACAAGGATCCACCGTCCTCACCAGCGGCGCATCCACCACTTTCCAGGTCGCGGCTCTTAAAATTTGTAAGCAGATCCCAGGACGCATATTCAAGTAGCATTTGTCGAAGAGTATAAGTCCACCGTCCGTCCAGCAATGCGACCTCTTCGTTTTATCGTTCAGCAAGTCCGGCTAGCAAGTCCCGCAAGCAATGCGATAACAAGGTGAGCCACCTTAGCAGGATCCCTCCCGTTTACCGCACGACAGAAATGATTATGCGACAGGATGTTCTCCATGTTGCTCATTCTAGGCGGGCGCTTAACCGCGTACTCGCGGATTGCTCTCTGCTTACGCCGGTAAAGAGCGCAAGCAGAGAGCAAAAGGCGATAGCGCCCTTATCGTTGGGGACGCCACCCCGACCGCATAGTAAGTGTAATCGGGCTCTGGAGTCTTTTCTTGCAGTCCTCAGGTCGTGGGCTTCACTCTCCCCCAGGCGTCTCGCCACTTCCATGGTGTTGTCGATGGTAGGGCCCACAATCAGCTGTGGGTTACTAGCTGATTGTGTAAGGCACGTGGTTGCCAGAGTTGCCCATGGAGAGCGAGCCTTAGGGTAGGGAAATTTCACCGCTCGCTATCTTCTATTTTCTTGCAGAAAAGAATCAGCTTGATTCTCTCTGCTTGCCTTCGTCTGGATCACGTACCTTGTTCGTGATCTCCTACCACTCAAGTCCTGTCTTCGGCGAGGGTGATCAGTTCTCGGCTTTAACCGTGTAGGTTTTGCCAGAACTATGGCTTGTTGACCAGTGAGGAATTAGATACACAGAAAAAGCTCAGAGCAACCAATCCTTCTCACTCTCCATCGAGCACTTTACCTCTCCGTCCCACTCCACCGCTCCGTGCCGTTCCACCTCTCCGCGCTAGCCCACCTCTCCGCCCCAGCCTACTTCATCACCAGTCAAAAACCTTTGGGCATATAAACACCGCCAAAGCTGATGCTAATAAAGAAGTAAACTGGGACAAAGAAGTGGGCAAGCACGAAGCGGTGGAACGGCACGGAGCTGTGCAATGGGACGGAGAGGTAAAGTGCTCGATGAAAAGAAAGATCGTTTGCTATAAGCTTTGTCTGTGTGGCCAACTCCTCATTGGTCAACAAAGATATGTGCTCTCAGAGGTGCCGCTGGACAGTTGGCGATGCACATCTGCGAAGCGGACGTCCAAGTCTGTGCTTGATAGTAATCGCCCACGAAGATCGAGGATTTGGCTGTACAATGCTTATCCATAGAAACTGTCAGCTTATGTTTTATTTGTGCGGTGAGTATATATGCTGAAGATCATAAATCAAGAACCTACCGTGTATATGCAATCCAAGTGCCCGAAGTGTTTGGAATCATAGAGCCGCTAAGTGAGAGAGACAGAGCTTTGGCAGCAGCGCCGGGTAAACGTGATACCAATAAATTAGTGACCCGCACTGCCGCAAGTCAGACTAGTGCTGAAGGCCCGTGGTGATGGAAGCTCCAAGCGAGAGCTCTCAACCCAGTATTAAAGCGACATGAGATACGACTCATTGTATGTGTACTGTATTTATTGTGATCGTATATTAGTTGTCGTCAGAGTGTAAGAGATGAATCTGTCGCTGTCTGAAGTGCGAAATGTCTTGATGTGATGGGAGGATGAGGAGGTTGGTGTCTTGTGTCGTCATGTGGGGTGGGGATCTGTTGTTTTTGCTGTCAGTCAGAGCTCACGAAGGAAGCATTCAAATCCCAATGTGCGGGTAAAATCAAAAATGTGAAGAAGCAATAGGTATGAGAAGCTTTCCGATATCCCTCCTTTGAAGAAGAAAGTGAGGGGCAAGCTAGGGAGGGGTGGCAAGGTAAAAAGAAAGAGAGCCAAGCAGCTCTCAATACTGGCCTTCTGAGGCAGAAGAGGGTAGATCGTAGTAGAAGCTACCTACTATTCTTCTTATAAGGCAAATGCGGGTAGATGAAGGGAGACAACGGGTGAGAATGGAGTTGTGAAGTGCGCACTTTGCCTTCTTTGCCCCACCCCCCCTCTCTCTAAACTTCTCCTGTTCATGCGAAGCAGAAGACAGCTGAGAGAGACGGGATGAGGGATAGATATAGAGCAAAGTAGGATCTTCTTGAACTTCCTCTACAGAAGCAGAGGCAGGCAGAGGAGGTTGGGGAGATGCAAGCTGGCAGGCTGTCCTCTTGCACTCTCCTCTGGCTCTCCTGCCTCACCAAGGAAGCAGAGGAGGTAAAGGAGAGAAACAAGAGTTCAGAGACCACCCATATCATTCTTCTCGCTGTTCTGGAGCAGATAGAGGCAAAGAAGATGAGGGCGAGCGACGAGGGGATGTCAGAGGGGATATAGAGGGGGCGGCGGAGAGGGTCAGAGATGCAGCAGGGGGGCCACCAAGACGTAATGAAGGGAATATAAGCTTACCTCGAGGAGCAGTATATCTAGATCGATGATCTCCAACAGCTAGAGCTCATGATCTCGCAGAACGCACTCGTAATTGTGAAGTTGGTGCTCGCAGAGGAGGTGCAAGCGCGCAAGCGAAGGCGCCAAACACTTGCGAGTTGTCGGGGAATGGTGGCAGGTGTGGAGATGTGGAGATGTGATGTGAGCGGAGATGTGATGTGAGCAGAGATGATTGAGGTTTTCGGAAGCAGCTTTCTATAAATTCAAAACAGTTGTGGATAAGAAGAGTCGTAGCTTTGTCTCCGAAGCGAAGGCACGCTAATCGATTTCGGGCCTAAGTCAAGACTAAGCGCCGATTGCCGCTAGACGGCAGACTCGGTGATACTGATTGGTCTAATTTGCCTGGAATTGAAGAGATATTTCAATTTAAGGTGAATCGGTCTCATCTGTTCATACTGAATTCACATAGGTGATGTATATATCCTTGCGGAGGAGCAGCTGAGACACCCAGCCGGAAGGAAGCAAGACTCGACGATTTCAAATAAACAAACGTGTTATTCTTCTGTCATCCGAACACACTGGGTATTCCACGATTATTGAGTGCCTCCAATGTCGCCGGTTGGCAAGAAGAAGCTGCTGATATCTCCTTGCTCCCAGCTCTCCATTCACGATTCTTAAGCTCCTCCGATCCCTCCGACTCAGACGATATACATCCTCAACGAGAAAGGCACATGAACCGCGACTATCATGTTAAACAAGGTCAATAAAGAGGAGGGGAGCATAGACGGGATTGATTCAAGGCAAGCGTGGCAATGGTTCTGTTCTGTACCCTCGCACAGTGCAGTTACAGTTGTAATCAACGCCTGAAGCATCTATATAATAGCAGTTCAGACTCTGCAACATATCAAGCACACACGAAGGTTAATACTTCAGAGGAAAGATTATATTTGACTCTGTTTGCCCAGCCGGAATGTGCAAGCAAGTTAAAAGCCAATCTCACATGAACAAAGCTGGCCTCGGGGGACTGCCAGAGCAGCACAACTAAACAACGCACTTCAACAGCTCGGAGGGGGCAGATTTGTCTCTCGCGGTTGATATGCTGGTAGTTTGAGAGAATTTTCTGTTGTGGCTATCTGTATCTACAATAAATCGAGTGATAAAGTGGATAGTTATGCCCCCCCCTCCCCAATAAAAAAAAAAAAAAAAAAAAAAAAAGGGAAGAAAGAAAAGGACAAAGATGCAACGCAACGCAAAAATTTGAAAGCAAAGAAAACATAACGCCATGCTGCACCACTCAAAGTACGAGGATCCAAATTTCAGCCAGTAACCCAGTAACTTCATCACAGCTCGCGAAGAGCAAGGGACAATCAATCTGATATCAACGCCACCAGCCTACTAACCGAAGCCGACCTTACTCCAAGCACACCTGTGACATCTCGCTGCCTGCAAGTACAAACAATCTGATCCAGCATCTCCCAACGCCTAAAAGACAATGACACCAGCTAACTACTCTCATCCAGTCATCAAACCCCTCCCGGCCCCTTCCCACCAGCAGCCCCCGCCCGAAAGAACTCACTCATAACACCCAGAGCATAACTGAACCCTGCCACACCAATCGCACCAACAAATACCTTCCTCGCCCTACCTTTCCCTCCCTTCTTCTTCTTTCCCCTCTCCCCCTTATTACTGACATCCTTCCAATTGCGCCTACCACTGAAAACAGGCTCCTCACGCCTCACGTCAATGTTGGATTTAAATGGAATCTCGTCCTCCGAGCCGCGAGGGAGATCATGGTTCACGAACCCGGTCGGGGAAGCGAAATCACCAGTTGCGGCCATTGGGGGGGCTTGCATGCCGTCGATCGGGTTCGTGACACGCATACGCTCTGCCGCTGCTAGCTCAGCGGCCGCGTCTCCCTCGCTCTTGATAATTTTAGACGACGCTACAGCAGCGGGGCCAGAGCGCACTTTTCGAAAAACGAGCACGTCGCCGCTCCCAGCGACGATCTCGTAGCCTTGGGATTGTAGCGCAGAAAAGTGTGGGAAGAACTTCGAGGGGTTGGAGAGCCGGAGGAGCACTTCGGCCGGTGTTAGGGGATCTGAGGAATCTGGGACGATGGAGGTCGTCTCGGCAGTGCTAACCGATTGCATGGTTGGGTCGTAGGCGAGGATTTTGTAGAGTGTTGGTTCGGGGGTTTTGGCCAAGGAGTCTGAAGATTGCCCGCCGCTTGCTGAGGTGTTGGTATATTTTGTTTCGAAAGGTGCGGGCTGAAAGACTGGGACTTCACGATGCGCAGGGTTACCTTCGCCATGAGCATCTTCGTAAATGCTCTGGACCGCGCGGATCGGACTAGAATCCTTCTCTCCCGCTGATTTCGGCATGAAATCTGCGGTTCTTCGCCTGGACATATCTGTATGTCGCGAAGCGTTCTTGTCGATTTTCTGCTGGGACTCTGGAGGGGAAAATAGTCTCACCGTCGGCGCGATGTCTCCCTCGCCCTGCATCAAATCTTCTTCTACCTTCCGTTCGACATTTTGAGAAAGGGCGCGATCAAGCGAAGTTTCCATTCTGGGATTTCCGGGATTTGCTGAATAAGGCTCATTCGGCGCAGTCCCAATGATAAATGGCTCTGTGTTACTGTCTTTTCCTGCTTTGGACTTAGACATCAATGTCTCCGAGCCTGGATTCGCTGCCCAGCTTGCCTCGAACTCCTCGGGGAAATCACGCACAAAATTACCCGTCATCTTCCTCGGGCTCCTCGTGGGCTCCTCGGGCCAGCCAGCTTCGACTTCGGCAATTTTTGCATCAATGCGTCCCCTGGCATGAGCAGCATGGTTCAGAAGCTCACTGTGCTCGATCCTGAGGTCCTCTACGAGCTTCCGAGAGTTCTCGAGGCCTGGCACCTTTTCGAAAGGGGGTGCAGTCGTATGGCAGAAGGTCTCGAAGTCATGCTGAAGCTCCCTTCGCCTAGCCGTTTTCTGCGCTTCATTCTCCTTCAAATGGCCTTTGGTGATCCCAGACGCTGCACGGACATCGCTTGATCTCAGCAGATCGAGGTCTTCCGCAGCGTCGTCGACGACAGGCTTGAACTTCCTGTCGTTAAAGGACTTGGGAGAAAACGAAAATGTGTTGATAGGTCTATTCTTGCCATTGAAAGGTAAGTGGTAGTTGTTGATCTTCTCATCGTACGCTTCAAGTCCCTCCTGGACAGGGAGATTTTCCTGTTGGCTATTTGAGACTTCTGCGCTTTTCTCGGCGTGAGATCTGCCATGCTCGGGGGGTTTTAGCACCCTATCGAGGTTGCTTTGGGCTCCAGCTGCGCTCAACAGTTCCATACTGTCTACTGGTTCTTTTTGACTGGCTATCTTGTACTCTCGGCACGCTTTCAAAACCGGGTCAAGTCGCCCGCCATTTCCATCATGAGTTATTTTTGTTTCTTCTGAAGTTATTTCGTACTCCTCAAGTGCTTTCATGACAGGGTTCTGTTTCTCCAGGTCTGTCTCGCCGCTTGTAGAACTCATCGTGGAGCGGGGGAATTTGACCTCGTAGTCCTTGATTGCTCTGACCAAATCATCTCCATATCTTCGTTTCAGTGATTGCCTATACCATTCGGAGACGTCGTACTCCTTGGTCGCGTGTTCAAAATGACCCAGTGGTTCAGACGCCATATCAGACTTTTTGACAGACCCTGCTGGTTCAGTTGGTGTCGATTCACAGTCGTTCATCGCTTGCATAACAGGGTCCTCCGTCAGGGTCTTTACTTCAGATCTCTTACTGTAGCTACATGAACTGTGGTCAGCTTCGGCATCGTGCTCTGCTGGTTCATGGGCACTCTTAGCGATCTTGTCTTCCGATTCGGTGCATGCTTTCCCACCCGATATCTTGTTGTCGTAATGTTTCAGTCCATTCTGCACCGAGTCAGAGTAATCCAGTTCCAAGCCAGCACAGTCATAGAATTTCCCGAATTCGTAGTCGGCTTTCTCATCATAAACATTCAAGCCGTCTTGGTCAGGACCTGTTTTCTGGAGAGGCTCTTCCAATTCCAATAACTTTCTTGAGCTGTCTCGATGCGAGTTAAAATCATTCGCGGATTCTGGTGAGGTTTTATCTGCCGATGCAGTCGGCGGTTCAAATTCGTGGAATTGGGATTGATATTCTTTGGAAACTTTCACGCTATTGTCGTCTGAACTTGGTGCCATCTTTTTGGTCACGGAGGACTCTTTAGGAGTTCTTCGGTTAGTAATCGGGTCAATCTCATATTCGGGCTCGATGGAGGTGTCCATATACTGGTGAAACCGTTTCCGGAATCCCTCTTGTCCATATGTTATGGAATTCGCTGAATCGTTTGATGAGTCGGTTCTGGACGTCGCGTCTGGCTCCGGCTTGGTGAAATTGGCACCTTTACTGCCGAACATGGGTGATTTATCACGGATGTATTCATAGACAATACGACGGTTCCTTGCAGGTGCATTCCCGCCAGACTGGGGTTCCTGACTGTGTCGATGGAAATCGTCGACACTTTTCAAGTCATCCACATTGAGCCATCGTCCACCACCTCCGGAATCCTGACCCCGCCATGCGCTGCACCTGAAGCCCTTCAGCCCAGCATGCTTGGAGTCTATTGGAAAGTGCCGATCCCAAGACAGCTTCCTATTCAATGCTACAATATACTTGTGTTTCTCTATTCGTCGATATCGACGCTGGGTTTCTTTCTGGAAGGTAGGATCGAGGTAGGATGACCACATGCTCAATCGGAAGTCCCGAACATGTTGATGCGGTCTAGGTCTTCGAGGCAAGCTTCCACTTGGTCTGAGGAGGGTTGTTGACGAAGCTAAAGGGTTTCGCAGTACAACAGAGATCCCTGGGGCCGAGGATATGTTCAAAGAAGACATAGTGATGGTCATCTTCTCCAGTGCATGCTTATCAGCTAGAGACTATTAGACGAGTGACCTTTGTGCCAGATAGATACGAGTCATAGATACCTTCATCCGAATGCTGGCCTGCAGCTGTAAGGTGCTTGCGGGAATTCGACTGTGAGCTGTTTCGAAGCTATCAGATGGAATAATATGGTCGTGGCTAGGAGCTACGGTAGCTCACTGTCGGAGGGTTTGATGAGCTTTACAGCTTTACTCAGCAAACAGTGCGTATTTGTAGTCTTGGGTGAGACTTCATCACAGGCAGACTGATGTAGCTCAGCTGGATTCGATGGGTTTGCTGTCTCGTGGGTTGTGCAGGTGAGATTGGGTTGCTTCGTGTCTCAAGTCCTCACAGTACGGCTTGTCGTAGGGCTCAATAGAAGTCCTTTGATCGAACCAGTAAGTCGAAATTCGATATGGCTCACTGAACAATCAGGGAAGGATATTACATGGGTGAAGTTGTGAGAGGATGTTGGGACGGCGCTCGTTGCAGATGAAGCTCTCTGTTCTGTTTTGATCGTCTGCCAGCCGAGCCTGCTGCCCTCTACCGATGAGATCGGGGAACCAGTCAAAATAGTGCGGGAAACTCTCCGTCATAAGCCGAAAGGCGCATTCAAGGTATTTGTTACTGACTGGTAATTGTATTCTCGGACACCAGTCGTGTTTGTGTTCCCGCACCCACGATGCGATGCTCTCGGGAGCTGGATTATAGATATATATATACGTGGTATGTATTGAATGAACAAGGGCGCCAATCCAGAATTTGCCAGGGATAAGTGCTTTGCGGTAATGAAGCTATTCGCAGACAGGATGATTGAGAGATCAAGGAATTCTATGGAGATTTTGGACGGAGTGGTTTGGAGTTGGTTTGAGTATTGTATTGGAGGAACGCGGAGAGCCCGTCACGTGTGCGGGGTACAATTAATGAATAAATGCCCTGAATTTCCCGGCCGGAAGGATGTCGAAGAGTAGGCTTGGCAACATAAATTGGCAATGCTTGGCAAGGTGATATCATCGTCTGGCGGGACGGGGCGGAGCGGGGCGGGGTAGGGCAGGGCAGGGCACTCCGAGTGCAAGGCGAGTGAGTGCAATAATATTTTCATCTCTACTCAACTCGACTCGACTTAAACCCAACCCAACCCAACCCAACTTCGATGAAGATCGACTCGGCCACCTTCTTACTCCTCCAATTGTCCACTTCGCCCAATATGCTACTCGCTTAGAATCCTTGCAGATACCATATCACGACCCAATTCCATTCCCTTTCAGTCTTCATCAACTCAGTTTCCTCAACCTGTCCCGTAACAACGCCCCTTCCGTTCGAGCAGATAGACACTCCATACTACAGGTAGAAAACTTCTGGAGCTCCTGGCCTCACTCGCGCTAACCTGGATACCTCCCAACGCGAGAGCAAGGCAGTTGAGGATCCACACAACTATGAGCAAACGACAATTCAAGTCGCAGGCCTCAAGCAGCCGGGCGGCATCGGGGGTGGGATTCGGAGGCTTCGGCTCGACCTCGTCAAGGAGTACTCTGTCCTATTTGACTGAGCCCCCGAATCTGTCTGGAATCAGCGACGCGAACGTGGTTGTGGCGTTCAAGAACTTGTCCAAGAAGGATGGTACAACTAAGTCGAAAGCGCTAGAGGATCTGCGGGCATACGTGCAAGCCCATCCTTTCGAGAAAGACGGAGGCGTAGAGGATGCCGTATTGGAAGCATGGGTGTGTGTTCTCGCTTTGAATTGGGCAGGGTGGAATTAGTGTTGCTGAACGTATATAGGTCAAATTCTATCCTCGCATCTCTATCGACAACTCTCGTCGTGTCCGCGAACTCTCTCATAACCTGCAGTATGAACTCCTGAAATCAGCTAGAAAGCGGATGGAAAAATACATCCCCAAAATTGTTGGCAGTTGGTTGGGGGGAACATATGATAGAGACAGAGCTGTGGCAAGGGCTGCAAGCGATGGAACGAGGTCATTCCTCGACACTCAAGCCAAAATGACCGTCTTCTACAAACGATGCGAAGTTCCGGTCCTCGAATACGCCCAGGAGGCTCTCGAGGAGACACCGCAAACTCTAAGCGACGAGAGGACCATGAGTGCAGATGATGTCCAAGCCAAGTACTTTCGAGTAGTTGGATCCAGTCTCTCTCTGATCGCCAACTTGCTAGCAACATTGGACAAGGACGAAATTTCCAAGCACCAGGACAAGTACGAGGTCATTTTGTCTGGCAACAAGACCTTGTGGTCTTTCGTGAATTGCGATGATGCATTTGTTCGGAGAGCAACCTCCCAGCTGTTGGCAATTTGCTTGGCAAATTTACCTGTGGCTATCGAAGCCGACTTGAAACTGATCAGCCACATATTCATCGCCGAAGCGCTGAAGTCCTCTCAGACCATGTCTGCGTTCCAGCTCTTGAATGTGCTGGGCGTACTGACCTCGAAATATCCCGAGGTATGGACTTCATCTTACAAAGCTAGAAAGGATCCCCTTTCTAAACTCCGTTCTTTTGTCGAAAAAGGTTCGCAAGGAGGACCTCCGGATTACTGGACCAATTTGGGTGCTGTTGTTCTCAATCTCCCTGAGGGGGTCCTTCCTCCTCAGCCTGATGCCCTGTTAGATTTTCTGACGGCGTTCCGCAATGGCGTTTCCAATAGAGAGGAGCCCAGAACAAATGCTTCAATAGCATGGGCTACTTATTTCGAAATTGCGGAGCGCTTCATTTCTTTGCTATCGCCAGAAAGTGTGCAGGGAAAGTTCTTACCAGAAGGCATTTTCCCGTTCTTCGAGCAATATCTTCATCCGAATCCAGCAAATAATAGCTGGGCCATTGGCAGTAACATTTCCACCCTGGCCAAAGGCTTGGGAATTTGCTTGTCATACAAGGGCGACGGTAAGATTGCGCTCGGTGCTGAGTGGGCCAGGCTCGAAGATGACTTTGTCTCCAAAATTCTCACTTCGTTACCCGAACAGTCAAAAGATTACCATGCTTCTCAGACTGCTGTAATTTCAATCAGCCATCGTTGGTTCAAATTATTAGCAGAGGTTCTTCGATCGAAGCAACAGGACTCTATCGACCTCGTTCTGCCCTCTTCGCAACGTATCGTCAAAAAATGTCTGGAATCAATTGTCAGCAGGAACGGCAAGCCATACTCCGCAGCGGCCACCGTGGAAGCGGCATTGCGACTCACTCCAGCCGTTGTAGAAAGCTCGCCTGAGACCCTGGTGGCCCTAAGATCATTCCTTGAAGATGATCTACCCAAGTTAGTTCTGTCTCCTTCAGAACCATATCTCATTTCGATCTTGAATCTTTTTGGTTCGTTGTCAGACGAAGAAGAAAAATACAGAAGCATTTGGGACAAGACCATCGATGGTCTTCTAGCACTGCCTAATGATGCGAGCCAGTCCCAAGCGATTGCCAAAATGTTAGCGAATGATGCAGTGTCCAAGGTGGCTCAAAATAACCATGCCCTCCAGGAATTTATGGTCAGTGGTAGCTTCAACGCTATGCAGGGGAATGCTGAAGGTCGCACTCTGTTTGAAGCTGCAATGACCTTCAACTCCTTTTCATCTCCTGCATCTGTTCGTGTTCTAAACAAAATACTCGCATCTCTCGATGTAGACAACCCTGACCTGGATGGCGCTTTGAAGTCACTTGAATTTGTATCGAGGAATCAACCCGGTCTTTTGAGCCGCTTAGGCGATATACACGTTACTCTGATCACGAAGTTGCTGGGCTTGACTGAGCTGACAGACTCTCCGATCGCCTCTCGTGCTAACACTTTGAGGACTGCGATTGAGAAATCAATCAGCTCTGCAGATTCGAAGAGCCCTCAGCAAAGCTCAATCGTGTATGTTATACGAGAAAATCTCGAAACTGCCAGTCCTCAATCATTATCGTAAGCTATATGACCTTCTACCGGGATACCAAGACTGACTGTTGTACAGAGTCGAGACACTTGTTCAGCAAGCCAGAAATCTCATAGCACAGTCCCCGCAATCAACTTTGGGGGCAATTTTTCCAGATACAGATATATGGCTAGCAGCCATGGGCCCGCTTCTCCGCCAGCAACCAAATCCAGCGCTCGGTGTGATGCGGCCATTCGCTGGAGCCGTATTTCTGTTGCATCAGTCTTCAGCGGACACTGTTTCGCGGCCACCTAGAGATTTCAACGGATACTCTGCGCCGCTGAGGATGGCAATGTATACATCTAGCTTGCTGCTCCACGAGGATCTCTCGGATGTCTTACCTGAAGACTTGCAAGTCAAGCTATTCTACCTCCTGGCCATAACCTACGAGCTTGTCAACGATCAAATCGATTTGCTTGAAGATAATAAATTGTTCCAATCACATCAAGAGACCGACACCATGAATGAGGTCATGCAGTTTCTACGGGACGTTCGTGAGATTCTCAGCGATGCAGCCGAGAATGCCGTGTCATGGCGCGACTCGGTTTCTGGAAAGCAATCGCCTGAAGACATGTCTAGCGTGGTTCATTCTTTGGTACGGAACCTCATCGAGTCGTCGAGTACCGATGCCCCGACATCTTACTACGCATCGAAGGCATTGAGTAGTCTGGTGCAAGCGCTTGTGTCTACCCACGGTTGGCAGAATGAAGGTGGCGAGGGATGGCTTTCGAAGCTAGACATTTTCAAGACCGCGACAACTAATATACTGGGTGCGACGGCAATCTTGATCGGACTTGGAGATAGTCTCCGCTCTAGCAAGCTCATCAACAATCTCTGCAACCGACTCATCAGTGATGTAGCAGGGGCTAAGGCAGAGTCTGAAAAGACTCTAGGCTTGATGGTACTCATGAACTCCGTCTTGGCAGTCTACGATGACGAGGATCTACCAGTCGCCAACAATCGGCTGGTATTTGCGATCAAACAGATACTCTCTTGGACGGACGATTTGGCTGTAACGGACACTCGACTTGCCTCTGAAGTTTGTCGCGCACTGCAAAAGCTTTTGCCTGCCATCAAAGACGTCTACGGCTCGTATTGGGAAACTACCTTCGAATTCTGTGTATCCATCTGGGATTCAAGCAGCGATGGTTGCCTATCAGATGAGCGACTCCCAATGATAGGCATGTCTTTGAAGCTGTTTTCTATCCTGAAAAATATTATCGATGATGCAAATGACGATCTGAAGGAAGCCCATGATGCGTGTCTCGAACAAATTTGCGATGGCTTGGTGTCGCTTCTGAAGCTCGAGCGATCGAAGGAAACTCAACCTCTCAAATTCGTGGATAGCTTGCTATCACGACAGGTGGTGAGGATTCCATCGGACCGTATAAAGGATTTGTCAGAATTTTACCCTCTGCTGGCATCCGACTTTGAAATGATTCAATCTGCCGCGTTTGATTTCCTTCATAAAGCTCTACCTAAGGTTCAACAGGAGCTCTCCGTCAATGTTCTTTTGGATGGAACAAGTAAGTCCACCGCATCACTGAATCAAGTAATCTCATACTAAAAGTATCAGGCGCTGCGCTACCTCTTGAACTTCTCTCACTCCTCCTCAATACTCCCTCGACTGCTGACATCCCCGATGCAACCTCCTTTCCTCCGTCCATCCGCGGCTACCTCCTATCGTGGCTGATCGTCTACGAATCTTACAAAACCGCCTCGCTCAAAGTTCGCAATGACTACTCCGAACTCCTCAAATCAGAAGATTATATTTCTCCCCTCTTAAACTTCATGTTCACCGTCCTCGGCCATTCATCCGCCACCCCACTCAACCTCGAACGCGCCCGCATAGACCCCTCCATGATCCGCTCTTATTCTATGTGGAAAGCAATGGACTCCGAGTCCCCCTCGCGTAGCATGAACTGGCTCCTCGTCAACATCTACTATCTCTCTCTTTGCTTCACTCCCGGCTTAGTACGGACATGGTGGTTCAGCTGCGACTCGCGTCAAACCTCTCTTGCAGTCGATTCTTGGACACAGCGATTCTTCGCCCCCTTAGTAATAGAAGACTCTCTCAACGAAGTGGAGAAATGGTCTCACGACCAAGGAATCCAGGCAGACGACGGAAAGGAACTCATAATCAAAGTTTCCAAACGCTCACAGGAGATATTCGCCGGCTATGAGGTCGATGACCTCACGATGCGAATCGTGATCCGCTTCCCGAGCAACTACCCCCTAGTCGGCGTCTCCGTCGACGGCATCACCCGTGTCGTCGCGTCCCAAACTAAATGGAACTCCTGGCTTCGCAACACCCAGGGTGTCATCACTTTCTCCAACGGGTCTGTCATCGACGGCCTGATCGCATTCCAGAAGAACGTCACGGGCGCTTTAAAGGGCCATACCGAGTGTGCGATTTGCTACAGCATTATTGGGCCGGACCGCAAGACGCCGGAAAAGCGGTGCGGGACGTGCGGAAACCTGTTCCATAGTGGTTGTTTGTTCAAGTGGTTTTCGAGTAGTAACCAGAGCACCTGTCCGCTTTGTAGGAATCCGTTTAATTATGGATTGCAGAGTTCGCGGAGGAGGGCGGATTAGGATGGCAGGGGCATGGGGAAAGGGAGAAATGTAAGCGCGGACGAGCCTAGGAGTTGATCAAATTGGTAATACAAAAATCAACTAAATAACGCTCTTATTTTGGCTGGCTCGGCATCAACTTCTTCCATGCCTTGTCTTATAATATTTCTAACTGGGTGTAGGCGTTGGTCTGTGGTTTTTTGGTACCGATGTCACTCTGGAGCCTGTTTCTTTTATCTATGCCGTGCGACCATTGGAGTTTAAGAAGGCAAAGACAGGGAAGGGGTCTGTTTTATTTTTGCAAGCCGAATGAAATCCCCAAGAACAGCGTCGCGCTTCCATGTTAGGCCATTCTGTCAAGAAAGTCGAGAAACTTTCATCTGATCTCGTACTTTGGAAATGAATGTACCGGGCGCTTCTCTGGTTCAAGCCGGAAATTCTAGGCTAAGGTACTCGCTCGTTCCAATGAAAGCGTCTAGCTCCGATTCATGCTTGCCTAATAAAACAGGCTCCTGTATGTACACTTCACGGAAACTTCAAAAAACGCCTGACTGCGACCTGGCAGTCGTTGAACATAATCTTCTATCTATCAAGGTACCTTTTCACGAAGCTCGAAAGAAGGGTCATGGCCTCGGTTTTTCCTCAGGGAAATAAATCATCAGGTGTAGGTACGAAGCCAACCTGCTCTAGGGCTCTCGCTTAGCAGAGCAGTGTCAACAGAGAGAGATATACATAGTGGGTTATTGTTATGATGACGACCGTTTTTTACCATTTCTCTGATCCTTCTTAGAAGGGTGGGAAGAAAGAAGAGGAAAAGAAGAGGAGAACATGAGAATTGGGGAGGGGAGGGGGGTGGGGGGACGAGGAGGAGGAGCAAAGAAAAGAGGAAAACAGAAAGGAGGGAATCTCTTCATTACTAATGGACTGGCCTCGCTTAGTTGTCCAGTTGCCTGAAAAGATTCCGCAGCAGGGAATTAAAAAAAAAGCCCATAAAGTATGACCGAAAAAAGCATCCCATAATATTTTCTCAAAGCGAAAACACCGAAGTGATTATATACGTGGTATCATTGAAGGAAATCCTATGTAATGCTGCGGCTGCTGGTGTTGAGGGAGCAAATCCTCTGCCTCTGCTTAGGCCAATGGACAGGCAATGCGAAATCTCTATCCTGCACGTCTGCACCATCCAAAAATCTATACCTGAACATATGTATACTCATAATCCAGCTCTTGAGCCCATTAAAACCCCCCCTGATGCGAAGGTGACGACAAATGAGAGCGAATGGCTGATCCTCCGCACCAACAACCCGTATCCTCTATCTTCTCCACTTGAACCACGGCGTCAACACCGTGCTCAAGCAATAAATTTCGTGTTCGCTCTCGTACGTCGTCTAGATCCGAGCCTCGGGTAGCAATAACGTGCATCACGCCTAGCACCTGTTCGCTTTCGCTGTCTGGGTTCTTGTCACCCATCCAGAATCGTGGAACGTTGTAAGTTGCCACACCTCTCAGATCGCTCACACCTGCGAGCGTATCTCGAAGCCCGTACTCGATTTCGTCGGGTACTGTCAGAAGCAGCTTCTTGGCACAGCTCTTGATAAGTGGGACCGACGACAAGAAGATCAGGATGGCGATGACGCAGGATGCAAGAGGATCGAATCCGTTCCATCCGAAGAAGTAAATCAGAGCAGTGGATAACATGACGGCGGCGCTTCCCATCGTATCTGCGAGAACATGGAGGACTCCATCAAAGTTAGCACCGTGTGAGGCAGAGATAAGTATGATAGGATTGAACTTGAGAATTCCCTGCTCTTTGATCGTGGCTTCCTTCGAAGCCGAAAATCTCAGAGCACCATTTGATAGGGGTTGGGATTTATACGTACATATACCATGCATGTTCTCATTGTCATGTGAATGTGAGTGCGAGTGTCCGGCGTGGGCCGACATGGTTGCAGCCGAACTAACAAGTAAAGGGGAACGATCGTGTTCATGGTCACAATCATGGTGAGAATGTTCCTCAGACGAATGATGGTGGTGGTGATCATCCGAACGTATCTTCTCGTGGCTGTGCGAGCGGTGGTCGTGTCCCGAGTGGCTATGCCCGGAGTGATGGCTGTGCGCGTGGTCTCCGTGGTGGTGATGCCCTGCGGAACACAATGGAGTCAGTACTTGAACGTTTGGAATAGGTTCGGGAGTGGGATAGGGGAAAGATGAGATATTCGATAGAAGAAAATGCGGGCTCCGCCATCACTTACCATGGTGTCCAAAACACTGCATACCGACCAGATTGACAGCAAGCCCCATTGCACTAACGAAAAATAGCTCTGCTAATCGTTTCGTCTCTCTCCCGTCGGAAAGTCTCTCTAGCGCCTCGATCAGGATTTCAATACTAATAAGCCTGCCGAGGATTAGCTTTTGTACATTTCAGTTTGAGAGAAGTAGTGACTCACATTAAGAATACTCCATTTCCAAACCCAGACAAACTCTCAATCTTTGCAAACCCATATGGGAAGCGCTCACTAGGTGGCCACTTGCTGGCAACAGAAGCGAACAATCCAACGCCCAGGGCCAAACAATCAAAGAACATATGTATACTATCGCTCAGAAGGCCGAGAGAGTCTGTCAAGTATCCGTAGACGGCTTGAACTAACATAAAGCTGAAGTTAAGGCATATAAAATAGAGTATCCGGCGGGAGTCTTGGTCTGCCATTATTGTGTGGAGAATTGGCCACCGCAGGGTGAGTGGGAGAACGAGGCTTGTGAATTTCGACCGTGGTTGCTCAAATGAGGGACGAGGGTGAATATGGCTGGAATCATGATGGCTGTGGTCGTGGTGACTGTGGTCGTGATGACTGTGGTCGTGGTGACTGTGGTCGTGATGGTGCGGTAAAACTTTGACAGCGTTAAGGGGAGGCTCGAAGGATCCCGAGGAGAGTGGAGGCGACGTTTCGTGGGTATGTGGGTACATGTATGGGTGAGTGGCCTCTTTGGTATATGCGTGTTTCTCGAACTCGCCGCTGTTTGGCGGAGTCGGCAGATAGTTCCGTGGTATATAAGGCGACCGCGAACGTTCCCGCGAGGGTCGACAATTCTCGCCTCGACTCCGAGAGGATCGGTGGTGATCAAGTTCGAGATGGGGCTGCGATTGTGAATGCGAGTGTAGACTGCTGCCGTTCAACTTCTCTGGAGGCGGAGCTCTCGCGGGGTGCTGTCGACCAGGAGAGTGAAGGGAGTTCGAATGGATATGGCTGTGCATTGCCGATACGGGCAGAGCATAAGACGAGGCCATGATACGTTCTCGAGATGGGATCAAGACGTCGAGGCGAGCTGTGACGCCCGTGGAAGGTCCTCCGCTCCCTGCATATGTTGCCTTTTGCCTCGAGCCTCGAGCCTTAAGCTGTTTGTCTATTTCGTCCGATGGGGGTTGAGTGGACAGCGCGGGGGTCGCGCTTTTGGCAGAAGAGAGCGACGAGGTGAAGGACCAAATATGGCCAGAGCTTTGTATGTTGTTGTGGTGGTCGTTGTTTTTGAGGGGTGGTGGTATCGACGTGGTCGTCGTCGTCGTTGTTATTGTTTTTTCGTCGTCGAGTGGACCAGCAAGTGGAGATGTAGGAGTGGGTATGGGTCTGGGTATGGGTATGGGTGAGAGCGAAAGAGAAAGAAATGGGAGATGAGAGATGGGAGATTGCAAGGAAGGAAGAGAATTGCTTGCCCGGAAGCGCAAGCGCAAGCGCAAGCAAGGTCATTGCCTCGCTCGGTCTCTCGTCTCTCGGTCGCGCTCGCTCTGTTGATTACCTACCGTACTCCGTCCGTATTCCCCTGAGCGGTGCTTGGCCTTCTCGAAATGGCAAGTGGAACCGCCACGCGCCTCGTCGTCCCGGCTACAATTATCAATATGATGTATCTTTGCGCTTAGAGTTTGGATGGCAATTCCTTGCTAAGAGGGCCCCGTCTCCGAGCGGAGCGGAGGCCCGCCAGTCTACAGTCAACAGTCTATAGATTCTATAGATGTAAACACTAGAAAATGCTTTTGCGACCTTCTGCTCCCTCAACGACAACATCGTCCTCGTCGTCCTCGTCGCCCTCGTCGCCCTCGTCGCGTCGCGTCGCGTATGCTGGCATGGTCTATCTACCCTTACCCTACCCTCCCGACCTCCCTGTCTCACTCCCTCACATTCTGCGAACACATCTAGAAGCTCCCGTGGCGTCAACATGCTGGAAGCTCTCCTGACCGCAGCAGTGATTGCGTCGACAGCCTTCACGGTAATTCTCCTTATGCTACCCAGCCGCTACCTCAAACACTCGCCGCCGAAAGAAACAACCTCCACCTCCACCTCCACAGGCTCTGCGAACGAGCCCAAGATCTCCGTCCAAGTGCTGGTTCTCGGGGACATTGGGCGCAGTCCGCGGATGCAATACCATGCCATGAGCATAGCAAAACACGGTGGCAGGGTCGATGTGATCGGATATCAAGGTTTGTGCATAGTGACGGTGACGGGACTGCCTTCTTCTACCTTCGTTCGCTGATGAGATCCATAGAATCGACTCTGCATCCTGGCCTGGTCGACAACCCCCTCATTACCATTGTCCCCTTGCCTTCACCCCCGCCTCTCCTAAGAGCGGGAAAACTGCCTTTCATCATTGCAGGCCCCCTGAAAGTTCTGTTCCAGATATGGAGTCTGTTTAACACTCTTGGGTATCGTACGAGGGCCTCACGGTGGCTACTCGTCCAAAACCCCCCTTCGATCCCCACATTGTTCGTAGCAATCACAATCTGTTTCCTCCGGAACACGCATCTGATAGTTGACTGGCATAATTACGGATGGACGATTCTGGCTGGGACTCGCGGGGACAGGCACCCATTTGTTGCGGTTGCCAAGTATTACGAGGCTATTTTGGGGAGCTGGGCTCCTACAGCTTCATTTACTGTAACCGACGCCATGCAGAAGCAACTTCGAAACGCGCCCTACAATATCCGGTCGCCTATTTTTACACTCCACGATCGCCCTGCTGCAATCTTTCAACCCATGTCTGATCCAAAGTTGCGACGAGCCTTTCTACAGCGTATACCTGAAACGAGTACTGTCGCAGACGACATTATGGCAGGCAAGACTAAGCTATTGGTGAGTAGTACATCCTGGACACCAGACGAAGATTTCAACCTCTTACTAGAGGCCTTGTGCTCTTACTCTGCGTCTCCGAAAACTCTGCCACCCATACTCGCTATTATAACCGGGAAGGGACCACAGAAACAAATGTACCTTGATCGAATCGCCACCCTTACCAAAGATTTAAAACTGAACCGCATCATGATACGCACGGCATGGCTAAGTGCAAAAGACTACGCAACATTGCTGGGCTGCGCTGATCTTGGTGTATGCCTACATATGAGCAGCAGTGGAGTCGACCTACCCATGAAGGTGGTCGACATGTTCGGTGCTGGCCTGCCCGTCGTAGGATACGGGGACTACGAAAGCTGGTCAGAACTAGTAAAAGAGGGCTTCAACGGGAGGTCTTTTGTCAGAAGTGGTGAACTCGCAGAAGTCCTGGAAGAGCTCTTCAGCGAGGAAGATGGCAGCCAGCTTGCTCGACTGCGGCAGGGAGCTGTGATTGAAGGGAGCAGACGGTGGGACGACGAGTGGGACAGTGTAGCCGGACGGCTGCTAGGTCTTTGCGAATGAAGATATCGACTGTCCCCTCTGCGCTCTCAAAGTAAAATAAGCGATGCACGACCTCACAGGCGAGCCGTCCGCATCAGCTTCCGGATTGCTTACCTAGCTTGATGCTGGCGGATTCGGCTTGTATTCTAGCTGTACGTGGCAGTACGGGCAGTGAGGATCGTGGCCAGCCTGCAAACTCTGGCGGAAACTCCAATTGAGCATCGTCCTATCCACGTGGCTCTATTTCCCAATCACAGGGTTCAGTGATCTGAGTACAATTCTCCCATGAAACTTATCTGTATCGTCAGGAGGTTTTCATCATCCGGTTATGCTACTCATTTTCCCCCACCCGATCCATCAATTCAATTCGCTTCTTCAGCTAGGAAGGCACTGGCTATAGAAGTCGCTGTAATACTTGCAAGTGCTCCCAACGACGCATCCAAACGGGCCAGTCCAACTTTGGCCGCCTGTGGGACTTGTCAGCTGATTGATTCACTTCTCCTTGCAAAACCCGAGCATGGGGACATACCACATTGTCCATAGAGCGGACTCCCGGCCCCAGTACTTGTAGGCTGAGCGCTCGACGAGGTTTTAGTTGCCAACGTGCTCGCTGTCACCGGCTTGCTATTCGAAGATATCGTTGCTGCACTCGTTACTGTGCTCGTTGCTCCTCCTCCTCCTCCTCCTCCTCGAACTTTCACGATGGCGCTGCTGAGTGGCGCGAACCAATCGTGCGCCAATATCACGTTACCCGACTCATTGGGATGCACGCCATCCCCCGTATTCAGCGTGGTATTGAACCCCGTCCAGCAATCCACCACATTCACCGGGCTCGTCGCCGTCGAGATAGCAGCCGCCCACTTCCCCGATGTCAGCTAGTCACACATCTTGCATTGCGAGTCGTGGTGCAGCTCAGTCTTTCGTCTTACACATTCCACATTCAAAATCTTGACACGCGAAATGATAAGAAAGAGATATCCACACACCGCTGGAATCGCCGCATTCAAACTCACAACTCCCTGCGCACAACTCGCACACCCCGCCGGCGCCATTGGCGTGATTTGGGCAACTAGAACCACCATCTTCGGATTCTGAACGCGCATCTGACCCACGAGCGTTGAGTACGCGGCCAGGATCGTGGCCGTGGGTAGGGAAGACCACACGTCGTTGGTTCCTAGCTGCATCATGACAATGTCGGGAAGGGAGATTGCGAGCCAACCTGGGAGTTGAGAGGCGGACGCAATGCCGGTTGCGAGGTAGCCGCCGTGACCATCGTTCTCGCCATCGTAGTTGAAGCCGCAGCCTTGCGGGGCGAGGGTCCCGACGAAATCTGTGTTGGTGACGCCTGCTGTCTGGAGGTTTTGCCAAAGCAAGGCGCGCCAGCAGCCTGGGGAGCCGGTGATGCTGTCGCCGAGGGCGTTGATGCGGACAATGGAGGAGAGAATTGGATGTGTGAAGCCTAAAAGGACGGCGATGAGCAGGGATGAGAACAACATCTTTGAGAACAGGATATAGACGAGAGGAACCGATAAGAGAGACTCGGAGACGAGGCACTACTAAGGCTATATGCCAGCCCAAAGCCCAGCTATATGGAAGAGGGTGAGAGGGGTGCTGATTGAGAAAGAAGAATGACGCTCTGCTAAATACACCTGGCGCTGGTCTGTATCGCGACTTCCAACTCGTTGGTCCTTTCTTTCGTCCCATGACCCAGAGGATCCAGATGTTCTTCCACCAAGCCATCTCCTTGCCACATGTAGAGCGAACTTCCCCTTTCGTGCGGAACCCTCTCCTCCGCACATATCAGCCTGTGCCCGAAAAGCCACACATCATCTTTTTTGGGACCTGATTCCGTATAGTATGGTTTACACAACAGATTGATCAAATGAGAAAACTAGGTGCAAATGCGCTTTCTACTCGGTCTGGAACGAAGCTCCATCTCATTGCCGCCAATCGATCCTCCTAGCGGTGCATGGACTTCGGAATCCCGTCAGTGAATGAGAGGCCCTATGGCAAGGCTTGAAGGAAGAATTTGCCGTGGATCCGAGACATAAGCTCTGCTAATGTCGGATGCAGGGGCCAGATCTCTGGGGTACCTGGGCTCTTCATATCACCAAGAAACTGCTAGCACGAATCTCAAAAGCCATCCAAAATAAACAGCTTTTTATTTTGGCTACGTAGCTATGCTCCTCAACAGCTCTCATCCGCCTGTCCTTGCCCGTCCACCTTTACCTGCCATGCAGGTCATTCTCTTCCTGTTCGCCAGATACAAGGGCACCCTGCTGTTCTCGAAGTCATGTTGAGGCCTCAGAAAGTCAACTTGGCGCCAGCATTCGCCATCACGGAAGCAACTACGTTCGCGGATCCCAACAATGTGTACGAGTACGGCATGCTGGTCGCTGACAGCGTTCCGACCGGTGCGGTGTTAGCCGCTCCGCCCAGATCTGTGTCGAAGACATTCGCGTATCTGGATCTACGCATCAGTCTCTCCATTCTTCCTGTCCGGAACTTGCTAGGGAAGGGGGCGCGGGGAAATTTCTCAGCAACTACTACGTACCCAGTTGCATCACTATACAAGGCTGCGATGGGCTGCGTAACGTTCGAGAATACATTGCTCTGCACGAGGATCTGCGCTCCGTCACGGGTATCGATTCCCGTACTCATGCTCTTGAAGTAGGAGTTGAAAGTATGGCCCACCCCGTAGCGCAAGCTGGGGGTCCGGCTACCGATGTTCAGCCAGTAGTTGTTGGCGTGCGTGACGTGGAGGTGGCCGGTGTCCTCTGCGGCGTTATTGTCGCTGTGGCCTATGAGTGACGCTTTCCAATGGTCATGGATGTACAGGTTGGAGAACGTGACCCACTCCGAGCCGTGGCTCATGTCGATTAGACCGTCGTAATAGTCCTTGTCGTGATCGAGATCGGAGTAGAACTCGCTGCGCAGACGGCCAGTAAGCATTGCGGGAAACCAGGAGCAAGAGGGGGGTGCGTACCAGTGGTCTACCCATACGTTACGGGATGCTTGAACGGTGATGCCGTCGCCATTGGCCGCGAGCACGTTCTGGCTAATGATGTTCCGGACAATAACATTGCTCTGCTTCCACACGAAGAGGCCGATGCCGACGAATTCTCCAGATCTAGGTGAGCCGAAACACTTTTCAGTTGGAAGGGAAGGGGGAAAGACTTACTAGCGCCCGGGAGACCGATGATAGTCTTGTTGGTTCCGATCCGGACCTGCTGGGCGCCTGAGATGGTTCCCGAGACGACGATGATTCGGGGCGTAATGTCGTTGTTCTTGGCGTTGTTCGCAGCTGCTGAGAACTGTGCGAGCGTGGAGACTGTCGTTACAGTTCCCCCTTTGCCACCTGTCGTCCTGGAAGCGCCTAGTCAATTACGGCGGCCAAACCAGTCCTGCGGCGGCAGTTGGATGTATATATTCTTACCCTCCATTTGTCTGCGCATACCCAATATTCGCCACATCTGTGATCGTAGCCCTCTTGGCTATGACCCTTCGCTCGACGACCTCCTGCTCAGTAGGCGTCGGGATGGCAAATACCAGTTGGGAGAACACGGCAACACCAGCGCTCAGGACAGAGAACTTCATGGTGGATGGATAGAGTACGGTAAGAAGTAAGGAGGAAGAAGGTCAAGCTTTTGCCGAGATGCCACAGCCCAGACTACGGAATCTAAGCTTTTATACCTGCCCATCCAATGCACCCATCAAGTCCAGAGTCAGACGCACCCTCTACTTACTGCCAGGATGTGTGGAATTTTCCCTATCTAACTTTTCTTTCTCCTTTCTACAGTACAGCTCAGCTCCTCTGTCTGCTGCTGCAAGATCCGCAGAATCAGACAAAAACAGAAAATCCAAGATGGGAATTGAAGTTCAATGAGAAGTTCCCACGAATCATAGTTCTCGCTTCTTGGCGCCGGGATAGGATTTATTTCGATTTTTCCTGCTCCTGGAAGAATTGATTCCGTCCAGGGGCTCGGCTCAGCTCTGGTTGGGGCTGGTTGGGGCTGGTTGGCGGTAGGGCGGCCTTCTGTGGTGGATACCCCGCGTCTGTCTGGGGTCAAGGGTTCTTCTTGAGCGGTGGAACGAGGATCTTGTGCGATACATGCGAGATTTTGGTTTCAACTTACTGATTGTGTGTGGTGGTCTGTTTAATGCGTTGATCGAAGCTTGTTTTCTACTTTGTGGAAGGGGGCGAGACGCTTGCTTAAGCTAGATTAACTTCAGTGTCGGGGTGGTTGTAGTCCTGAGATCGAATGTATCTAGCGTTGGATTGAAAATGGTTTTCGTGTATTAGATTCAAGGTATGTGGGTAAGCTGTAGGTACGAGTTTTTTAGGCGCGGCTCGAATACGCTGCTCTTTCAACAGGAGAAGTTGTGTTTGTTGGTAGCTTAGCCCGGCTTTTGGTGGCTATACAGACAGAACGAACCTGTTAAGCATTATCAAGACACTCCAATTGACATATCTCCGCTGACGATACCCTAGGCCTAGGTAAATATACTTATGGTCCTAAAATTTTAGGACCCAGTCTTGGATGCTTCGTGGGATACTGGCAAGTGACGTCTGGTGAACTTCTCGCCAGATCGGGGTTTTTGGACCCACCCTCGCTTAGCCCCTGGACGACAGACAACAATAAGAACGAACTCGAGGTCTTCAGAAAGCAATGTCTTCAGGCACCACTTCTGCTCACGATTGAGCGTAGAAACTCGGGAAAGATGTCGCGGTGGGTATCTTGTTATCATTGTGGTGCCAAAAAGGCTGAAATTCTGCATCCGTTTCAACATGCCGACAAGGCTGGCTTGCACGATTATGCTACAGCAACCACTTACCCGATCAGTCGCCGAGAAATATATGAGTTCCAAATTATTGGGTCCTTTTATTCTCCAAAGTTACGCGATTGTGGATGTGTCTATAGTCCGGACTGCCAGATGATGGTCCTCGAGTTTCGAACTCACCTCGTGCACGCCCTTGATCCCGTACATTGGTATTGTGCTGCATTGATATTGAGATAAACTCCATGGAGAGTGGAGATCCTATTGTTATCAATTCTTCATCTATAAGCTTATGAACCGAAGATCTTGCAACAATAGGAAGAGAACCATTGTTGATGCAAGTGAACTCTCGACAATCAGAGCTAAACGAGAAATTCCTTCCTATTGTCCCTCGACGCGGTGATATACCCGCAGCTCTTGCACCTCCCGAGCTTCCTTCCTCTCCTCTCCTCGCCTGTCTAAACATCCATCTGCCTCCGAGTTTTACCGCTGTGTTCTCTCCAACGCCGCACTTCACATCTCCTCTCGCAGCCAGCAATCGTTCTCTGCATCTTCACCTGCCTATTTACTATTTACACTTCGCTACTCAAGACTGCACGATGGTTACTACTCGCGCCCAGTACAGGGCCCAGGTCATTGCGACGAATACCATGACACGAGCCCAGACCCGGAGCATGGCCAGCACGGGTCATCCGATTGCCAGAGCAGCAAGGAGAGTCAGACGACGAGCAGCAGCACTGCCGCCACCACCACCACCAATAAAAGCTTCAGCCGACCAGATATTCTGGCGCAGTCGAACGCTGTCCGCTATGCGCTCAGCAGCCATTGCGAGCCAAGCGTCCGTCTCAGCAGCTCTGGCCCTCTCTCCAACCTACGTCCCAGGGTCTGCATCAGCAGCTCTAGGCGTGCCAGTCCAGCTCCAAGCCGGACAGCAGCAGCAGCAGCAGCTCATCGCAATCCAACCAGCAGCCATCAACCCTCCTGCCGCACCAGTTCCAGGACCAGCATACCGCTCTCCATACACCAAGCTCCCTTCCCCAACTTCCGCACCCTCCGCACCTCAACCAACCCAACCACAAGCTACTGCTCCGACTCCGACTTCGACTCCGACTACCGCCATCCCCCCCCTCTTCCCATTCGGCATCGGCCACCCCCTCCTCGCACCAACCCACGTCCAACCAACCACCCCCCTCCTCCCCCTCGCCAGCTACCGCCGCGCCGCCGAGCTCAACCACATCATCAAGCCGTACCCGACGCGCACAGCCGTCGGCGACTTCCGCAGTGATCTCGTGCGCGCCATAGCCCGTCAAGATGCCAAGCGCGTCGCGCACCTCTGTGCTCGCGTCCGCACCCGGAGGTCGGACCTGAATCTGAATTTGCAGCGAGGGATGCTGCTGGTCAGGCACCGCCTGAAGCTGAGATGTGAGGGGCGGGGATGGGATCATAGGGTGAGGGAGAAGAGGAGGTGTTTGAAGGGGGTGGAGAGGGCGGAGAGGCTTGAGAGGGGAGAGAAGGGGTGGGAGTTGGCGAGGGTTTGGGAGGGGAGTTGGTTGAGGGCTGTGGAGTCTGTTGCAGAGGTGGAGTGAGTGAGTGGGTGAGGATAGGCAGTGGGATGGGTGAGGGGATGGGTGCACGGTGTTGTGGATTGCTGGACCGAAAGCTGGACAGCAATCTGATTTCTGGTGGTTAGACATAGATGCTGTGAAAGATAGACAATGTATGTCAGGTCGCTTCTAAAGAGGTTGTTTTTGCGCTTTTTGCTATTTGTCTTTTGTGAGGTTTTAGATTTGTTAACGCTGTTTAGGGCTTGTAGCTGCGTGATTGTTATAGGCTAGACCTCTTTGAGCATGTTTAGTGAAGTTAATGCGTTGCTTTCTGATAATAAAGTCGATTCTTTGGCAGACTTTCATAACAGTAGAACGAAATAACGGATCCGGGCCATGGCCACCGTCCCGTTTGAAAACGAAAATCCAATTTTGAAATATATCAACCGTCAACACCTCTTTTTGGACACGCACCACCAAGATCTTTTACACTTTAAAAGGAAAAAGAAAAAAAAAAGGGAAAAAAAAAGGGTGAAAGTCCCCGGCTTCTAGATAAACAACTAATAAATTAAGGGGTAAACAAGCGAGGATTGGGCCGCAGATCCGATTGCATATATACTCCATCACCATACCACCATTCTTTATACGATATAGATATATATATATATATATATATATCTTCCTCTCACCCTAATTCCGTACAGCACCGTCCACCAAAACCAATTGGATCGGCCCAGTACAAAATACAATACTGACATCACAACGCCCCTTTCTACAAATACTAGGGGTCTGTCCGTGACCGGTGTAGCAAACCCGGGAAAGCCCGGAGTCGAGAAAGTCGAGAAAAGGATATCGGGATTTGAGCTTTTCATCGGGTATATTTTCTTTTTTAGTTACACTATCTATCCATCACTTGTCCGTAGGGAAAGCGAGTACCGTATTCAAATCGTCGTCGACGCTCTCGATGACACTTTTGTTCTTCTTTTTTCCGAATTGGCATTGTGGGGTATTAGAGGATGTTTGATATTGGGTTCGATTCAAGAGAAGGTTATTGCGTACCCCTTGCGAAAGGTCCTAGGGTGAAGATGAGTCTGCTACGCTGTAGCCCGCTAGACGTTGATAAATACAACAATAACAGTAACAGTAACAGTAACAACAAGAGCAACCGGTGTGGCAATTACTAGAGAACGTCGGGGGCGCCGCATATAATTACTCATATAATCATTTGATTACTGCAGTAGGTCGTTACACTCATATTTGCATTCTCTCCTCTCCTCTCCTCTCCTCTCCTCCGTCCGCTACTCATCTTCTTTTTGTATCCTTTAATATCGCCGTCTGGCGCGGCACCGTGAAGACCCTTCACACTTTACGTTCCGCACTGGAACGAAGAAACGGCGTCATTGAAGTCAGAATAATTGCCGCCCACGGCGGTGAGAAGATCGCTAACACGACCTCGATGGGCAAAAGATGGCTCGGCGATTCCATTGCAATCTTCGGTCCTATTTTCAATCAGCTTATCTTAGATTCAGCTAAAGTGAGATTCAGCTAGAGTAAGATGCAATCAAAAATTCAAGAGTGATGGAATATGAGAGTTTAGAGACTTGAAAAATTCGCATCCGTAGGTGTAAGTGTCGAAACTGGTCATGCTGTTGTCTATTTCAATGCCGCCCAGGCCCCCGAGAGGATCTTTTTTATTTATCAGCTTCCGACTCTTCAAGAAAGGGTAACATAGAGGAGGAATTCTTACTGCAAATATCTTGGATGTAAAGGATGTCTGCGCAGATTTGAAAGTCGGGGTCGCGGCAGAGTGTTACCTTTCCGCTGCGTCCATGGTCGTTTCGTTTCCTGTTGTCAGCCGCGATTGCATACCTAGGTACGTAGCTGTGGCGAGAAGAGCGTGGATGAATCGCATGTTGATAGAGAAAGGATTCTTGTTTTGAGGAATAAGTGGATAGGTGACGATGGAGAAAATGGTGCCTGACCGACCATATGAACTGATGAACAAAGTTTCTACTATTCTAGAGATAAACGGAGTTGTCTAAGTACGTTTTTAAAAACCTATAAATATTAGATGTGCAAGTATAAACTTTAATGTATTACTATTCTTCGTCGCAGATAGATAACTACTTAGATAGATTTCTTCTCTCATTCCTTCCTCGTAATATCAATGCTTATTGTACAGTACCTGCGGTATCTTCGGAGTTCTTGGTTTGAAACCTTATCCTTGTCCTTCCTTAAGCTGGCTATTCTCTCGGAACAAAGTCAACAAATAACAACCCTCGGTTATTACTGTAATAGGTTCGTCTGAAGTATGCAAGGTCCCCGGTGTTACGTCCAAGTACGAGGTCTCTGTATCATTTAGTAGTAATTCTCCTTCTTGATTGACGGCCACATATATCCCTTCTTGGAATTCTTGGTCTCTAGAGAGAGAGAGAGAAACTGTTTTAACAAATACCTCACCTTCCAAGACGAAGCAGATGATGTCATTTCATATGGGTGATGCGCAGATTGTTTCTGGAAAGCTAGGCGTGTTTTGAAACAGAGATTTGCTGGGTATCTTCTCTTCTTCTTCTATATCATATTGAGTTAATTATTATATATTGTGTTGAGCTAATTATAGATCATGGCTACCGTAAACTGTTAAAAGTGTCGTCACCTGATGTACAGCCGCTACACTGATTAGATGCATCTGTTTGAGCTTAGGCCATGGAGAAGCATCAAAAACTTGATTGAGCGTTGAGTAATAAATCGCTGAGTAATAAATCGCTTAGTAACAATCGCTAAGTAATAATACGGAGTAGAAAAAATACAGTTCCAACTGTATACACCTCTCCAGCAACTTTTCGGCCTGCTAACGATCCGCAATCATACTCCGTAGTTAAGGAATCCTTCTCTTCTCGCATATTATACGGCCTGTAATCTTTAAGAACTTGACTAATAACTAATTAATAGTAGGGAGGGAAATGCTCGAGAAACAACTGCTGGCTGGATGCTCGAAGGATAAGCTGGCTGCATTGCACTCCAGAGGGCTACTACTATGAAGAGTCTTACACCGCAAAAGTCCGTAGAACTTTTCCCGTAGCTTGCGGAGGGCCGTAAGTTTTAAGTCGCGGCCGGGCTGAAGCTTAAAATTATACTTATTATACTCTCCTCCCCTCCCCCCCCTTAAATACAGCAAGGGTAATAGTGGAGTATATAAGTAAGGGTTTAAAGCAAATCGGAATAAATAATGTACTACAATTGATTAAGATTATATGTAGAATGGAGTTGGCTCTCCTTAAGCATCGATTGCAGCTTAATAACGCCTCTACCTATTACGATTCGTATTAAGATTCTGTGACAGCCTGCCTTGTTACCTGCAGTCAGCTGATCACCCATTCAGGCCTAGCGCCTCTGGCCGTGTATATAGACATCCTGAGCTCCTTCGAGTTTCCTGTTTCCTCTCCTTACTTTGTATCTAAGGTCATAAATTCATCAGTTCGTCACAGATTCTATATAGTAGTAGCTATCAGGAATAGCGTCTTAAGCCTCCGATATGATTTCTGCTTCCCCCCCATGAATAAATGTCGAAAGTACCACGGTACAGGCCTAAGTATTACCCCTCGAGGGTGCCTTAAAAGTTTAGTTTCCACTTTAAACCCCCTGTTTTCCCTACCCTCGAGGGGTAATACTTACGCCTGCGACGTAGTATAATTTCGCAAGGGATCTTACCAGGGCTTATACCAATCAACTTACTACGTACGTAGTATAAGAATTCAGCTTTGAAAAGTATCTTTGAGCTAGTATCTAGTCTATATAGTGGAGTTGACAGGGTTTGGAGCCATTAAGAAACCACCGCTCTATGATTTATGGGCCTAAACTGGGTCCGACATTGATTCATGGGGGGGGAGAGTAGTATTCAAGGGGGGGAGAGTATCGTACAGGCTGGAAAATACATATACTACGTCGCAGGCGTAAGTATTACCCCTCGAGGGTAGGGAAAACAGGGGTTTTAAAGTGGAAACTAGACTTTTGAGGCACCCTCGAGGGGTAATACTTAGGCCTGTACCGTGGTACTACGTACTACGTACCTTTACATCTTCTCCACATTCTTTAAACTCTATTTATTAGATACTACTAAAAGTGATGTAGCGTTGAGATTAGTAGCCTCGGAAAGCAGCCTTACACCGCGACCGTTGCGAAGCGAGGTCCCCTGGCCCCGGAGCTTGCGGAGGTCCGCCAAAGAAAAGACCTCGTTGATTTAAGGGATCTTGAATTATTGCTGATGAATTGTCGATCTCGGTTCTAGTGAAATAGATTAATGAAATGATAGACTTAGTAACTTGAATGGATGAAAGGCTGAAAGAAGAGAGAGAGAGAGAGGAAAGGAAGAAAGGAAAGGAGAATAATAGACGGGAGAAAAGGATTGAAGATTTAATTCACGAGCTGTTTATAAGTAGATTGTATTAGAATTTCAAAGGCTGTATGTGCTTTAACGGAATGCCTTTCGACTTTTTAGTACTAGTAGTAGTAATTGCGGAGTAGCATAAGGAGCTTTCAAGGCAAACCTTACTATCGAGGAACGAGGAAAAGGCAACTACTCTTTGATACAAAAGTCTTTCTAAGTCGATACATGACCACTCAATTTCCTCGGATCGAGGAATGATAGGCCTCGTCTCAATACGTAAGTCTTTAATATAGTTAAGAGCGGGTCATCATCAGCCCGTCTCCCTTCGCAACGGTCGTGAATGCAAGGCGGCCTTCCAAGGCCTTTAAAATCAACGCTACATCACTTTTCATTGTACTACCGGTACGTACGTAGTACGTAGTACTGTTATATAAGCAATAAGCTTTTAAACTGTGTACAAAAGATGTAAATAATTATAAACTTCAGCCCGGCCGCAAGCTACGTAGTAGTAGTATGGGGTAAGTTTCCCCCGGACTTCGCGGTATAGTACTCGTAGTAGTAGTAGCCCCCCTTCAGTGCGATGCAGCCAGCTGTCTCTCGAGTATTTAAATCACAATAGGTAGCCCTTTGCAGTACGACGCAAGCATTTGTTTTGTTACTTGGCATTTACCTCTCTATTATTAGTCGAGAAAATTTTATGCGAACGTATACTTCAATTCGCAGATGCTTTATAGCATTCTGAGCGAGCATCCTCGATCTCGATCCCAACAGCCTTGAGAAAGAGTTCAGTACCTTCAGCACTAAGGATATACTACTACTACGTACTTACGCAAGGAGATGAGATTCGGCAAAGGGATTACTGAGGGGGTGGAAATCGCTACTACCCCCATGAATAGAAGTAAATGTCGGACCAGTTTAGCTCCATAAATCGTAGAGCGGTGATTTCTCAACGGCTTGAAGCCCTGTCAACTCCATTGCACAGACTGCATACTGGCTCAAAGATACTTTTCAAGGCTGAATGAATCCTTATGTTACGTAAGTTGATCGGTTTAAGATCTGATAAGATCCCTTGCAAAATTATACCTTCGACATGTATTCATGGGGCGGAGAGTAAAGAGCGAGCCTAGGGCTAAGGTTAGCGAAAGGGACATGCCCTTGCAAGTGACTCAAGCGACCTTGATAGCTTAGACGATGACCTACAAAAGGGAAATAGATTTGGAAGTGGGGGATATGGGCACGGAGGAGGAGGAAGCGGACATACTACTACCGGTAGTAGGTAGACCGCAAGAGCATTCGGAAATAAGTCTTCTAAGGACCCTGGAGGAAGAAGTAGACCCCCAAGGGAACCTGGACCAAGCCGACATCCTAACGGAACCCCCTTCCCGATTCGACCTTTGGCAAAGCACACTCCAATACAGTAGCTTAGAGGACTCCTGGAGCACCTGATGGCGATGACGAGGAGTACCTACCCAGACCTAGGAGCATCAGATCCACACCCACGAGCGAAGGAATCGGCTTTGTCTGCCAGCTTTTCCAAGGATTTAAACCGGTGTAAGCTGACAGCAAGAGATTATTTAGCAGCGTTTCTTATAGCTGTATTAGCCTTAGAGCTATACGCTATATCCTTAGGTAGTAGTGTTTGTGGGAATGCTGAACTGGAGAATAGAGGGATCGGAGTTAAGGATTCGGGATCCGGGATCGGTGGGAGTTCCGAGAGTGAACGCTCTCGTAATCGGAGGCGCTGGCGCGTGTTGTTTCCTTCAGCCATGGGATTGAAGTTGGGTTTACGCAAGGAAAGAGAAACTGCCTCTTAGTGTTTTGCGTGGTGGACGCCGTAAAGGAGCAAAATAAATTGGCTGCCTAAACGTTTGAGGCGCGTGGGAAGGGCGCGTTCCGTTGCCGTAGTCGTTCTTGAGGACGGTCTGCCTTCTTTTGCTGTACCTAGCTTATCTGTGGCTTAAACTCCTGTGAAGATAAACCACTGATCAGTTTTGGTATCACATAAGGGGTTGTATGCACACTGTGTTGAGGCTCGATACGAATAGGTGGTATTCGTTGTGTATGTTAAGTCTGAGGAGAGGAAGCTCTTCTAGGGGAGAAGGGGAGTGGTAGTAGTGGTGATGCCAGGCCTGCATGGGCCTCTACCCCCGATCCCCCCGATCCCGAGTTCTTAACTCCGATCTCTCCATTCCCCAGTCCAGCATTCCTACAGTATTGACATGGCCATTGCTAAGTACCTATTGTACGTAGTACGAAGTATGTCCACTACCGGTACTACTTACGTAGTACAGTACTACCTACTACCTTCGCCCAAATCACGAAACAGCTTGGAATCCTAAACTTTCTTGTTGTAATGTGCACTGACTCGCATTTCTCGTATAAATGCATAGCCAAGCTGGAAACTACCAAGGAGAAACGCCTTTAATCTACTACGTACGTAGTACGTAGTACCGGAATATCATGGTCATTCGCGAGTCATACAAAAGCCGTGAGCTCTCTGAGGTTCAGGTGGATGGATGGGTAGAAAAGCCTCTGTAATATAAAAGAGGAGATGGACTTTCCTTTGGTTCTCCCCTTTCCAATCTACAACTTGCTTTTTGATCGATATGGTATTTGGCAATAGCTATTGCTAAAGAGAGAGTTGCCGGTGTCGGTACATCAATATCGACCCGACCTAGTTGGGGAGGAAAAGCCAGCTCGCTTATACTGTAGAGAGAGTATGCCTCGGTTGCGGATGAGCATGCTTCGCTTAGCGAGGCATACCCTTACTGTAGGGACCTCCAACTTCCTTGCAAATGTAGTACTAGTGTTACCACTGTATAGGCGTAATTGTTACACCCTTGAGGGTGCCTCAAAAGTTTAGATTTCCACTCCAAACCCCCTGGTTACCCTACCCTCAAAGGTGCAACAATTACGCCTGCGACGTAGTAAGTCATTCTAATCGTACAAAAGGAATCGACTCTTTTGAGCCTTGGAGAGAAGACAGATTACAGATACCATTTTTATCGCCAGTTTTGCAACTGCAAGAAGCCAGGTGCGTTGTACGATAGGAATGAACGATCGTTACCGGCGATCCAGCAGAAATGTTCACCACTATACTTCGGTAAAATATATAAGCTAGTTGTATGCTGAGTTTCTTTGACGGAGTACGATGAACTTAAGGAAGTACTACGTCGCAGGCGTAATGGTTATACCCTGGAGGATCGGGTATTCAAGGGTTTAAACTGGAAATTCAAACTTTTGAGGCACCCTCAAGGGTGGAACAATTACGCCTATACCGTGGTTTAAGAAAAGCTATGCATATGCGGTATAAAGCTACAGGCCCCTTTTCAAGAAGAGCCTTCGCTTAAAAGTAGATAAATAGAGAAAAAGATCCCCTTACAACTCTCACATACACCAACCATCTCACTCCACTTCTATCCTTTTTGACAACCTACCTAACAAGCTATATCTTTATCTCAAGCCTCGCTTTTCATCACATTCAACGCTTTTCAAAATGCAATTCTTGAAAATCGCCTTCCTCGCTATGATCAGCGTCGTTTCTGTCGCCGCGCGCCCAGCCCCTCAAGAGTGTTCAGGAGAACAAAGCGGCATATGCAATGTTGTAGTAAGTCTATCCTAGATAACGATTGAATACGCCGAAATCACGCTAATAAATATCAATAGTGCAGTCAAATGGGCATCAACACTGGTGGTACCTGCGACTCCAACGGCCAATGCAGATGCTCGGCCTAGATCCTATCCGTGCGCACAACAAGAAAATCCGGACGGGATAGCGGTACCAGACGTTTCATGTGCACTCTTGGATGGAATGTCAGGCTCCGGAACTCTGACGGGAAAGGGACTATTGGACTTCTGATGGGTACCTTATGGAGTGTTAGATGCGTTTGTTATACCGTCGTGCCTGGTCACGACAACAATAAATTCACTTCTGCACCACTATCATCCCCGGCCTCGAATCTCGAGAAATCCGATCGCTTTTTATCTGTGACCGTTGTAAACTCGCTAAACTTTGTTCGGACTTGCGGCCGCTACAACGACCCGGGGGCATCCGTTCGAGTCTGGGCTGTAGAGGAACACCAAAAACTTGACTGGGAGCTTACGAATAGTTACGGAAATACTTCCTAGGCGCTTACGCGTTATTTGTTTTAAGTCACTCCCCCCATCCCCTGCCTGTCCCACAGCTAAGCACGATGATAACCACGTGGAATTTCGCTGAAGCGATCGGTTTTAAGAATTAATCGCACGAAAGCGTCGACGTTCGTAAGGTGGTAGCCATACCGAGGAAATATCTTGGCACAGACCCCGGCTTAATAAGCAATCTTCTCAAACTAATTCGTATTTCACATTGATCGAGATATATAAACGATTATTGTTTCCAAACAAATTCGTCTTTAAATCAATTGAAAAATATAAACGATCAATTGATCGTTTTAAATTCTTACAATGAGTGCTTAAAGAAACACGTTTTAGACAGTTGGAAGGGGGCGGCCATAGGACGGTCTATTAGCTAAGCTATTCTTGAATAAAGCTTAGTCAAAGCGAGCTGGCGAAGCTTTATATTACCGGAGAGCTCCTTCCCTTACAAAAGGGAATGCAGCCTTATAAAAAAATGCAAATCATCTTTTTGAGCGAATGGAATTGATTAATCAATCAAAGAGTGCGCGTGGTGACGAGAAGCAAAATCTCAAAATGGCAGACAACGTGAGTGAAGTACCGGTATTGACAATTAAAGACTAAAGATACACTATTATTTCGAACTTTAAATCATTCAAACAAACACGCCTCTTTAAATTCTATGAACTCTTAATTGCGCGTATATACCGGTACCTCGGTAGGTGCACTCCCGAGCTCGCTTTGATGTTACGTAAGCTGCTTGGCATTTACGTCAACTTACTTGATATTGAATTTAGGCGGTCTAATAACCGTTTCTTATACTACGTATAAGGGGGTCAGCGGACTATTAAAATGACCCCCTGCCTGCCTTTAAGGTAATATAGATAGTATAGACAAATAGGTCAGTAAAATGGAGAGAGGGCAGAAGTAGGCAGAGGGAGGAATTGTCGCTTATGTACCGTATTATCATGCGTGACAGGAATACTCGACAGGAATACCTTACTCAGATGCTGGGCATCCGTCAAACCCTCGGGAGGCCCTCGCTACACCCATGTTTCAAGATGAGGATCCGATATATCAGAGATTAGGATAATGTGCATCATAATCTCGCATCGTATCTCGGGCTTCGAAAGAGTCCGCCCTGGGAGTTCCGTAGACTTATGTATACTGATCCGCGGGTGCTCCTTAAAGCTCCAGAGATCAGTTCACTATCATTTCTATACTCATATCATTTCTATCTTTGCCTGTGTTCAAGCTACCACCTTCTGACACACACTCACTCACACACACACATATATATATACATATATATGCAAAGCGAATCCGGGGACTTGACAGGAAGAAACAACGACCTAGGTAGCTAGGAAATAATCAAAAGATCCCCACCAACCTCCCCCTAAAAAGGCCCCGTACGATTATTATATATCACATCCATTCACTCACACTACACCCCAATTAATTTCTCTGCATATTGATATCATGCCCATACCCTTTTCTCGCGAAGTCATTCCAAGAGTCCTTCTTGATTTGACCGCCGCCAACTTCCTTCGTTCCCTCCTTAGCATTTTATATTAATCCGGAGAGAGAGAGAGAGAGAGAGAGAGAAGTAAATAAATAAAGAGAGGGAAAAATGGTATGGATGAATACCTCTCTTTCCAAGACGGAGCAGCAGGTCGGTCTCGCTGGATATGGGCGATGCGCAAATTGTGTCTGAATGCAAAGACCAAGAAGATAAGCGTATCTGTTCTAAGATGCGAGACTGAGATTTGCTGCATTTTGTTTCAAGGGCTGTTTTATCACTGCTTGTGGATTGTTGAGCTCGGTTTTGGAAGGGTAGATTCGTGAGATAATCAACTTGATAATGTGAAGGAATGAAAGGCTGGAAGGAGAGAGGAGAAAGGAGAGAGGAGGAAAGGGAGGAAGGAACGAAAGGAAAGGAGAGGAAAGGAAAGGAAAAGAAAAGAGCTTTTGCTAGGTAAATCGACAACGCCAAGACCTGCGCACGACACACGGGAAAGATAAAGAGGCCAGCAGAGCAGGCCTGACAATTCAAGTACCTAGCGCCCCTAGTAGTCAGTGAACCGATAGCAAATCCCACTTCAATATCCTGCAGCCCAACATTCTCCGTATCGCGAACATCATTACGCTCCTCCCTCACCGTCGCCCTCGCCTCGCCGTCGCTCACACGCGCCACTCTGCAGCCATTCCCATTCCTAGACTCACCTTCCTCGCCCGCCTACCTACAGCACCACGCAACTGCTGTTGGCCATCCAAGCGAGAACTCCCAATCAACCATAGACATCCACGTATTATACCTTAACTACGCAATAATCACAAATCCCAATTTAAAATTAAAAAAAATATTATTATTTTACTCCTTAGACTCCTCGCCTCGCCACCTTCTCCAGAGCACTCCGCCGCATCCTCCCTTCCCTGAATCCGATCCGTCTTTTCCAAACGCGCAGGGAATCTCCTCCAGGATATGCCAATATGGCTAAGCGCTTCCTTTGCAGAAGAGAGTGAGTATACATGAGCCAAGCCGAGTCTATTCGTGCGAGGACGGAGAAAAAGCTCGGATTCAAGATTCGCGAATCTGCGAAAGAGGAAGAAGAGGGAGGCTGGAATAGCTTGGAAAGAGATATCATCATCCAAAGGCGGAAAGGGCGAGAGGATAGGTGAAGCTAAGGAGGTTCTTGCGGAAATGAGGATAGCGTGTTTCAGGAGGCGATATGTGGTGATATACCGGTATGGACTTGGAAATAGGAGTGATCCGCGAAGGAGGGCTGTTGTGATAGTACGTCTTTTTTTTAAAAAATATATATATATATATATTTGAAGAGCCTGTTTATGGTCGTAAATATAGGGTTCAAGATGGTGACTTTGATTTGGTACGATTTGTTGTACCAGCCTTTGCTGGTTTTCGTGCGGGTATATCTGCATAAGTCTTGGCGTTGTCGACATAGCAAAGCTCAAGGAAAATAGCAGGCGAGAGGAAAGGATTGGAGATCAGATTCACGAGCTGTTTAAAGATCTGATTAGATGGGTAAAGGCTGTGTATGCTTTGACCGAATGCCTCTCTGCTTTTCGGTAACTGTTTCGAATGACACGAGGATTGAGAAAGGGGCAAATGCTTGGCATAAAGACTTTTCAAATCGAGACATCACCACACAGTTTCTCGGGCCGAGGGGTGATGGGCCTCGTCTCAACACGTAGGTCTCTCATACATTCAAGAAGAGAGTCATCATCAGCCCATCTCGCAGGCCGCGAAAGTGATAGATTGGATATGATGATCCTGCAAGTAAAATCGATGGACAGCAATCATCGTCCAAGTTCAGTTCCAGCCTCACCCCGGCCATCATCGCTAAATCGCCCGTCATTCCCTACCCACGATCGAGAAAGCCGCGCTCTTTCTGCGACACCCAACGGGTCCTCCACGTCGATTCTCAGCGAAAAACTCCCCTCGCGTCTTCCCTCAAGGCAACGCCACCACGCCACCGGACTCCATCCACCCCCGCCTCAACTCCAGCATCGCCTCTCCCAACCGCGTATTCTCGTCCTGCAGCCGGTCCCTCTGGCGTTCGAGCTCTTTGATGTGTTTTCGGGCGAGCGAGAGCACCTCGGCCTTGCTGACTTTCTTCTCCCCGCCCCGGCCCGCCACGGCCTCCCGCGGCAGCACCAGGAGCAAGCCCTCGAAATGCCCGTTCAGCCGGTTGCGGTACTGCTTCTCGACCTGGTTGTGGTTGAGTCGGGTCTGTCGGGGAGGTGAATTGCATGACGATGATGTAGATGGGATGAGGACGCGAGGAGTAGTAGATGACGCGATCGCACTTGACGTTGATCGCAGTCGTTTTTCGGGACTGCGCTTTGGCGGTGTTGTGGTGGCGGTGGGCGTCGTCTCGTCGTAGGATACAGTGTGTTTGCTCGCTCGAGACGGACGAGCCGAGATCTTGTGGTGCGAAGGGTTGGACCTGCCCCAGTTCGGTTGCCTAATTGTTTGAGGAGCTGAGTAGGACTTCTGCTGCATGGGAGAACCGAGCTGGGGGGATCCGGTGCTGGGAAAGATTTCGATACATCTACGATCAATGGGTAGGCATTCGACTACTGCTGGTGCTACATAGCCTGGCTGTACCTTCTGGCGATCACCAGGTTCCGGCGATGGTAAGGCCCGAAACTGGCTATCTGAGGGGAAGAACCCGTCGTCTGTTGAGTCCGGTGTCAGAATGGAGCCGAATGACTGTTCCAATGGATCCCAAGTGGCATCTCGAAATGTTCCGGATAGGACTGGAGACTCCAAGTAAGGGGACTCTGGCGAGGGGAGAGGCGAGAAAGACCAAGACTTTGGATTCAGGTCCGTAATCTTGTTACAAGGTCGCGAGAACGAGAAGTAGTCTTCTTGATTCAGATCCAAGAATTCCTGTCAGGCTGTCAGCATATTTGGTACAGAGAAATAGGCTGGAATCTGGTAGAGGTCTTGTTGTTACACAAGGCGGCGGAGTCATACACTAACTTTGGCTACGGGTAGTCCCATGTAGCAGTCTTCGAAAGGCCCAATATTGTTTCTAAAAGTCGTCATGGTGGTTTCGGAATAGAAGTACGAGCAGGATATCCTTTCTTTCTGTGTGTGTGTATATGTGTGTGTTGTTTTGACGGAGTGGAAATCCTTGGCATGAGATGACTAACCATCTCTTTATATTATCTTATTTCCTTCGATCGGTACCTAGACAGCAGCGGGGAAGACGGTCTATATCAGCAAGGAACCGTGAGTTGCTTGTGAGTAGGAGCTGCCAGAGCTTGGAAGATAAGATCTCCACTGGACGGCCTTCGGGATTCACGACAGCACGACCCCTCTTGAGGCTTGTTCAACAGCACCAAGATTGCAGTACCTGGCTGCTTGCGGAGCGACAGAGCCTTATCCACAGCCCAATGGACTATCCGCAGTTACATCCATGAAGCGTCAACGTGGAATCCTGATGATCGATAGGTGCCCGCCAGAGTCCTCTGCTTGCCGTGCCACCTCGAATGCTCGGGGTCCAAAGATATGCAGCATCTATCTGTGGCATGGATGATCCGGTCTCTTCTCTCTGTCCAGCTTTCAGGTTCATGTTACACTGAGAGTCTTATTGGTCGAGGCTGATGGACAGGAAGAATTCGCAGCAGCTGTGCCCGCCCAGCTTCGAACGATATCAGGCCACATTGCCATGTAAGCTGATAAGTAGGAGCAGCTCCGCTCAGCTCCAGGCGGATGGACAATGAATGCCACACTGGGAACCAGAGATTCTGAGGCGGAGATACTCGATGGAAAAGTCGAGCTCAGCATCACAGTGGTGACGAGGGTCGTGTTTTGGATATGTGTTTGGGATATGAGCGAGGTCGGCTAGGCAGGGCTAACTGCAGCTCGGCTAGGGCCGCCGCTAGGCCCCCCCCTATTATCTCGACCACTACCTACTTGTGTCGGGTGTCGGCCCACAGAGCGAGTAACATTGGTCCCGGTCTCTTGTACCATTTCCAACACATCAAAGCTCATACCGTCGCCTTTAAACCGAAAGATCGTCCATTCCCATCTTGGTTGACACGACCCTATGGTAGGTCACGCGCCAGTACGAGCAAGCTCCTGCAACAATATACATGCGCACCTCGGCTTAAAAGGCAGATCCAGCCGCGGCATTGGTTACTGGACAAGTATTGACGGAATATGCGGGCTTACTGTGTGAGTACCAGGAGCGGCAGACAGCATTGGCAAGCTCTGGCTGGACTTCTCAACTGTTCGAACAGTGCGGGGAATCAAGAAGATGATGGCGCAATTGCCGCAATGTTTACCTGGATGATACTGCTGCGACTGTGTACAGATTACTCTGTTCAGTCGACGTCACAATAGTAAAGACGCGGCCACTGGTCGACATTCTTCTCCTCGTAAGGCTGCTCGCTTCTTAGCTCGGTTGGAGGCAGTACACAAGACTCCGCACCCAACGCTGGCAAGTCAAAGCTCGTGAGCATGAGATTGAAAAACAACTTCTTGTCTAAAAAACCATCTGTAAGAAAGGCAATAACCAACAAGCCTCTTTCCCGCCCAGTATCTCAACAAGTCTCACATATCGTGTGACCTAAGCGAGAGAAGATATCAACGTGAACGTCCGCCCTCGAGATGTCATCCCCACCCCATAATACAAGCCTCTACTACCCACCGAGGATCCGGGAAAAGCCGCGCCGTAGGTCGTTCGGACCTTCCCGAGGAGAAAGGTCTACGTCTCTCGCTCGTCACAACATTTGCCATAGCAAATCAGCAGCAGCGACTATGCTGCGCGCATATGCAGCCACAGCCGGGCTGCTTTCATCCAGTCATAACCCCAGACGGGAATCCCGCAAACAACGCAGCTTGTACGACGACGACGACGACAACGACGACGGTTAGAGATAGGCGCCTACAATTGCTTTCTCTCCTGCTGCAGGGTATCCTGGACATGCATGCTATGTATATACGCAGCGGAATCTGACGCAGGAGCCTACACTCGAGACATGAAGACAACGGCTCCGTAAATGAAGCCCATTCATCAACAGATTTCTGCCCATTTTACATATATCAAAAGTTAAGAATGTTAAAAAAAAAACAAAAAGGGTGCAGAATCTCACGGCGGTGATGGATTTTTGCATGAAAACAAACAAAGCACCGCGGCCCCTAAGCGAGCCTGCAAACACCGCATGTTCGTTCACGTTTCATCATGTATGTAGGTATAGACTGGCAAAACAGGTTCACGATGCGATCCCCCCCCCTCCTACATCCACGAGTCTGTTACATCTTCTCCATCCCTAAACCCTCGAGCCTGGAGTTTCTCCGGAGAGGGTCCCTGGATAATTCCCACCAGCCACGGAGCCACTCGTCGCAAGGCCGTCCTGCCCGTCCTGCCCGTCCTCGCCGTCCTCGTTGTCCGCCTCGCCAAAACCGGGTATTCGAGCCGCTAGTCCGACTCCCTCTCACAAGGAAAAATGCTCCCCGAGGTTGCACGGCTCGCGCTCCGGTTGTAAGGCTGAGGGGGTGGGTGGGGTATCTATCTATCTATCTATCTATCTATCTATCTATCTATCTATCTATCTATCTATCTATCTATCTATCTGTTCGTCACACTGTCGTACGGCCAGCTGGACCCTGAAAAAGGTAACTGTGAGATGAGAAGACCCGTACGGGGTCCCTCCCGTTTGAAAGGAGTACCGGCTGGAGTTTGTGTATATGTGTGTGTGTGTGTGTGTGTGGCTTGCAGATATACGGAGTATGTGGGAGACGGTAGGATCCCGGAGCTTTGGGTCGTGTGCAACGGGGGTAGCGAGTGGGGGGGGGAGTGTGGTACTTGATGATGGGGAGGTTTGATTAGGACTGGGGAGAGAGCAGGCTGGGATCACGCATTGGGTTTGCTCGAGGCTGGCTGACACGGAGAAAGAGAAGAGGAAATTAAGGATTGATTTGGCTTGCACCCCAGCTCTCCAGCTCTCCAGAGAGATATAGAAGGCAACGCGAAATATCCCCGTACCCACCACCCGTGTGTGTAACCGTGTGACTCCATCCATTCTACCATTCATTCCAGGGTATCGTCCGGCGCGGATTAAAAGTTAAAAAAAAAAGGGAGGCCCGCAGCTTTCTTTACTTATTTTTCCCTTTGCCTTCCCGAGATCTCTCTCTCTCTCTCTCTTCTCAACAGCCCCTATCCATCCGCAAGTCGTCAAAGACGATCGTCAGCGCCGCCATGATACAGTAGTCCACGTCCGGGGCCACTTCCAAGACGTAGGTGTGCTTCTTCAGCTTCGACTCGAGCGAGATGCGGCCGACTTGGAAGCCGCGCCAGGTCGCCCGCAAACTCTCCATGTCATCGCCGCCCTTGGCTATCCATTGCCCTGCACTGAGATCACTGCCGTGATTTATTGTGAAATTGGGACTTGCTGTACGTAAAATCAGTAAGAGCTCCTTCTGTCTTTGGTGACAGTGGAGTGGTGTGCGGAGCGAGAGAGAACGGGGGGGGTGGAGGTCTTACAATAAATCGAGCCGCTCTTGATGGTGAATAACATTATGCCGTCGGGCGTTTGAGCAACCATGGTATTACCACTCTTCTTTCGGAACTGGCAAATCTGACCATCATCGGCATCGCGAAATTCTGATACCTGTCAATCGACAACTTCCGGTCGTGGAAGTAGACGAACTCACCAGTCTGCCGGCTTGTCGACTTGGACTGTCCGAAACACTTGAGCAACGTCGCGCCATTTTCACCCTCAACGATCCACTCGACTTTCGAAAAAGCCTTTACCCGCCTTGTCATCTTGATGTGCATCCCAAGTGGTCCAGAGAAGAAGCCTTGGGTGAGCCGCAATCCTTGGCTGGGGGTAGATTCTAGCACCGAACTGACTGGCTGTGCGACATCCAATTTCTTCTTCAGGGGGGACAGGATTTTGAATTTGGACTGTCTGCGAACTTGAGAGGTCCGTCGGGCCTGCTTCTCAAGCTGAGCAACGACATTCGGAGTTTGGATTTCCGACTTCCTTGGTACCGGGGAGGGGACTTCCGGATGGGCGACCACGGCTGCAACGGGGGCCCGTTTGACCGGCTCTGGAGCCCTTTCTGCTTCCGACTCCTCCTGGACCTGGAAGCAAACATGCCTGCTCTCTGGCCGAGGATTGAATCCAGAAATCAAGTTCGGCTCTTTCTTGAGCGGGGGAGAAGTGACCCCCTGCTCGATCTCCCACTGCCTCTTGATCCTCAACAAGGCCCTTTCCATTTCTGCCTCGCTCTGTTCTTGACTCGGAAGCTGGCCGTGGATCGATTGTCGGCTAGCTCTCTTCCGACTGATGGACTCGAGTCGACGATGGATCATCGCTGGGGGAGGCGGTAACGCTTTCGAAAACCTGTCTGCCGTCGGAGACGTCTGCGATCTGGCCCGGCGGACATACTCCGTATTCGGCCTGGTAACAGGAGTTGAATACCGGCTGGAAGTCTCCTTCGGCGCATCCTTCGCTCTCATCAGACTCCCGACATGGGCAGCTTGTCTCTCCTCCGGAGTGCACGATTCTAATTCCGAGAGAACTGCAGGCGGCACAGACTGGGATGCTTGTGCGTGAGCGTGCATGGAAGAGACTCCGAGCTGAGGCGTAAACACAGACTGGCAACTAGACGGTGAGTCTGGTGGTGATGGCATAAGCTCCGGGAAGGTAATCAGCTCTGTTATGGTAGCATGAGTGGTTGGGACATCCATCTTGGCGAGTTCCCTCGCAGTCATTTCCATCGGTGTCAGTGGTTTTAGGTGCGGTAATATCGGACTGTCTCTGCGACACGGGACCTCGGACCGTGAAGGGCATCTGACAGCTCTTACACTCTTCCGGTTTGAACGATTAAGATTAAGATTGGCCGGTACAGAGGAAAGAGTCCGTTTCGACAACTCAAGCCCGAGCGCGTCTTGCTGTACCCTTAGCGGACTAACATGGACAGCCATAGTCAACGGTGGAGTCTCAGGGCGACCGGAAACAGTGGAGTTCGAGTACTCGCTGGACGATGATCCCAATGGAGATGGGATCGAGTCCGGCCATGATCCATCAAGTTCGTCCAAGTCCGGAAACTCCAAATCAGCCGGGGAGGCCTCGAAGTCTTCGAGCGAGGCTGCCCATTTTTTGATCGAAGAAAATTCCGACTCGACGGGAGTTGGATGTAATGTTGGGGATTTCGGCGGTTGCTCGTTGAAATACTGATAGATCATTTCCATTAACAGAGCGCCGTCCGGTGGTTCAACGGGCTCTTCGTAATGACTTGGGGGACCAAGTTCTCGGAGATCAAACAGCGGTGATGATGCGTCCATGATATATGGTTATCCTTCGGAACGAGGAACGATAGACCAGATACGGGAATGTTCAAGATGGACATGAAGTTTCAAGATAATAAACAGAATGTTTATGAGTGATCCTGGAACAACAGATGGTCTAGAACAGGGACGAGGTCAGCAGCTGGAACAAACTAAGAGAGGGCAGGCTATGAAGTAAGTCAGGACCCTCATCTTCTCAACGCCACCCTCACGAGACTTTTGTACCGACAGCAACACACAACACCCTGCAACACTTCGACAAAAAACTTTTCTATATTGAGGGGTCTGATGGGAGGTGGAGCTGAACTAGTGCCCGAGACAACCGGGAGTGGATCCTCAGATGATTACAACTACTTACAAGGTTGTACTTAACTGTATCAGCAACGTTGTCGCGGGATTGGCTAGGAGCAGTAGGCTATAGCTCAATAGAGGAGACAAGCTTCTTCAACGGAAGCTAGTTGCATCATTCAAAAGGTCATGCTGTGTCATAGCTTTCTCCCAGCCTTTCAAGTTTCCGACCAGCTCGCGGCAAGAGCCCAAGGTCACAAGCAACCCATTTGAGATCATTCAGTTTCTGGAAGGATGAGAGAAGGGCAACGGGACAGTGGATCTGATCGATGTTTTGGTTTGATAGGAAAGCCTTCCCAGTTGTGTATAAAATGAGTAGAGTAGTCGCTGTGTGAGGTTTAATTTAGCATCTGGTAAGTTTAACTGCTCGCTCGCTTAAGAGTGCCAGCTAGACGAGCCCTCGTTCCGCCCGTACGGAGTAAACATGAGATTTTTGACTTTTTTACTGAAACCGTTCGGGACTTGGCATAACAACTAGATCCCCACGAGAACATCTCCATTTTCTGTACTTAGAAGCCTCAAGAGTCAACGGTGAGAGGAGACTACTCCGTGGTCTTGGCCAGCAGAACGATGCCTTCCAGTGCCGTTCTTGTTCCCTTCATCCAGTCCTTACCAAATCCTGCTGGTCTCGTTCGCTCCATCCATCCCCCGAGAAGTCCGGCCCCTCTTCTCTATCGTCCAGGAAAAGGGAAAAAAAATCCGAGTACGGAAGGGAGTCTTGATTGAGTGGGAGGCCTACAGAGCTGTTCATGTTACACAGCCAAGGATTTTTTCTACGGAAATAAAAGACTGTAGTCGAAGTAGTAGTAGTACAAGACTTGGTCCAAACCCAAGCTGTCTCTCCCCGACGACTATTTCGAAGCTGCAAGAATGCCCGGTGGAGATGCAGACGCTCAGATACCTCCTCCTGCAAGTACTCCGGTATATACCTCATAGAGCACACCGTCTCTGGCTCGGCAAAGAAAGTGGCTGGGAGGCGCAGAGGACCACCATGGCATGAAGATTGCGCAGGGGGGGGGGGGTTTTTTTTATCTTCCCGGCGCGCCACATGGACAGCATGATTAGACTCCACCTTCTTCAGTCTATAATTAGAAAGAGGGTACATCTGGGAAATCCCTACTTGGCGTCGAGACAAGCCGCCGGCCACGTACTACGTACCTCGATGGCGAAATGTGCCCAGAGCTTCCAGGGCACGTTCCGTCGTTCCGTACCCTCAGTAGTCGGCCAAAGATTTCCCATGCCTCCTGCCTCGAATTTGGTGGATCACGATGTGGCGTGCCGCAACACCTTAAACGGAAATGCCGCTTTTTAGAGTGGAATGTTATACAGCTCGAACAATTGTGTTGCGAGAAAACCTAGCAGCCCCATTTGCCTTAACTGTCGTCGGCTTAACTGAGCCAATGCAAAGTACCGGTAAGCCAATGAGTGCACATAAACGAGCAAAGCTGATAAGTTATCAGCTATCGTATTTCGACGGGATATGCTAGAAAAGCTAGCGACTGCTTGTTCTTGTTCTGCTTACTACATACAGTAGAAAAGGCTATTATAGCAAGAAAGAAAGGAAGAAAGAGGCAGGTATCTTGGGTACCGCCGATGACGAGAATAGCTGATCAGTACCGGTAACTCTGCACTTAATCCGCTGCTTTCTGACATCTAGTAATACGTCCTCTCGCGATCTTGCAACAAACCGACTTTGCGAATAGCGTTATGTCCACCCGTACGGCCCGGCTCTTCCATCTTACCTGACTCAGGGTTTCCAGAAGTCTCTCTGAGCCACGGAAGAAGAAGGTTGAGTTTGACAGGGGAAAGGCAACCAACAAGAGAGCTGAGATCTTACATAATAAATGGAGAGATTACCGCCAGGGTGACTCCACTCCTCTTCCCGTGGTTCATTCAGACTTCTAGAAAGAGCCGAGTACGCGCACAAGCGACGCATCGGCTGGCATACCGTAGAGCGGCATTCAAGGTAAGGTTGTGGAGGCATGCGCAATCATGATCCACTGAATGTCGAGGCATACGTAAGGGAAGTAGGAAATCTTTGGCCTCCACGCTCCGTACTTCCGTAATCCCCACCTCCAAGGCAAGGCAAGCAAGCAAGCAAGCTGAGCAATCAATCAGTCACGGGAAAAAAAAATATAAAAAAAATACCACGGCTACATATATGTACTTCACCTGCACGTCTTCCCTGCCGCAAAACCTTCGCTTTTCACCGCCCCCTCCTGTTAGTTCTATTTCTATCAGTACTCCGTAAGAATACGTGCCGACCAGGCCATCCGAAATTCTCTCATCGGTAGGCAAGCTCTCCCCCCTCAATCAACGCCGCGTGCTGCGTACCATGTCTGTCTTCCTCGTCTCTGTCGTCGCAGCCCCTGATCTGCGGAAGCGATTTATGCGATCGCTGGATGAATAAATAGACTGTAGGTACGGTAGTCAAGACGTCTTGAATCTTCAAGTACTACTATCACGCGACAGGCGTAATTATTACCCCTTGAGGGTGCCTCAAAAGTTCAGTTACCACTACAAACCCCCTGGTTACTCTACCCTCAGGGGGTAATACTTACGCCTGGACGTAGTAAATTGCCTACTCGCACGGGTCAAAGGTTGTGATATGGATGCGACAGGAACATCCGTCCCATCCAAGTTTCCTGGACTCCAGAGATTTTCGACCCGGCTTCGAAACGGACATCCCCCAGGTACTGATCTATATTTGTCGACCGGCCAAGAGACCCAGAACGAAGTCGGTTCCAGCGGTGCGGAGTATGATCGCCATCAGCCGAAGCAGAGAGTAAACAACCTCTCTGACGCAGATAGAGTAGACAAGTCGTATAAATAGATATCGGGCATGGGCGGAAACTACGCTTCGTGCAGGCTTCACTTAGACGACCGCAGGCAGAGTAATGCCCGGATGCTGCGTAATGAATTGGCTCGTGACAAAAAAAAAAAAAGGGAATAAACGAACGGCGAGGGTAGATCCGATCAGATTCGTACTGGGATGAATGCAAACATGACGATGTATCCATAGCCATAGGTACTACCACTTGCCTTACATGACTTCCCACTGTCTCAGAGCAGGATTCATTCATTGCGCCATCCTCCATGGGAAGACGGTCTAAGCAGGCGAGGGGGCCGCTCACCAGCACCAGCACCAGCACCAGCAACACCGCCGCCACCTCTCCAAGCGAGCAAGGAACGACCTCTCGAAAATAAACAGGCTGCGTTCAATCAAGGCACGTCTCTAGGGGACGGGCCTGTCTGCTCAGTTCTTCGTCGCGAAGGAGGGACCTTCCTTTAAGCATTCATGTCTGTGAGCCCCAGCCAGGCGGAGTATCAAGCGCTCTGTTTCAATACGTGAAGGGGCGGCAGCGTGAGCATCGCCGCCCATGGCCGAGTGAGAATCCGTAGCGTGTGCGTGTGCTGGCGGCACAATGGCAGGATAGGTCGTGCAGTGTTAAAAGGCTTCCAGTCAAGTAAAAGTAGTTTCGGAGATGTTAGGCGAGAGTACCTAGCGAATGTGCTTTCGAGTTCAGGGTCCAAACCACAATCTCTTCGTTGATCAAATGAAGAAAGACCGAACGAGCATCGAGAATTGGAGATGGCCTCCTTCCTGGATTCATGCCGGCTTCCATAGAAAGTGAGACCAGGTGTTAGTTGCATCTCACCAGCTTGTATATATGGATTTTGAGGTTTCGAGGCATAATGGAGCCTCGAGACCTCGGCCCTGCAGAAAGTCAGATGTGTAGCCTCGTAAATCAATAAAGGCCAAAGCCAGACACAACTTGAAGCTGTGGTCCAAAGATACTCGCATTCTATTCACAAGTCTGCAATATTGTACATCCGTGCTGCTTCTCGGGGTCGAGCCTGATTTTGTGTCTACGAATCAGGAGAAGCGCCTTCTCTCTTAAAGTATGTCCACTGTCCCTCGACCGGCTTCTCCTCAAGATCTTCCCAACTGCAAGCTGTTAGCCAAATTCTCATGCTTCAAGGTGATGGCCCGGACTCGGGACATACACTTTCGACTTAGCCAAGACATCCACCAACTTCAGCTCTCCCTCCGCAACCTGGATAACCTCCTCAATCAACCCAGCTCCGATCCTGTTCTCAATCTCCGCGATCCTGCAACCTGTTAGCAACCCACCTCCCTCGCACCAGGTGTCCCAGGACTCACTGATCAGCAGTCAGAGCCGGCTCGGGCTCCCAATGCACAGTCTTGGTATCGCTCCCCGGCCTCTCCATCCCCCAACTTTGCTGCACCTTCCTCTCAGCCCTCGTCCGGCTCCCCTCCAACTGGGGCCCCTCATCCTTCTCCGCATCCCATTCCACAATCCTCTCATCACGCTCCTCCTCCAGCTTACTCGTCACGAAGGTACTGCCACCGATAACCTCCTTTACATGCCTGCCTTCATCGTGCGCCACCTTTCCCCCGGGCGTATTGAACACCTCAGGGTGTGCGGCAATCGTCTGCTTTGCCTTGTCCGCCCACGCTCTATAGCCCTCAGGCTCGACAGAGGAAACGATTGCGAGGCGGTGTTTGGTCACAGCCTCGGTCGATTGGCGGTACAGCGAGGATTCCGGGAAGGCCTGGAGCTTGTCGAGGGTGCTGGTGTAGAGGTAGATGAGCGTTGAGCGCGGTGCAGGATGCGTGAAGAGGCCTGCGAGGCCTGTCGGGGCGCCAGCTTCAAGGTAGCGGGAGGGCTTAACAGCCGCGAGCTGTCGGAATGTCCTGCGCATAGTGGTCGAGGTCAATGGGCGCGGATGAATGTTGCGAATGATGGAGGATGTGGTGACGCAGTGGAGAGCTTCGAATTGAATGTCTTGGCGAGCTAGTACTTGACCACTCAGACTTGAGGTAGAGGTAATAGAGATGTCTAGTCGCAAATTCAATAACCATAATATTCATTGATTTTGATTTTGATTTATCCACAATGCCATCTAGGTATTGAAGTCGATTGGAAAACTCTTATTTTTCATTACTGCTTTGGAGTTCAAATTATTACTACTAGATACAAATGTAGCCACGTGATTCTATAAGACCTCCCTTGCGAAGGACGCTACCATAATTTCATTTCTGTTTGAATGATACCAGACTTGCGCGGAAGTTGGTCAGATTCATAGATTGATGTCCCGGTATCTTTCCCCTGTCTAGTCCAGCATACTTGAATCTTCCCATAAGAGAAGAGTCTACTCCGTACAACAAAACCTACTGTCTACACACCCACAGCCTTCCCATGATAATTTGACATCTCCAGCTTCAACAAGAGCCGCACAATCGTGTTCTCCTCGGCCAGCTCCCCTCCATCAAACAACCCCTCCCCTTCCGCCCCTCTCATATCACCCATCTTTCTCTCTCCATACCCCTTCTTCTCACTCAAGCCCCTACAGACGTTGATGAACACCACCACTTTCTTCCTAAACCGCGCATACATCTCCTCCAACTCGTGGTTCGCTCCCTCTTTCCCTACACCCAAAGCACGCTCACGAGAATGCTTTGAGAACTGCAAAATAAGCGTAAATATTTCTTCCAACAGTTTCATCACTGGCTGCTGACGTTTTCGCAGCAGAAGCGCAAACATGATCCTATCGAGCACTTTTTCATGATAGTCTCTCAGCTTATCTAAGCCCTCGTTTTGCCCAAGCGTGATGTAGTCACCGTCACCTTTGATGCGCTCTTCGATTTCGTCAAGCTTGCGTTCGAAGATTCGCCATGTTGCGTTGATGCCGGTGTCGAAGAAATAGCTGCTTACGCTGGTGATGAAGTGATGGGCTTCAATTCGGAATCTCTGGGCGAGATTCTCGGTTCCTTGCCAGTCCGTGGTACGAGTGGTGGTGTCACGGTAAAGTGTGGATACTACAAAGAGCATTCGGATGATGCGGAGGAGGACCTTGAAAAGCTGGTCGTATTTAAAGAGAATTATGGGTGTCATTATGGCCCCGAGCGGTTGCGGTGGTTTGTAGGACAAGCGAAGGAAGTCCAAAGCCTCGACTGAATCCGCGTTCATGCATTTCTCAATGTCCTCGGGTGACATATCACGGACTGCGAAGCTCAAGTCGCCTGGAATGATGCTCTGACCGAGATATGTCCCAGCACGGGATTTGTTGAGCGGCTGGCTAGAAACATAGCTGTCGGTGAGCACTCCCATCAGGGCTAAGCGAAGTTCGGAGCTTGCAGGAGGCCACGAGTCTCTACCACCAAGCCGAAGGCCCATGACACCCCCTGAACGTGCAACTCCTCGGTGCCTCTCAGCACTTTCCAATTCAGGGTCGAAGAGGGCATGAGATAGCCTACTTAAGAAGACACCATTTCCAAGTAGATGAAAATCCCGCTGAATGGATAAATGCTCTCGAAGTTTGTGGGAGTTGAAGAACATTCGCATACAAGTCCCGTTGATAATCCGTGCTTGGGCTGCAATGATGGGATTGAATGACAGGACTGGAGCAAGTGATATTGGTGGAGCAAAAACAGATTCAGAGGCTTCCGGCATATCTCCTTTAGAAGCAAGATATGTATTTAGTCCTGAGGACAGACTATCAGCTTGGATTTCGCCACTGATAGGACGGTCGAAAGCATCTATTGAAGCCAGCATATGAGCCTGCATATCCTCTTCTGGTCTACCAAAGAAGTCATGTCTGAAGTCGGACTCAATAGCGAGAGATATCTGCGGAGGAGCGTCTGCAGAAAACCGTTTGAGGGCGTCAATGAGGTCTCGTTCATATTGTAACGCTTTACTTTCGACTTGGACGATATCTTTCCAAGCGAACTTCCATTTCAGCAGAGGAGGGTTCGCGGAGTCAACAACATCTGGTCTTGCCAGAGGGTGGTCGGCATGGTGAGATCTCAGAAAACGGAGGCTCTTCCCGATTTCAAACATAGCGCGAGCATCATCAGGAGCCATAAAGACAGGGACTTTGTCATAGTCCAAAACATAATCCTGCTCTCGGATCTCAAGACCTTGGTCATCGACCCATTCCTTGTCGTCGATTTTTACAAAACTCTTTCCCGGCCCGTCCTTGGTCATAGGTAAACCTGCTTCTCTCTGCAGCCCCAGCCATTCGCCAGCAAATTCGAGCCAGGGCTGAGACACCCGAGACAAGATTTCCAAGAGAATCTCCCTTAAGGAGTCTGTCCTATGTTCAAGAAGCTGTATTTCTTCGAAGACTGTCGACAGCATCGACTCATCGCTTCTATGGACCGAGGTGTTTACGACAATGCGTCGAAAACATGTCAAAATGGAGTGAACCGGCTGAAAAAGAGCTTTTAACTGCAGTATACTTTTGTGCTCAGCGGCAGAAGCACTTATGCGTGACTGGATCGTTGTCAAAAGAGTGGAAACAGCGTCCGCCAGGGCAATCCGCCCGGGCGAATTATTTCGAGAATAAGACTTCTCAACAAAATTCCGAAGGTACCTCGTAATATTCCCACAATCTATAAATATCAAGAGAAAGCCATCCAAGGAATCGCCCGTATAGCCAGATATCCGCATGAGGTTCAGAGTTGGTATAAAGGACTGCTTTCCATCATCCCAAGTGTAGAAGACAGAGCTTCTCCCCAGACCAAGAGCCAGGAGAGAGGAAGCGTATATTCTCGAGTCTACCACAACATGGTCTGTATTCTTGATCCGTAGGAAATCTTCTTTTGCAGCAATAACAGTATCCAGTATCGAAGGTCCAGCTTCTGTTAGGTAAGGCGTTTGGTGCCCATCAGCTTTCTGCTTCTCAAACCCTTCCCAGTCCTGATAGTTCGCGGTTTTGACTGGTATCTCGTCTGGAATAACCCATATATCATCTTCGTCTTTTTCTGCCCAGTCTAAAGGAGCCTCTTTCGAGGACGTTGCCATGGGGCTCACAGCCACTGCGATGGCAGGCCCCAGAGGCAGATCCGGGATGCTGAAGAAGACATCTCCTTCATGTAATTGTTCTCCAATTTCTGGTAGATTCTCGTCAATGTCTGGAAGATAGTTAGCTGTGAACCCCCCCTTTTCGTGATGGTTCACGAACCAACGAGTTTGAGTTCCGAAAATAACAGACTGTCATCTGGTGCGTAACTTATGAGCCTAGAGGGACACCAGAGATCTGGAATAGCAAATACATCCCCTTGGTCGCCGTGATCGTTGTCCATATTGACATTGGCATCGCATGTCGCGTCTGGACTTCCGCTTGACGCGCTGTTACATTTACTGATGACGTGGGACCAAGGCTTTGCTAGCGTGATATCGTTCTGAAAGTCATCTGCGAGGCTACGATAAAGCCTTGGTTGAATAACATCACAACCAGTGTCCAGAATCAACACTCGCTATAATGCCTCCTCGAGGGAAGAAAACTAAAGGCAGCGCGCGCGCGCCTTCGACACCAGCCGGTGATGACGATATAGTTGCCACTGCTCTTCCGCAGACAGAAAAATCAGCTTCAAATACACCTAAGCCTGCCTACAACATTCTAAATGACCCTTGGACGGATGAGCAGGAGACGTCGCTATTCAAGGGAATTATCAAATGGAAGCCGGCAGGTAGGCACTTTCGGCATCCCCCACGATGATTGCGTTGACCAAGCGCAGGCATACACAAGCATTTTCGCATGATCGCATTATCAGAACATCTGCGAAACCACGGCTACGATCCTGCAGTTGAGCAACATACACGCATCCCAGGAATATGGCAGAAACTACGCACAATCTACAACCTGGATGTCATCGACGACCGCGAGAACTCCTTCGAGTATGATGACCCAGACAAATTCCTCGACTTCAAGCTCCCGGAGAAGGAATATGGGGAAGCTATGTTTATGAAAGGTCGAAGAAGCGCAGCTCAAGAAAAGGCCAGCGAGGCCCCATCTTCTCCTCCGCAGCTAGGACGATCATCATCTCCACCTGTATTGACGAAGCGCAAGAGGGCAGAAACTGTGACTGTGAAGAACAGAGCGGGCACCGGGGATACGGATGGCACCAGGACGTCTCCCGCGCTGTCTCCTCCGCCAAAGGCTATTCGGGTAGTAAAGAATACGAATAAGCCTATAGGGAGGCTGAAGGGTGCTTCTGCCGCTAGCTCGAGACGGCAGAGCAAAGAAACGACTGCCACGGCGGAGACTGCAGACGAGGACGAGGGAGGTGAGGAGACCGAGGGAGCCGTGGAAGACGAGGGGGAGGATGCCGAGGAAGAGGATGGGACGGCTTCTCCAAAGCCTTTGAAGGCTGCAAAAGCCAAGCCAGATCCTCCTACACGTAAAAGTCGAAGGAAAAAGTAGAATGTGAGTGGTACGAAGGATATATGTATGAACAAGAATGGGTTACGGGCGTATCGATTAGGGCATACCATGGAGTTCAGAGGCAGGGAAACGAACCCTGAGATTCACTTTCCCGATAGTTGTGGATCAGATTCCACAGGAAATCACATCTCTATGGTACCAAATATTGAGCCTTGAGTCCATCGGCTTGTTGGCAATAGAGCATTATACGGTTAATAGTCAGTGCACTGACTATTACTTGAATTGTCATCTGAAAAATAAACAGACCAAGTCATGCGTTTGAGCTCGCTGGTTCCACAATGCCTCGGACTGACCCAAGCAATTGAACCTCGGCTTCGGACAGCGCTACGCTGCGCTGCCAGGATTCCAGACCGGCCAACGAACCTCCCCCACCAACCAAACAACCCCAGGAGCCCCTGTTTATAAACTCCGTGCAGCTGTCCCATTATCACGAGGCTTGCGAGCTTTCCTGGCATCTCCTCTGGATTCTCACTGCTCTTCTCTCCTCTTTGCTTTTCTTCAAAAACGACGTTGGGAATGTTGAAGTCGGTTACCAAGGGTCGGACGTCCCCTTTGCTCAGAAGCAGCTTCATCGCGACACGACCATCACTTTCACGAGTCCGCAAACCTCCTCGACGTGAAGGGCTTTCTAGCTAACTGTTCTGCAGACTTTGGGAATGGCACCCGCAAATGCGCGGAGCAACAGCTCTGCCCTCCCACAAGGTATGCTCGTGCTTAGCTCCGCACACCGAATACTGGCTGAACTTACGCACAGGGTATAAGGAGGATCACTCGAAAGGACCTATGTTACGGTTCGAAGAGTCCCTACCCAAGCTTCCCGTACCGACTCTCGAGGAAACAGCAGTTCGATACTTGAAGTCTGTCCATCCGCTACTCTCCAACTCTGAGCTTGCAACGACTACGAAAGCTGTCCAGGAATTCATAAAGCCCGGTGGGGTTGGTAACAAGCTTCAGGAGAAGTTAATTGCCAGACGGGAAGACCCTAAGACCAAGAATTGGATCTACGAATGGTGGAACGATGCGGCATACCTATCATACCGAGATCCAGTCGTGCCTTATGTTAGCTATTTCTACTCATACAGAGACGATAGGCGGCGGAGAGATCCTGCCAAGCGAGCTGCTGCGATCACCACTGCGGCCCTGGAATTCAAGAAGCAAGTCGACAATGGTACACTGGAGCCTGATTACATGAAAAAGCTCCCAATTTCCATGGAAAGCTTACAATGGATGTTCAACTGTAGTCGAGTGCCTGCCAAACCAGCCGATTACCCAGCCAAGTACTCTGCAGACGAGCACAAGTACATTGTGGTAGTCCGCAAAAACCAGTTCTTCAAAGTCTACCATGAGGTTGACGGCAAGCAACTGAATACATCTGAATTGGAGCAGCAATTCAAGTGTGTTTACCAGAAGGCGGAGAAGGTGCCAGCTGTTGGTGCTTTGACCTCTGAGAACCGTGATGTCTGGACCGATGCTCGCGAAATTCTCCTCAACGCCCACCCCTCGAACGCCGCATCCCTAAAGACTATCGAGGCCTCTTCATTCATGTTCTGCTTAGATGATGCTAGCCCGGTCACCCTTGAGGAGCGAGCACACCAATTCTGGCACGGAGATGGCTGCAACAGGTGGTACGATAAGCCTCTCCAGTTCATCGTCAATGACAATGGCACAGCCGGGTTCATGGGCGAGCATTCCATGATGGACGGAACCCCAACCCAACGTATCAACGACTACGTAAACGAAGTAATCTTCAACAACAAGCTTGACTTCTCTGACCCTTCAATCCGCTCCAACCTTCCCGAGCCCTCGGTTGTCAAATTCCACGTCAATAAAGAAGTCCAGTCCGAAATCGAGCGAGCAACCAAGGACTTTACCGAAGTTATCGGGGCGCACGAGCTGCGCGTACAAGCATACCAAGGTTACGGCAAGGCAATGATCAAGAAGTTTAAGTGCTCCCCAGACGCTTACGTGCAAATGGTCATCCAACTCGCTTACTTCAAGATGTACGGTAAGAACAGGCCGACATACGAGTCCGCCGCCGTCCGCCGCTTCCAGCAAGGCCGAACTGAAACCTGCCGTTCGGTGTCTGACGAGTCGGTTGCGTTCTGCAAAGCCATCACTGACCACTCGGTCGACAACGAGACTGCGATCGCTGCGTTCCGTGCTGCACTTAAGGCACATGTGGAATACATCACTGCTGCATCTGATGGCAAGGGCGTCGACAGGCATCTATTCGGCCTTAAGAAACTCGTTGGGCCCAATGAGGAGCTTCCGGCTATCTTCAAGGACCCGGCCTATAGCTACTCGAGCAAGTGGTTTATCTCGAGCAGTCAGCTGAGCTCGGAGTACTTTAATGGGTATGGATGGAGTCAGGTTGTTGATGATGGGTGGGGAATTGCTTATATGATTAATGAGAACAGGTAGGCCCACGTGTGAATTTGGTTTATTCTGAGATTATAGCTAATAAAGGGCTTCTAGCATCCAATTTAACGTCGTATCCAAGGGTCTCGGTAGCGAAAGAATGAGCTTCTACCTAAACGAGGCTTGTGGCGATCTCAGAGACCTCTTGATGCCTACGATCGAGGCGCCAAAGGCCAAGCTGTAAACAGTCTTTGGATTCTTCGAATACAGTATAGGTAACGGTCACACGCGGGGGAGGAAGGGCTGGCTGGTGTAAGTCGGTTTTTGTACAAAGAAAATATCCCCATGACTGGGCCGAGGCCGTTGATGCCGTAGTCCCATCTCTCAGAATTCTATACCGCTGCACCTCGATACAATAGATGAATAGAAAAACGCATTACACTTTCTCGAATCCCATATCTACACACTGCATCGTAAATGGAGAGGATGGATGGCGTAGTCACGGCTCATTAACAAACGACTTACCAAGGAAGGCAGGGGGTACCATTACACTATTTCCGCCTTGGACAGTTAGGATGTAGAGTTAGTTAGTTCTGTTGGCAGGTTGCACATTGTGTACCTGGAAACAGAGCGAGCTGTTATGATACATGCCTGACTAGCAAACAAAAAAAAGAGGACCAGGAAGAAGTACTTCGCTTTCATCTGTCTCTTCATTATCAACTTTCAGTATATGAAGCTGACATGAAGCTGACAGACATGCTCGCTTTATTCGCAATACCGCTGATTATGAGCGAAACTGTGGCCAAGAAAACCATTCTAATCTCTCGTGCCATGCTTTGCAGAGAGGATGCCATATTGTGCCTCTACTAGATATAATACATCATACAGTACAGTGACCATCATCTACCCACAACTCATAATCCTACACGCCTCTACCTTCTCCTCAGGTACCACGTAAATGCCAACTGCATCGTCTCAGCGTTAAACGGGCTCGGCACCTCCGTGAGACCCGGCCTCGCCACCGGATCCCGCAAATACACCGCTGAGCAGATCTTGTGGTTGACCTCCAGATACCTTGGCACGAACGCAAACGCGCTCATGTACGGCCGCGGGCGCCACGGTGTCGCATACGGCTTCGTCGGGTCATGCAACTGCTCTTCGATGCGCGCTATCCGTTCGGCGGCGTCCAGCCGCCGCTGCTTCGAGATTCGCTCGTCGTAGGTTGGTTTCGCGGGTCTGTCTGGATCTTCTGGCTCGTCTGGTTTGGGTGGTGGGGGGTTGTTCTTCTTCCTTTCTCGGGCGCGCTCCCGCTTGCGCTCCCGTCTGGCTTGTTCGGCGGAGTGCGTGCGGGCTTCTTTCCATTCGGCAGCGATCTCTCGGCGCTGCTGCTCGAGCTTGTCGATAGACAGCCCGAAGACGTTGGCCCGGTACACCTTAACTTTCTTGACGAGGGCTCGCAGCACCTGCTTCTGCTTGCCGCTTATGGGTTTTCGGCGATTTTTCTGGAGTCTGTCGGCTTGCTTCAGCAGTTCGGTTGTGTCAGCTAGTCGTTGGTGGCGAAGTACCAAATTATCCTCCTGATTCGACCGGTTAGGTTTGGGCTTGGAAATGGAAACATCTCCTGCAGCTTCTGCTTCGGCTATTTTGGCTGCTCTTTCGGCACGGCTTGCGGCCTTTCGTTCTAGTTGCTGTGCTCTAAATTTCTCCATCGTGATGTTGACCCGGGCCGAGGACTTTCGGAGTATCCTTCCCTCCCTTCTTTGAGTTATATCCTTCGGTGCTCCTGTGGCGAACATTACTGAGTCAGGCTCGACTTGGAACAGGTCTCCTGGGTTTAGAAGGTATCCGGGATATGGCATCTACAAATATCAGCATCCAGTCCAGACTAGAATAGCCCAAGCAAATAGTCCGACACACCTTCTTGCCATTCACCTTGACCTTGCCGTGCACAACAAATTGTCTCGCTTGCCTCGCGCTACTAGCAAACAATGCTCTCCAAACCGCCATATCCAGTCGCCTCTCGATGGGCGCATAGGTCATGTGCATGTACGGTATCAAGTTCTTTCCAAGCTGCAGATTCTTCGGGTCCAAGGGTTCTTCCTTGCCAGAGCCTCGCCCAGCAGCCAGTTCCGAACCATCATTTTCTGCCAGATATCTGGGGTCCATGGGGACGACCGAGTTGAGATGGGGCGAGAACATCCGCTGCCATTGCTTCTCCCGGATCTGCTCACCGTGGTATGCGCGGGTCATGGACTTTCCAAGCCATTTCTGCTGGTAGAAGGTGTTGTAGGATGTGTTCATGGGCCTCCAGCGGCTCAGGTTGTAGAGGTTGAACTTGGACCATGATGCGCGTATTTTCTGCGGAGGAGCTCAGCTTTTGGATAGCAGTGATTGGCGCCCGGTGGGTGGGGTTGATAAGCTTGTACATACCACCTTCTTGAGGCCGTGAAATCTTTTTCGTGCCATATTAGAAATATCCTGGTGGTTGGGGATGAGGGCAGCGTGGATACCTACTTGTATTCTGCTGCTTCTTTCACACTTCACACCAAAATCATCGTCGAGAAACCCAGACCTTTCCTATGTCAGCTTAGCGTATGCGGCCGCACTAAGCGAACGAGCTTTGCTCCGGCTCCCCGCTTCGACGCTGATTTTGGAAATCTTTCAGACCCAGGTGTTCTGCTCAAAAATTTACAATTACAACCACGACCAAAACCACAATCATAATCTTGGATTTGCGCCAGCACATTATCCACGGAAGTATCTATCGGCGCATGGAATCGAGCGTAGGTTTTTTTACTTGCGACATCATTCCCTTCTCCGTTGTTCTTTGCGACTTCAGCAGCTATTTATTCCACCCCGCCATTTCAGTCCCAGACTGCATCGAGTCACTTTTCAAGTCACATTTCTAATTCACCGCCAACAATAGGAGCAGCTCGGAAATTAACAGGCGCCTACACAATCTCTCCATTCTCTGAGCGACAGGAATTCTACAACTCATCTCCTCATCTCCATTCCACCCCATACTTTTCTTCGATCTACGGGAAAAAATCTACCCGCAATCAAAATGTCGGGACCCACCGAGCCAGAGGCAGGTGCCCCCTCCGTCTCGAACGATCATGCTGTCAAGCAGGAAGAGATCAACGGCACTGCAGCCGTTGCAGAGCTCGAGGCAGAGGCTGCAGAGGAGACCAATGGCTCGACTGAAGTGAGGGAAGAGGCCAAATCTGAGTTCAAGGCAGAAGCTACGGAGGAGACCAATGGCTCGACGGAAGTTGAAAAAGAGGCCACGTCTGAGGTCAAGGTAGAGGATGCCAATGGCTCGACTGAGGTGAAGGAAGAGGCCGAGTCTGGGGTCAAGGACGAACCCATTGAGGAGAATGGGGACGCTGTCAAGGCAGAGATCAAGGAAGAGGACCGAAAGGACGTCAAGGCGAGAGTCAAGGAGCGCAAGCAGCGTACTTACGATGACGGCGTCTTGAAAACCTCGGCGCAAAGCATTCCCGGCAAGAACAACAGTAAATACAATCCTGAACTCTTGCCCGTTTCCGAGGACCACAAGATCATCCGCGCTCAGGTACGCATTCGATGTCGCACCGTTTTACTCCATATTGCTAATACTTATGAAAGGTCGAGTTCTACTTTTGTGACTCTAACCTCCCCACTGACAAATATCTCTGGGGCTTGACTGATGGAGCTTCCAACCGGCCCGTTCCTATCGCTACTATCTGCTCGTTCGGCCGCATGAAACGCTTCCAGCCCCAATCTAATGTCGTTGCTGCTCTCCGAGGAAGTTCTTTCCTCGAGGTCTCTGGCCCCGAAGGAGGTGAGCAAGTCAATCGCAAAGTTGCATACGACCCTACCACTCCAGCAAGCAAGAGCATCCCTCGTTCCATCTACGCCAAGGGCTTTGGCGATGAGGAACCCAGCTCCCAGTTTGACATCGAGGCATTCTTCGCTCCCTATGGGCCAACCAGATCAGTTCGTCTTCGCCGTACCGATGACAAGCTCTTCAAGGGCTCAGTTTTCGTCGAGTTTGAGGATGAGGAGACTGCCGAAAAGTTCATGAAGCTGGACCCCAAGCCTCTGTGGAAGGGTACCCACATTCTCAAGATCCAAACCAAGCAAGAGTAAGCCACAATCTCACCACATGTTTTCAGGACATCAGCAAAGCGGCATCGGAGACCTCGTCAGTCTTGATCGTTCAGTCCCTGTTCTCGAGCACTACTTCACGAGGACCACACCATCTCCTTTCTGACACACTCGCTGACTATCCCTAGCTACATGGAGCAGAAGGAGCAGGAGATCAAGGATGGCAAGATTCAACCTCAACTGCAACGATATCATAACGGCAGAGGTCGCGGTAGAGGTCGTGGACGAGGTGGTGATCGTGGCGGCCGAGGCGATCGGGGCAACCGAGGTAATCGGGGCAACCGAAGCAACCGAGGTGATCGGGACCCAGATGACTGGAAAAAGCGCCGTGAGGACGATCGTGCTTCTGGCTTCAAGGACAACCACCGAGGGCGAGGAGGTCGTGGTGGCCGTGGCGGACGCCGAGATGACCGTGGATCAGGCCAAAACCGGGGGTCTGAGAACAAGTAAGTCTTTGATTTGTTCTCACTTGCCCTGTATTTATATTGACTTTCAAACAGGGTGCCCAAGTCAGAAGAGAACGGCGGCGACAAGAAGCCAGAGGTCAAGCCAGAGGTAAAGTCCGAGGAGGTATCGACGAATGGAAAGCGTCCCCGTGAGAATGACGACGGTGCAGAGGAGCAGCCAGCTAAGAAGGTTGATACCAAGCCCAGCGTTGCTGCTGAAGCATGACAGCCGATTTAGCCTTTTGGTGTGGATCAGCTCGATGGACCTGGGACCTTCTGACGACCAGCGGTTCCTCATTACATGCATGCATTGGCAAATGGCGTTCCGGAAAATAACTTTTATGTGCTCTCTGACTTACGGGAGAACATTGCTCGTTATCAATACGAGTTGTAATATGTACTGGGGGCGGGTTGGGGTTTTCGGCGGGCCTGCAAAGCTTTCGATAGCAGGCACAACAAATGACAATATAGGACCAAGATAAAAACGAGATTATCGCTTTTCATGTACCGTACCTGGTTGCGTCTGCTCGCTTTGCATGATTGCGTTTTCAGATGTCGATAGGTAGGTAGTATACGACTGAATCTATGCGAGCTCGTATATTCTACACCTATATGCACGTGTACTCCGACCATGAACATGTAGTCGCTCCTTATGATGCATTTGACGCAAGGAGAGTTCCAATAATACACAAGGAGCTGGCGTTTTAAAGCAGCCGTTCCATCTCATCATACAAGCCCGCAAGCTATGCCTAGATCCATCTTTCCATCTTTCTCCAAACCGATTGACTAGTGGATAATCTCTCCCAAGTCAATGTGCACCGGCTCCCAACCCTTCTTGGCCTTGGGATCCTCCGTGTCGCTCGGCAAACGCACGTTGTTGCCTGGGCTGTATAAATACCACGCCTTCAGAGCATTCACACTTGCCCTGATCCTCGCCTCTGGGAGATTCGGACCAGCGCCCTCCCCAAGCTGGTCGTTCCCGCTGAAGATGCCCACCACAAACACAGGCGTCCTACTCCGTCGCCCCGTCTCGCTTAGTATCCGAGCCACGGGATATTCGAAGCCCTCCCTCGCACATAACCGCGAAAGCTCCCTCACCGGCTCTTTGAACTGAAACAGAGACGCAACCTCCAAGTGCCGGCTCAGCATGTGGTTCTTGACGAACGTCTTGGCCGCTTCTCGTCCTGCGTGCAGGTGTATGCTGCCCACGAGCGCCTTTACAAAATTCGAGTACGCCGTCTCGGCCGGCAACGGCGACGCCACGTTCTCCTTCTTGTGGATCGTATCTCCAAACTCGTCGTCGTAGACCAACCTACTACTCATCCCCCGCCGATTGGGCCAGTCCTTGTCCGGCCGCAGACTTCCCCCCTGTGCCTTGTTCACGGGGGCCCCAGACTGCATCCTCTCGAACTGCAAGAACCCTGGGTCGACCTCTGAGCCCGGCGCCGCTGCAGCCTCCACTCCCCATTCCCTTCCTATCATCTGGAGCGTTTTAGGACCTTGGTATGCGTATGCTGCCGCAAAGAGCACCGACATAGGCAGGCGCGGGTATTTGCATAGGAGATACTCGGCGACGTGGAGGGATATGATGGAGCCCCCAAGCTGACTCAACGTCTCATTATTGAAGTCCGGATTCTGGTCCGCCGACGGGTCGACCAGCGTACGAGCCATGGTCTGCAGCGGTAGTTTCTTGGGTAGCGAGAGGCGGGCGTGCAGAGCAGCCAGCTTTGCAGAGTTCAACGCCGCCTCGGGAAGTGGTGAGGGATAGGGGCTCGACGGGTGTCTCGCGCTCGGCTCCTCGAGCTCCCACTCTTCGGTGTTCCCATCTGCATCTTCGTAGGCAAGGCTTGTAGGGGAACTAGACGAAGACTGTGACCGCGCCTGCTGGGTGCTAGCTACGTAGTGTGTTTTTGAGGGCGGAGACCGTAGACAGCATGGTCGTGTGCGCGGCGAGAGCCATTGTCCACCCAACCGGTCCAGTCTGATTCTCTTCATCTGTCCTTTGCCTCCTCTGCCAGTCCCTGAGGGTCCAAAGGGGGGAATTTTCGTGGGTGAGATGCGGATGCGGCCGTTGTAGCGTGCTGTTGTCTATCCTGAAGTGCCTAGTCCCCCTGCCCAAAATTTCTCGCAGAGCTCGAACGGGTCATTGAATTTTGGTACAGGCCACGTGAGTTGGCTTGGCGAGACAAGTTAATCCGTGCGCTTCAACGTCCCTGAACATCGACGCCCGACTCCAACCCGCAACGATACGCAATTGATCACGATGGTATGTTCGCAAGCTCTGGGACTCGCATGAGATTTGTACTGACAGTTTTTAGGGCGGCGGCGGCAAGATTCCGTGAGTCAATCGCGAGCGCGGAAGCGCTCCTCGATGTTATACCTCCGATTCTAATAAAGCATCAGATACCCCAAGCACGTCTGGTCACCGGCTGGTGGCTGGTACTCGCAACCCTCGAACTGGAAAGCAAACACGGCAGTATTTGGCGTAGTAATCGTTGGCCTGACGGCAATGATGTGGAAGCTCAGCGCGGAGAGAGAGTACCGGACGAGGTTCCCAGAGGAAGGACGGTTCTTCCCCAGTCGCTAGTACGTTACTCTGGGACTGTTTGACTTGAGATTCGTGGTGCTAATGGGTTGGCAGCTGGAGCAAACAAATCAAGCAGCATGAGAAGGATGTGAAGGAGGGCAAGGCATAGATGGAGTGGAGCGAATGGATGGATGGGCGCTTGTACATATTATGTATGGAGTCATGGATTGACTGGGCTACACTGCAACTGTCGAATCTTTCAATCGCTGGTCTATGACTGTGATCTGGCTGAAGGCTTCTCTGACCAAGGAGGAGTGGCCCTCTCTAGGGTCCGCCATCTTGATTGGATGCCCGATGAGCGACCAGCTATGGAAAGGCGTTAGTCTCATGTGCGGCATTCGGAAGTCGTATGATCATAGGCAAGTGCCTCCGATTTGTTAAGAAAACAATCAGTATTCCATATGTTTTCCTTCTCAGTGCGGCTCTACTACTTGCATGGCAGGATTTCGTGCTACTTCTCTGCCTAACATCCCCCTCCCCCCTCCCCCTCTCATAGCCCATCTCATAGACCTTACCATCATCTATCATGAACAAATCCAGATTCCATCACAAGCGCCTCGCTTACTAACATGCAATGCCAATGGGGTAGGTACCCACCCACGTTCTTCCATTCGATAATCGGAGGGGGAGGGGGGGTTTAAAAAAAAAGATACCTACCTAGGATACAACAAGTACCCAATAAGATAAGCGAGTCACAAAACATTTGTTACCTATCGACTTCGAAGAGACAGACAGACGGATATCATAGTGGGATTGGGTAGTAAAGCGATAGGCAATTAAAAAGTACTGCTGACAAGAGACCACACAGTGACCGCCAGGGACAAGGAGGATGTAAGGTCTGGATAGGTAGGTAGCCCTCTTACAAGTACTCCACAATGCATGCCAGTGGTCTCGTTGGAAAGCAAAAAAAATCGAGGGAAGCTTCCACAGCACACAAAGTCATCGAAAAGTACATGCACCACATATTGTACAACTTTTGCTCATCGAACGCTGCTCAACCAGCGTGCTCCACAATCTCACTCACAACCTTGCCGTCCTCCGTAATATATGTTCTCAGTTGCTCTGGCAGAGGCACCTCTTTAAAATCACCGTCCTCCTCCGCACTGCTGATCAACAAATTGATGCCCGAACACTTGCTAGCGAATACCTCGGTTTGTATGCTCTCTTTGCTCAGGTAGATTTGGGCACCATCTACGGAATCCATGAGGACAGTTGGAAGGACACCGAGGACCTGCATGGCGAAGTTTGCGGACTTGATCACATCGACTGATGAGACGAGGGAATCGATAACCAGTGAGAGTCGAGGAGAGTTGTCGATGGAGATGGCGTTGGCTTTTCCTTTAACGATGATTGTGGTCTTGTTACAGCGACTGATCAAGATCGAATGTGAAATAGACGCCTCAATCTCAACTGGTGCCGGTTCATTGTCGTAGTTTTCCTGCGGGTCAATCAGTATATGTTGCCCCAACAAATCATAAGGAAGGAACTCACAATGATCCACTTGTTGCCATCCAGCTTCTTGACCGGGGGTTTCTTGGTTCTCATGCTTTCTGGCTTAGGCTTCTTGCCCGGCGCAGGACTCTTACCACGATTCGACGAGACACTCGAAGCACTATCACTCCGCTGGGGAACTGTGGCGCCGGCTCGTAGAGATGGGTTCTTGTGTGTCATCTGATCTGGGTTGACCTTGCGAAGACCCTTCGTAACATCGGCTCCCTTGTTCAAATCGTTGAATACGGCATCAAGGCCTGCACCGGCACCGGGAGTAGCTCCAGCACCCGAAGGCGGCGGTGGCGGGGGTGGTGGACCATCAAATTTTATAGGAGGAGGAGGAGGTCCAGGAGGGGGTGGAGGGGGTGCACCTGCGCCTGCAGCTGGGTGAGGATGGTGGGGTGCCGGTTGGCTCTGTTCAACATCCTTAATTGCATCTTCCGCAGAAACACCTTTGACATTCCATTGGACACCTGTGGGGAAGGTCTGTTTGACGTATTCGGTCAAATCCTTGAAGACTTGGTAATAGGACTGTATCCACTCGACTTGCTTTGGGTCCCTATCACAGGTCAATCGTTGTCCCTCATTTGGTCTCAACTGCCTTACTTGTCCTTGAATTCCTTCAAGACTCGGTTTCCCCAGTATTGCGCCGACCCTAACGATTCTTCAACGTGCTTGTGCGGTTTTGGCTCGACTGTAACCCACGCAAGGACACCAATACTCTCGGAAACGGCGCTGAGCTGGTTGAAGACCGCCGAGCCACGGTTGGCATCTCGGATGTCGCTGACGGCCGTAATTGATTCCTGCAGAGGCTTCAAGAGGGTCATGAACACGGGCTTGGTCATATCAGGCTTCTTTGCTTTCGTTGTAATCAGAATGAACTTCCGTTGTCCAGCAAATGCCCGCAGTACGCTCGACGCCTGAATTCAGTCAGCATGTGGCCCTGGATCGTGGACCTTTCTCCCTACCTGCTCCGCAACCGGCCCCCCTATCTCGTCACTCAGATTCACGAAAGCCTTCACTGGCCCGTTAATAAAAGCATCAAAGTCTTCGACGGATTCGGGGAGAGCTTCGACGACGGGTTTTGGCTCTGCTGCTTTTGCAACGGGTGGCACGGGGAGGGGACCGGTCGGCGCGGGCGTGGGGGCTCCATTGACGGCGGATAGATCAATGGAGGAAGCTGCCATATCCTCAAGCCTGGAAGTGGCGGCTTCTAGCCTGCGCAGAAGAGCTGTTAGATCCATTCGATAGATAGTAGATATGGTGTTGTCGCCCATGATGTCTATTCAGTGATAAGGTGGAAACAGTATGCTGAAGTTTGCAGAAGAGGAAGCAAAGGAAGAAGAAAGAAGGAAGGAACGTGTCAGGGTACCGTTTGATCAGAGTAGTCAGATTATGCATGTTGTTGGCCGCCATGGTGGAAAGGGAGGTGGACGGATGCAGGGACCAGCGATGCCTTTGATGCTACCGTACAGGACCGTACAGTACCGTACTTTTGTGTTGGGTGGCGGGAGATGTTGATGTTAATCTTGAGGAGGTATGGTGTATCGTGTTTGTGTATGTGGACATGTAGGTATCGTGGTTGGAATCCGGGATGTCCCGACTTGCGACTTGCGACTTGCGACTTGCGACTTTGTTATGTTCGGACTTCAGAGCTACCAGAATAATGCCATGGGAGCTCGGATCGGCTAATGAATATTTCTCTTGGCGTGCAGACCGAGGCTGAAGTTGCTCCTTACCCTTCAACTTCAGCCTTGGCCCAAGGCCAGCAATATATATCGTCGACAATAAAACAACAAAAACTTCAACTTTTTTCTACTTACTTCTGCATATCCGGTCATGGGGGAAGACGAGGAGATATCTCCGTCCCAGGAGATTGACTTCTGTACTCTGGGCATGTTCATCATAGGTAAGCTAAAGGTGCTTCTCTGTGCAAGTGTATTCTCTTTTTGTTGTTTACTGTCTCGCTTTACCGATGAGAGTACTGCTGCCATTATGGCTTGACTGTTTTGTGTACAAATGAAGCCAGCTCTAGTGCCTGGTATTGATCATACTTATTCCTTTATTTTTTCGCTCTTTTTTTTTCTTTTTTTCTTTTTGGCCTCTCCAGTTTTGTCTTCGTTTCACTTTCTACAGCCCATTTCCCAATTCTTTCCCTTTACTAGAAATCATGTGGAGAGCAAGAAGTGGGGGCCAACATTCACCATGGCTACTAAAACCATCAAGATATCGATTCAGCTGGAGCACTCGGCTTGAATTTCGAATGTCTTATACGAATTCCACTCCGGACTTTGATATCTGGCATTACTTGCAAATAGGGTTTCTGTCGTCATGCAGCCACCCGCTTCAGGTCTGACTGACATCCGAGCTCCAGATGAGATACACTATCTTCCCCAAAAACCTCCTATGTTCAACGTGCTAGGCGGAGCAGGATCATACTCGGCTCTAGGTGCAAGACTCTTCTCGCCTCCTCCCTTTGCGCGAAAAGTTGCCTGGATAGTCGATAAGGGATCCGATTTCCCACCATCTCTCGCTAGTCAGATCAAGTCATGGCAGACATCCTGTCTCGTTCGTGAAGATAATACCAGATTAACGCAAGTATTATTTACTACTTCCTATTGACTACTTCATTTCGATGATGTCCATGGAGAGACATTCACCTATTCCCAGACTAACTTCTTCCGCAGGACTCGTGGCTGGAACGGCTACGACGAAGCCCAAAACCGCGCTTTCAAATACACAACCTCCAAACTCCGCTTAACAACTGATCAACTAACACCCGCTCTCCTCTTCTCCAAGTCATTTCATCTGATCTGCTCTCCTACCCGTTGCATCGAGCTTGTAAGGACCATCCTGCGAGCGCGAAAATCTATAAACCCCAATGTCGAGAAACCAATATGTATGTATCAGCGCACTTCACATCCCAAGAGCCGTAAGCCTAAAAAAAGGTATACGATGAACGTTCAGCGGCTCTATAAATCTCCAATCTCCAATCCACGCTCGTCAAAACAAGAAATAAGAGACACTACTAACACCCACACAGTCATCTGGGAGCCCGTCCCCGACCTCTGCCTCCCAACCGAACTTCTAAACTGCACGAACGCCCTCCCCTACATCGACATCTGCAGTCCCAACGCCAACGAACGTACGTATTAGCCAGTCTCGATTTAAACCCCATTCCAGAACGTCTCACTTTCTACCCGAAGCTTTCATAAACAGGCAACAACTGACTCCCTCGCGTATCCTCCAGTCGCAGGCTTCATGAGCGATACGCCCCTCGACCCCCTCACCGGCGACATCTCAAAGCCCTGGGTCGAGCGCGCCTGCGAACAACTCCTCGGCAGCATGCCCCTCCAGTAGCTCCTCCCTCTCCCTCTCCCTCTCTCTCCTAAAACCCCCATCTCCCCAAAACCCCTACCAACCAAAAAAACAACCCACTCACCCACCTCCACTCACAGATCCTACGCCCTAATAATCCGCTGCGGCGCCACCGGCTGCTACATCGCCCAAAACGGCGGCACCCGCAAAAAACCAGCAGCAGCACCATCGCAGCAGCACCGGCCGCGGAACCACGCCCGTGGCGGCCTCACGCCCGAGACGGACATGGCCGCCCTCTTCGTCGGCCTGCTCGACGCCAACAACGAGCTGATCCGCCCGCCGGAAAAAGACGACGGCAACGAGGACGCGGACGAGTCGCTGGTCGATTCGGGCGTCGAGAAGTGGCTGCCGGCCTACTTTACCGAGGGAGAGGGTGGTGGAGGAAGTGGAAGGAGTGGAGGGAGTAAAAGGGTGGTAGATCCGACGGGCGGCGGGAACGGCTTTCTGGGCGGTCTCGCCGTCGGGCTGGCGAGGGGAAAGGGTTTGGTGGAGGCGAGCGCTTGGGGGAATGTCGCGGCAAGCTTTATGATTGAGCAGGTGGGGGTACCGGTTCTGGGGGTGGATGCGGACGGGCGAGAGACGTGGAATGGGTGTTCGGTTGAGAAGAGGCTCGAGGAGTACATGAAGAGTTGTGAATCTGGTGAGAAATCGATGTAGTTGATTCTGGAGTTTGCTTGGGAGAGCCCGAAAAATTGAGCGCATCAATTGGACGGTAAATTAGACATGGTTGATACGCAAATAATGACAAATGTGCTTCTCATTTCTCATGTCGTTCGGGCATTTATATCTCATTACAACGTAAGACGTAATAACGCCAGTCAAACCTTCCTTATCTCAGGCGTCACCGTAACGCCTGCACACCCAAACCTCAACCATTCAAGTCCAATCTATACAATCAGACGTTCGGATTCCATGCACAATCCGACCAAACTGTCCCATCTACATCTAGATCTTGTACACGATATCTCCGTCGGGGTACCTATATTTTGTCAGTTATGTCTCCTCGTCATTTTCGGAAATGAAAAACACTCACATGATGTTGTTCACAGCATCCATCGCCTTCAACGCAGCCATCGCCTCAGCGTCACTGAAGGCACCCCCAGCATCTCCTCCAATACTTCTATTGACCGCAGCAATGACGTTGGCAACCAAGGCAGTGTCATCTTGAAACAGTGGCGTGTTCAAAAGTTGACCAAGCGTATTTCTGAAAACCAACAACCTTTCGGGAGTTACTGTCCCTGCAATGCGAAGTGCAGCTGTGCCATCTGCAAGTTCGGTATCCTCTTCTTGTGACTGGGACTGGGTTTGAATTTGGGACGCAGGCAGCGAGGAAGCGAAAGAGGTCTGCGAGTCAGCCGCTCCGTTGGTCCCGTTAGTTCCATTCGGGCGGGATCGTGTAGAGCGTTGGGTGGTTGTACGCGCAGGAGATGCAGAGTAAAGATCGTCCTCTTCATCTTCAGAGATTGCATCGCCACCATTGTCGCCGTTTGTTCGAGAGCTAGAGCCATTTTGACCGCCCCTTCTCCCGTTGGCGAGACTACGAGTTCGTGCCGTTCCCGGAGTTCTAGTTCTAGACGTTCCTGCCCGGGTCGTTGGTGGTGGCGAGTCGGAATCGTCAGAACTTTCCTCGTCTGAAGACAGACCTTCAAGAGGTCTGGTCTTACGGCGCTTGGTTCTACTCTCATCCTCAACAACTTCCTTGAACAGAGCAAACCGCAGGATAGCTTCAGCGGCGATAGCATCTCGCTCCTCCACACGGCTGGATAGGCGAGACTTGGCATGAGCCGTGGAGAGACGAATGATGGTCTCAAGCGTACGGACAGTCATGGGACTAGTCTTTCTCTGGTTTCCTTGCATGTCATCATTTCTGAGGGACACATAGATCTCGCTAATTCTCTCAGCAGCTTCTTGGGTCAAGACGGGCTTTATTCTGGACTTGGCGTATTGGATGTATTTTTTCACAAAAGGAATACTCAAAACCTCGACCTTCTTGTTTGCGCCTTTACCAGTGGTGATTGTTACACCAGCGTGAAGCATTTGGTTGTACTTCTCAAAAACATCGGTTGGACGGTTTGCATCAGCTTCTTGCTCCACACCAACGCCCAAGGTTTGCTGAGACTGTTCGCGAACTGGTGCACCTTCTTCTGTACCCGGTTGTCGGTATCGATGCATTCTCAGCACGTGCTCGGAGATTTGACGATCGCGTGCATCATCGATATCATCTGTGACAACGAAGAGTAAATCGAAACGGGAAAGAAGGGAGTCGGGAAGAGCAATATTTTTATGAGGATCCTTGTGCGTGTCATATTGTCCAAAGATGGGATTTGCGGCTGCGATAACACTGCAACGGGCGTTCAAAGATGTGTGGATGCCGGCCTTAGCGATCGTGACCGTTTGCTGCTCCATGACTTCGTGGATAGCCACTCGATCAATATCGGACATCTTGTCGAACTCATCGATACAGACTACACCACGATCGGCGAGAACCATAGCTCCGGCCTCGAGTCTACGCTCTCCTGTTTCCTTGTCCGAAGTGACAGCAGCAGTAAGACCAACACCGGAGGATCCTCGACCGGTGGTTGCAATAGCCAGTGGCGCGGTATTCAGGACGAATCGCAGCAATTGGGATTTGGCGGTAGATGGATCACCAACCATCAGAATGTTGATGTCTCCTCTCAAATGGGTTCCGTTCTCCAAGTTCTTCTCTTGTCCACCGAGTAACATCAAAAGAATGGCCTTTTTGATGTGCTCATGGCCGTAGATACTAGGCGCAAGGGATTGCGAGAGAAGGTCAAACACGTTCTTCTTTTTCGAAATTTTGTTAATGTTGCGAATGTCGGTATCGGTGATTGTTGCTGCCGCAATTCCCCCTCCGGACTTGGAAGACAACATAACCACATTGTTCGCCAGAATTATGGTCTTGAAAAGAGCTGTGTTGTGACCCGCATTTCGGTTTCCCATTGATCGATAGATGCCAACAAGCTGCACTCTGTCTCCAGGCTTGCACTTGTCTACTAAGTCGTCGTCCAGAATAACATCCACTCCCCGAGGTAGCTGTCCTGCTGGTGCACGTTCAGGCATTTCCTGTATCGAGATGGTCTGATGATCTCTGTATGTACAGTATCCGTATTCAGTAATGAGAGGATTGCCCTCGTCGTCCTCTTGTGGGTAAACGCTTGAAGTGGTGGCTCCAGAAGTCATGGTCTGGTCCTTGTATTCTCTGAAGTGAAAGATATTCTTCTTCTCATTATAGTGAACACTCTTGATGACCTTGGGCCTGACGAGCGAACATCTGGTGACAATGCCCTCAAGCGAAACCATGTGGTTCAGATAGGAGGATGACAGCGTTCGTGGATTGCAGGCATATTGTCCAAAGCTGCCCGAGAAAGCACAGTAGTACATGGTATCGTCGGAAACTTGTTTCGAGTTAGTGTTGGGAAGTGTTTGGATGACCTCCTTCAACGCTCTGTCGAACGCTTGCGCATAATCGAATGGCTGCTGAAGCAGCCCATCTGCGAGCTCGGCATTTCGGGCGCGAACCTCATCGATGCTGACTACAAGTCTTCGTTGGTATTTCTGCAGCATCAGTATGATGTCGGATCTGTAGCTTCGTGTTGTAGGATCACCTGCGGGCGGTTAGCCATGCCTGGTCGAGGCTGAAAAGAAGAGCCTACTCGGGTCCAGGAACTCAGCCGCAGCGCGCACTCGGTCGGCAACAGCCTCATCTTTCAATTGCGAAGCATCCATAGCTGAAGTGGTGATCAATAGTGGGTGAGGAGATGGAGGTGTTGTTGTTGATGTTCGACAAGAGCAGTGTCAGAGGGAGTCGAAGATTTGAAATGGGGGCGCGAAATTGGGTCGCGTCGCGCTTTTATCGAACGCGTCTTCTCGCGTAAAGAGGCTGCATTAGTGGCTTGGCCGTATATTCTTGCCGTCTCAGACTCTACGGGTTTCGCAAGTCACCAAGCATTCAGTTTTTGGCCTACGAATATGTCAAGGAAAGCTTCGAGCTGATTTCCTTGATATTTGTATTTGTTGTCTGTATCTCACCATCCACGTTTTATATTCTTTTGTGTACAGTTATATACTTTGTTGTTATTACCAGCTTGTTATTTCTCATTTCAAGATTGATGCTCACTCGTTGTTTCTTGACTGTCGTCTTTCCTACAGTCCGAAGCGCTGGCGAGGAGTAAGTGCTTTCACTCCAAAGATCCACTGGAAGGCATGCCGGTGATACCTAGCTCAATAGGCATCACGAGACTTTGAAGGTCCGTATGATCCGTCTTGGAGTGTCTTCCGTTTCAAGCATCAACGTGAGAATGATGAGTACTCTTTGGAGAGATATGGCACGAGTCGCACGACGCCTCTACTTGTGAACATCCTCTCGGATTTGATTACGAGGCTGCCGAACTAGCTTCGCGTGATGGTGCTTAAGAGATCTGGGGTCTATCTATATAGCGAGTCCAAGGCTTGTTATCACTCTTCCATATCACTAACTATCCACCTCTCTATTTCGGACCTCGGTGCTTATTGCTCGAGGCTCAGGACCTTCACATAGAAAACATGGACTGGTACTCTCTTTACACGAAGCTGAAGTTCCTTTTGGATGGATTATAGGCTGGGCTTGGGATCCATGGGCTGAGATAAGCACGGATGGATGTATCGGCGAATTAATGTTCTTTCTACTAGGAACTGATACGAAGCTGCTCTTTGCACCCTTTTATCTTGGTTTCTATTGTGCATCAAATGAAGAGCGCAATTGGACGCCATCATATAGTACCCAGGAGGAGAGTCAAATGACCATAAAGTTGGAAAGTCAACCGAATTAAAATCTCGCTGCAACGTCCCAGCTGCTTATTGACAACCGAAGCAGTATAAAAAAACTACTCGTGATAGCAAGACCATTGTTGCAGTGTCACAGATCAAGCCCAGAGAGCCCGGAGAAACTTCGACATCCTCATTTTCAGCTCAATAATTGATATGCGGAATGGTTGGAACACCATATTTTAAATGCCGAAATCCTTTCCAGCTCGCCTTAATGTTATCTACTGCATTTTATTGAGCTCTGGACCTCGGTGTCGAAAAAAGTAGTTCACCGTGCCAACGCGCGAACCGGGACAAAGAGCAGTTTTCATTTCCCACGTGACCCTCAAACTTCGCGACCTCTTACTAAGGAACCTCTTGTTCTGTTTGCGACGGCCTAAACCAAATATCCACAACCAAGAGGCGCAAAGCGCCTCCGACCCCGAAAATGAAGGCGCACACGCCGGGTGGGATTGATGGGCCTGCGAGACGACGCAGCTCCATCACAGCAAACCATAGAACCAGCATGGGGAGCGGTATTCCCCTCGGGGTATCGAGAGTACGTTATTCTAGCTGGAAACTCTTGGGTATGCACTAACCAGTCTGGCTCATAGATTGCCCAGGCACGCGCAAAGACGACACAGCCTGCCTATGACTTTCTCACTGGTGCAGAGTCTACCTCGAGACCACCTTCAAGAGGAACGGCTTTTAGACAATCCCTACGTGCGCCTTCGGGGGAGGTCCCTAGAAATGATGAGCCGGATCCGGAGGCCGAGAAGAGGAAGCGGGAGATGGAGGAGCTGAGGGCCGAGGTCAAGACGCTGAAGTACACGATTGACAACCATCGACAGGAGGAGGAGGTGAACAAGTTACGGCATGACAGCGAACTTAGAGATGTGAGGAGGAAGGGGGAGGAGGATTTCAAGAAAATGCAGGCGGCGGATGCAGAGAAAAGTAGGGCTACACGGCAATATGAGTCTTTGCTGAAGGAGATGACTGAGATCCGGGATAATGCAAGCAACGAAAAGGCAGCTCTTGAGAGACGGGTCCGGGAAGTGGAAGAAAGCAAACGCGTTTTGGAGGAGGAAGTCGAGGACTCTAAGTTCGGGCAGGAGGAGACTATGAGGAGTATGGAGAGGAAGATGGCTGAGCTGGAGACCCGGAACGAAACTCTGCAACGGGCAGTCGAGGAGCTGCAACAGGATTCAGATCGGAGAGAGACTTTGTTGCAAGAAACACAGCAGCAGCTGGCTGATAAAGAAACGGCATATGGGTCTTTAGAGGCCGATGTTCTTCGATTGAAAGCACAAACTGGCGATGTAGAGACTCTAAGTGTCATTAAAAGAGAGCTCGGCGAGCAGGTTGCACACATCCGAAAGCTGGAGGTCACCAATCGCGAACAAGCTGCAGATTTGAAGCATTTCAAGAGACTGCACAAAAGTGTAGAGGTTGTCGAGGAGGAAAAGCGGTCACTACAGAGACGTCTCGATGCTATGGAGGGTCTGGAGAATGACCTTAATGAGGCAAGAATCCAGAGACAAAGATTAGAGGACGAACGCTTAGCCTGGACAGCGTATCTTCAAAGTCAAGATAGCGTCGATGGTCAACTCGAATTCGACTCTCCGGAAGCTTTGGCTAGGGCGCTCGTTGAAGAGCGAATCAATACGGCTACGCTAATCGAGAGACTGGGTGCGCTGGAACCAGAGCTTTCAGCAAAGCATAGTAACATCCAAGCACTCGAGTTTGAGAAGACTCAATTAATGGAGCAGCTCGAGAAGCTGAAGTCAGCTGGAGCGTCTGCAGGAACCGGCCCTAGTGCAAACAGCAAGGTTCAACTTCGTCTTGAGAGACAACGCGCTCTAGCAATTAAGGAAGCAGAGTACCTGCGAGCCCAGCTGAAAACATACGACACAGAAGACACAACCTTCCAACCCGAGAGCGTCGACGCTGCCAAAGTTCAACGAATTCAAGACCTCGAAGACATGGTCGAGAAATACCGACAAGAAGTCGAGTCCCTCAACGCCGAAATCTCCACCAAGGAGATACCACCACCACCCCTCGCCTCCCCAACAGGCACCAAACGCCGCCGCGACTCCACCGAAGAAAGCGAGCAACTCGGCCAACTGTGCCGCAAGAACCGCAGACTTCAAGACGACCTCTCCGCGCGCCAAACAACCATCAAGCTCCTGCAGAAAGAGCTCTCTGTCGCTCAAGAACGCCTGCAGGTCCTAACCTCGCAAAGCAAGACCCGTGTGCTCTCCCTCCGCTCAAACCCCACATCCGACTTCGAAGCCGTCAAACTCGCCACCCTCAAGACGCTCCGGGACGAGAACGCCGACCTGCTCTCCCAGCTCCGCACCTCGCAACCCGCCCTCTCATCCGTCCCGGCCTCCGCCCTCTCAGCAGCTGAGGACCGCGTCCTCGCCGCGCAGGCCGCCCTCGCGTCGGAGAAGAAGCGGGTCGACCGCCTCATGAAGGTCTGGGGCGCCAAGTCGGCCGAGTTCCGCGAGCTGGTCATCTCGCTGCTCGGCTGGGACGTCAAGTTCATGAAGGACGGCAAGACCCGTGTCACGAGCTTCTTCTACCCGAGCCAGGGCGAGGACGAGAACAGCATCGTGTTCGATGGCGAGAAGGGCACCATGAAGATCAGCGGGGGCCCGGAGAGCGCCTTCGCCCTCAAGATTGGAGAGAGCATCAAGTTCTGGGTCAAGGAGAGGGGCAGCATCCCTTGTTTCTTGGCCGCCTTAACCTTAGAGTTTTATGAGGAGAAGGCGAGGGAGGATACCTTGAGGATTGATATCTAGCTGGCGAGGGGAGCTGGCTGTAGTAGTAGGCTGTACATATCTGCTCTAGGTCTGTCTACAGGGATGTAAAGCGTACTTTTGTTGGGCGGCATTAGGCGTTGGTGGAAGGGAGGCTATCTACTACCCTACTGGACCGGTGTTCTGCATAGTTATCAGATCACGTCGCTTCCAGACATGACATTACACATTTGCATTGCAATGAACGAACATTAATAACTCAATTCTGACACCCGTGAACGAGGAGGAGGCAATACAGTGCTTTGTACCATCCCATTACGCCTGGTTTCATATACTTCGTATCCATGTCCCAAAGCAGCATAAGCGATCGTGAAGGAATGCACATAGGCGATCATGAAGTCTCCACTGCTGCTACTATTCCAAGCACTCAACGCCTTCCAAAGCTCGCATGGCTCTGGTCCCCTCGCTTTCGAATAGACCGACCATCCTCTCACACTCACTTCTCAGCTTTTCTTCTGCCGTGGCAGCATTGTGCTGGATCCACTCCTCCACGGTCATCTTCTTCTCGGGGCTCGTCAGCTCCCCATCCTTGATCTTCTGCACGGCGCCGCCGAAGATGTCAGTCACTGGCTTCTCCGCGCTGGGTGACTTCATAAAGATGGTCTCAAGGTCGACGGAGGTCCATGGCTGCTTGCTTTGGAGGCCTGCAATAATATTGCGTTTGGAGGGCGACATCATGGGAGTTGTTTCGGATAGAGGCATGCGTGGTCTTGCATTGTTCGGAGTAGTGGTCCTTGGGGCAAGGGCAGAAGGCTTCGAGGAGGGAGGGTGGTTCTCGGCATCTGAGGATTGGGGTGATTGCGACGGTGTCATCTCATTGGGTGGTGGTGTGGGAGACCGCATCGGAGATGAAGCTTTAGTTGGGGTGGGCTCGCGATAAACAGGTTCTTCAAGGATAGAGTCCTCGATTTCCGCCTCAGCCTCCGGTTCTTCGATTGATATTTTGCGAGGCCGGCCTTTTCCCTTTGCTGGTTTCGCCTTCAAAATCTTGGTAGCGGGCTCATCTTCAGCTGGCTCTAGCTCATCAACCTGTAATTCTGGGGCCGGAGAGTAGTAGGTCTCCTCAACCACGCTGACCTTCTTCATGTGAGTTATCCGCTTGTTTCTTGTCGAAGGGATGGACTCTTCGGGCTCTTGCACTTTACGGACGATCTCCTCGATGTTTCTGCTTAGCCCTTTTCTACCACCTATACCACCTCTGCCCTTTCTTATCGTGCTACCACGTTTGGTCGGGCCTCCTCGAACAACAGTAGATTGACTAGCCACACTAGCATCGGTGTCATTTTCAGATCCGTCTACATGGTCGTCTATCGAATCCTCCGGCATAGAGACATTGGACGTGACAGATCCCCTCGTGACTCTCCCAGAAGCTTTCTTCGGTGCTTGAAGAGCAGTGGGTTGCTGTTTCTTCTGTTCGACGACTGGGGAGGAACGCTGCATCGAAATACTATCTTCGAGCTCGGCTGAAATCTGCTGGGATGCTTCCTCGGCTTCCTCCTGGGCTCGACGTTCTGCTTCAGCCGCATCATCAGCCGCTTTTCTGTCTGCAGCTCGTTGTTTGGCAGAAACCTTTCGAGGCTGTTTCCCTTTGGCGCCCTTCGCCTTGGGAAGAGGTCTGGGGCTGACTTCCATTGCTTCAAGTTCAGCGTCGATAGTAGCCTCGTCAATATCTATTGGGGCTGCATCGAACATCGAGTGCGCTCTAGTGGTGGCTCTGCTGGCCCTTGGTTTCTTTACAGGAGCCATCGCCACAAGATCTCCCTCATCCTCTGTTACTTGTCGCTCAAGATCAGCTTCGAGAGCCCGGTCGATTTCTTCATCGTCTGGAATAGACATTGGTGCTCTCGTCGGTGCAACAGATGCAGTTGAACCCTTGCGAGAAGGTCTCCCCTTTCGCCCCTTGGGTTTATTTTGAGGCTCTTCATCAACACTGATCATCGAATCTTCGAGGACAGTGCTCCCTCTTGTTCTTGTAACGCGTCTCTTCGCTGGCGGTGGTACCGTATCGATGCCCGGGGCTTCGTCTAATTGTCGTTCCTCACTCTTTCGCTTTCTCCCTCGAGTTGGTTTGGGCGCTTCGTCCATTTCGACGCTATCATCCTCGGGCTCGGGCTCAACTTCGACAGGTTCGCCCTTCTTAGTCCTCGTCTTCCTTCCCTTTGCAGCTGGAACTTTCTTGGCCTGTCCCATCCTTTTCATAGTTGCATTCGTAGCTGTCGTTAAGATGCTGTCCTCCTCCTCTGCCGGGAGGTCTTCTGGTGCCTCGGAAGCAACTGTGAATGCCGATTGAGTAGATAATCTTGAGGCTTTAGATGCTCTTTCTTTCTTCGACTTGGCTCGTTTTGGAGCTGGACTTTTTACGCGTTTATTGACCAGAGAGAAGAAAGGGCAATCCGATGATCGCTTTAAATGCTCATCCCTACCGCTGTTTAGCAATGTCACTGGAGGCAAGAACGACCTGAATACTCACATTGGCTTGTCTGAGTTTTCCCATCCATCTAGAGCAAGAGCACAATACACGCAAGTTGCCATATCGTCGTATTCTGGTGTGGGAGTATACTTCCACCCCGCGTCCACCATCTGGTTGTGACATTAGCTTTGTAAAAAATCTACGAAATCTCCCAACACACCTGCTGGACCTTGCACTTCCAGCCCTTCTTGCTCTCGTGCGGCCATTTATCTGCAAACGTAGCTTGCCGCGCCTCAATCATCCTGGAGCTTGAAGGGTGTTCTAGGCCAAAATCCGCGACCTGCTTCTCAACAGCAGCAAGAATCGCCCACCCACAGTCCGACGAATGCTTTAAGTGTTCCGCCAATGGATCATCGCCCTCCTCCCATCCATCTAGGGCTTTATGGCAGAGGAAGCAAACGACATTATCGGGGTTGGAAGGTAGCGGGTGGAAGAAGAAACCGGCTTTGGCAAGCTAGAGGCGCGTTAGAAAGCTTTACAGATATCACCTCGTGTGATTGGCACAAACCTCGGCGCCCGAGAGAAATCTGTGAGGCCATTTCACGGACTTTCCGCCTTTTGTACTCGCGTTCGAAGCTCTTCGTTTTGACAGCGGCTGCGGGGTGAGGAACGATGCGAGCCGTGCCTCGTATGTGAAGTGTTCGTCTGCGATATCTCCAATCGCCATTTTCGCGTTGGATTCGTGTTATGGTTGGTGTATCTAGGTATACGGAAATGGATCTCAGTACCAGGTGCGCGGATGGTTTGTTGTGGGGCGCAAGTTGGACCGCGTCGACTTTTGCAGGTCGGGTGTGCGGGTTTTGGTGGCGGATCGGGGTTGGAGGATTGGAATATCTTTTTTCTGAGGTCTGGTCAGTAGCAATTGTCGCGTTATACGCGTCGATATGCCAGATATCCTCGGGCACAGTTGTTGGTGTTGGTTTTAGATTGAGATCTGTTGGTGAGATGCGCAGAGACAAGATTCGCGAGTTTGGGATTTTGGTAGAGATTCTGCCATGTAAACACGCTAATTGACCGCCAATTGCCTGGGCTTAGCGCCCCAATCCTGTGTCTCTGTCCAGATACACACAGATAACCATCTGTCTATCTTCCAATGCATTTTCCGTTGATGCCAATTCAAATGGGGTCTCTACTTTATTCTCTCAAAATTCTAACGCTGTACTATGTTCGTTCTACTGTGTCCTGTTCTGTTACTTTGTTGCTCACTAAGCCTGTAATGGGAAAGGAAATGATCAGGCCTTCCTATCTATCTAGGTATCTTTCTCTGTCTCAGATCCATCAATCACATCGGGATTGTCCTCCTTCGCTTCGCCTACTTCACGTTCTGACCACCACGATAATGAGAACTTCGAAAAGGGCGGAAACACGATGGGAGAAATCCTATGCTTGGTTCTATCTGGACGAGCTCGAATGCTCTTCTATCTATCCAAAAGAGTGTAGGGCTCACGCGAGTAAATCGCGTCCACAAGTCCAAGGTCGAACGTTGGTGCTACTTTGCTATAATGTATAAGTCGATCCATCAATACGAGCAGACAGCTGCTGAGAGGCGCTCTAAGGCCACATGAGACGCTGTTAGCAATTCCGCGATCGATGCAACTTGAACAGAATTGGTCGGCGGCAGCTGTAGTTCTAACGGTACACTGCAGAATGAAGGTACTAACATACATCAAATGATGTGGTTGAGGAGTTTGAGATGATTTTATTCATCTGGTGGTCGCGTACAAACCCGGTATCACTACTGTACGATGCGCCGATCGGTCGCATACGAGGCCGGTATTGCTCCTATCATTTCCACAAGAACATCTGGTGCTCTCTGATCAATAATGTTAATATGGCTGCTGAACCCAGGCAATCTTTGAACCACCGGCCTTGATTTATTGAGATCATTCGATTGGTAATCCGGCCTCTTACAATCGAATCTCGCGAGAATATCTGCGGAGACTTCTCGGAAACTACTGAAGTACTCGTCGAGGCATATCGAATTTGATTTACTACCTGTTCTATTTACGCAAGAAGCGCTCGGAACATGTCAAGCCCCATCGGCCTCGCCCAGCGATCGCTCATCCCAGCTGTCCAGTACGAATTCACAACTACACAAGCGTGTCAAAAGTGGTTCCGAGACTTCCCTTTTTCTAGGCCAGAATGCCTTCAGCTCTCTCAGTCTTTCTTGTAAGACGTCGAAGGATTACACTTATACTTCTGCCACAAAACACCAACAACAGAAAGCACCTTCCCATCAATCGAATCCTGGGTCAAGAGTTCAGTTGCGTCAGACTAGATGCTCGTCAGCCGAAACTGCGAATTGATGTTCAAAGGTAGAGAAGCGCTGCATGGCGACCAGACCGAATAAAAAAAATGATTAATTAATTTTATTCATGCAGATTTTTAGCAAAAATCAACTGAAAGCTCAATTCATGGGTATGATGTTATGAGGTTCCAGTCTACAAACCTAATTGAATAGGTTTTTCGTTCTGATCATTTTGATATCAACTGTTGGGAGCCTCGCAAAGTGGCAAGCGGCTTATAGCCACTGAGCCAACGCGCGGTCCCCACCAGTCGATGAAATTGAAGCTCAGACTTGAGTTATATAACTTAGATATATTTTTTTTCCCTCTGTGTGGGAAGAAAGAAGCGAGAAAGTGAGAAGCGGCCGCAAATGTGAAGCGAAGGACTTGAGTAAAACATTGGCAGAATTGTTCATTAGCGGAAATATTAGTAGCTGTAGGACAATAACGTCAACAGATAAGACGTAGATCTTGTATTTTATACTATACGTCATTCTTAGGGTTTGCTGATCATTCTCTATGTATATATCTCTCTGTTCCAGAACTGATGGCGTTGGAGGGCAGCGGCGGAAGCTGGTTTCCCGTTTCTGTGGCGACGCTGATATCGAGAGGGGGACTTTATGGCGTTATTTGAATGTGATTTTACCGACGCAGTGTTTCCTCTCTTGCCGTCCTCTAAATTCTATCAACGTATTTCTCAAAGGAGATATGGCTGGCACGAGTGGGTGTCGGTCCGGCTCGCTTAGGGGGAAATCAGGGGGCCCGCTTAGCCGAGTGTCCATCTTGGCAAAGTACGTAAGTAAACAATCGCCTCAGCTTCGCCGTGCCTATACAGACGCCATCGCAACTGCAGTAGGGTCGAATTGCGAGAGAGAGAGAAGTAAGTAAAAAACTGGGGAATTCGAGAAGAGGTAATCATTGAACCAATTCCCTGCCCGTAAAGGCTATCGTATTGGTCTACGGATACTAGACCATTTCATGGTCCCGCCAAAGATTTAATGCTCTCTTAATTCTTCTCCCTACCCTTCCAATACTCTTCAATCGATCCTCTTCGGATATTATTAGTCTTGAGCCATGTAAATTTACATGGCGAGCCCCAGTAAACCTGGTACCCCCTCGCGCCCTTCTGTGTACTGCCTGCAGGTCGGTGATCCAGGATAGATCTCACCGGCCAAACATTCGATCGACCTCGCTTGACAGCCAAGACTTCCTGAGTTTCAGTCTCGTCTTCGAAGCCCTCCGAGCTACCGCAGTTGAAGAGTTGCGAGTGTGTCGGCTTCTGGCTTCCACCTTCACACAAACTGACGGCTGTCGCGTCTTGGCTGAACCTTCCGCTCCGTCTCGGTCTCGCATCGCCGCCTTCTGCTTCACCAAATTCTCCGATCGAATCGCCCATGCCGACTCTTCCTTCCTCCTCATCCTTTTCAGAACCCTCAACACTCAGCTGTCCCTCGGCCCTCACCGCGTCTAGCGTCCCCCTTACCTCACAAATCCTCTTTTTCTTGATGTCCCAGTATCCACCGCTTTCCACAGGATACACAGCATCCCCCTTAACGCTCTTCCAAGCCAGATACTCCCCAACATCACTCTCCCCTTCTCCGTCCTCCAGATAGTCACTTACCCTGACCACTACACTCAACATCCTCCCGTCAGCAGCCCACACCCTCTACGACTCCCCCAGTCCCTCCCCAACCCAGATAAAGCTTTCCTCAGCCGTCAAATTCAGCTCCTCCCTCTCCGGCTCTTGCATAAAGCTCATGATCTAGTCCTCGACCGCTCGCAGATCGGCAAAGAGCGAGATGAAGGGACTAGCGTCTAGGCTTTCGTGGCCGCAGCCTGAGAATTGCTGTAGCAGGTGGTTGCGGACCTCGTCTTGAAGGGCCGAGACGGTTCTCGGAAAGGGGATGCTGGCTTCTGCTGCTGCGAAGCCGACGAGGTCTGGTGAGGTAGGGGATTTGGAAGTCTGAAACTCGACGCGGTAGAGGCGGTGTGGGATGTCGATGGGGCGGATGAGCATCGAGCGGGCTGGAGTCGAGGAGGGTGAAGGAGGTGGCGAGCGAATTTGTGGAAACTGTAATTGCGGCTTGTTCGTGGCTTGCAAGGGTGCTGGGTCAGAGAGGTCGGAGTCCATGACCATTTCGGCGAGGTTGATATTTGTAGTGGATGTTTCTGCGTGGTATTTGGACTTGCTCATCATGGAGTTTAGACTTGCAGTGGCCACGCCCGTTTTATATCGACATATCCCTGTGATTGAAAATCCCAGTTGCCGAGAAGAGTTTCCGATGCGTACATGAAGTTTCTGCGATACTGTTGCCAGGCCAAGCTTTCATCGGATGTCGATCTAATTCTGTGTCGCTTCAAAGCCTACGAGTTTCATATGGCTTTCCTCGATGGATTTTCCAGGATTGAAAGGAAGCTTTGATGTTCAGGTGTCACTTGAAGTTACACACAAACGATCAATGGAGCTCTATTCCCTTTTGGGCCAGACAGATGCTTTGAAAAATGCTAAATAGTCTTTAACGAACGTAAGATAAGCTCAACAGAAACAAATTTTGTACAACTTGGTGACAGATCAGTCTACGGCTCGGGCATTAAGCTAGCTGCAGCTCTGGACCAAGCGTAGTTCATGTAATAGAAGACTAAAAGTTCTTTACTGCCAAAATTCTGCTAAGTGGTTGTCCAGGATGAGTTCTTACTATTCTGGTGCCTGTTTTGTTTACTTTCTCCCTCGCGAAATCGGAGACCTATGAAGTAAGTATCTTTGGAGACGAAACTGGAGACACTTCGATTGTGTGAATGAAACTGAAATCTAGTAACTTATAATGCAGGTAGATGATGAGGTCTGTACCAGTCATTTCTGCTACAATCTTAGCCTCTCTGCCCAGATAACATACACTTTACTACTTTTAACTGCCCAGACCTAAAATTCAACATCAGATTCCGGCACTAGAACTGTTACTCCCCTTTAAATTATGTAGATGCCGAATGGTATCTCCCATATATGCTAAGATTATCGAGCGGAATACATCCTGGAAGAGAAGCTTAAGGACCTAAGAATTTGGTCGAGAGCCCTGCCACAGAAGCAAGAGCAGTGTTTATCATGCTAAGAAGGTGAGTATCCGTCACAGTCTGTTGTACCTTCCATGGTCAATTATAAATAGATCAGCCTCGAGGAGGCGGGTCTGAGAAAGGCTCTCGACGATTTCAGGGGATACTACATGCATGCGTCCAGACCTCACCCATTGGCTCGTCGATAACTACCACTAGGCTAAGTAGTTGAGGATAGAAGTGATACTGGGGCTATCAATACTGTCGAGCGAGTTGACCTCGTTGGGCTTTCAATATTGTTTGCTAGGCTTTTCGATTTGTTTCCTGCGCTCGGCCGCGTCGCAGGAGTAGTTGACACCCACCCACACCATACAGCAAGACCAGCAGTTTAGAATCACCAACTGAGAAGAACCCATCTCCAAAATTGTACAAAAAAATCACGCTGAGACAAGTAACTTCTGATTTGGATACCGCTATCCCAGAGCTAGCTCCGCATGGGAAGTGCCACCCTTGGAGATGCTACCAGGCACGGCACTCCGCTGGCAGGTGCTACAAGCGTGGCTGAATGGACCAGGTATTGACTGACATGTACTTTAGCGTCTCATCTCATATGCCGCTCAAATGGTGGTACAAGCTTTCGCTACGCATGCCTCTTCCCATGAATGCAGGTACCCGACGTGCCTGCGTGTTGATCAACGACACAGCTTTCTGTACCCTGTCTGAAACTGTGTAGCCCACATGTCATTTCCCTCGAGGATTGCCGGGACCGTCACTTTTAATGTTACAAAAGTAGAGGAGGATTACCTGCACGGTTTGTATCTGATCCAGACCTCGGGTTCCCGGATTCATATCCTTCGATAGCACATCATTGGTGGAGCTCGTCAGGGAAAGTTCTCTCAAATGGATCTTATGTGTTGGCTTTAGTTTTGGATATGGATATATTGTGCGTAGAAGAGTAGGTCGGCTGTCTTTGTTCAAATTCCCATAAAATACATTTGCTCAGCTGGAGTGAACTTCTCTCCTGTGGAGGTACGACATATCCCACCACCCCCCGCAGTGTAACACCGTTACAAGTGTCGTATTGGTCGCACTGCATGAAGAGTGGTACCTGAATTTTGCATGATCCTTCATCTCACACGTCGTATTTGGCCTAATTGACACAGAATCAACAGCTCTCCTTTCTGCTTCCTATCTCGCTTGTTCGAAAGAAGGTGTCCTAAGCGAAAACGCTCCAGTCACTTAACTCGCCTCTGATACTTCGATGCAGGAAGGAAATCTCTAGCGAGGCTCCGTACTTTCTCTCTTCATATATGAGACCGTGCTCCCACATTAACTTTGATTACCACTTTCAAGCATATACACACACGTCTCAGACACCGGTCTCAACAACATCAAGTCAACAAGAGCCTGTCGAAGCATCACCTCGGTACACCTGCCATTGAGATATCACCCTCTGCTACTACAGCTCTAACTTCCAAAACAGATACATCATTCAAAAGACACACGCTTTACAAACGTCCCTCTCAAGAAACCGCAAGGATGAAAGTCCAAGTAGGTCCAGCCTTCAAAACACCCACCCACCCATCCATCTTTCCCCCTCTCCCCTCTCACCTCCTATCCTCTCAGATCGAATCCCACTTCCAAACCCATCGCACCCATACATACCACAAAGTAAGCCAGCCCACAGCTAAGAACCGCCCGCCCCCCAGCTCCTCATCACGCTCCTACTCACCCTCCTCACGACCCTCACCGCCGCGCTCCCTGCTCTCCGAGACTACACCGTCGAGATCACCTACCCCCCGGACGTCGGCGACGCCAATCCAGCCGACGCGGACCGCCCGTACTACGTCAACTGCCGCTCCGGCGACTCGGCCGACGACTGCGTCGCGCACCACGGCGCGCGCTGCTCGGCCCGCGGCGAGTTCTTTGCCAGCTCCTCGGCGGACGATGGGCGCGGATGCACGAGCAGACAGTGCTCTTGCCGCTCTTGAGATTTTCCTGTCTAGCTCTCATGCTCCTCTCTTCCCGTCCTCTCCCTTTCCTCATTCACTTCTCTCCCAGGGTCAGCGATGGCGTTTTTCGGCTGGTAGTTTGGGGAGCGCCGATGCATGTGGTCACGGGCGGAGGCTCCGGATACGATTCACGGCGTTAACGACTGATTTGATTTCACTGGTGTGGCTTGACTTGCGAATTTGTTTCGGCTTATTCCACCGCTGTCCTGGGAGTTAGGATTACGGTGCGGTGTAAAGATGTTGCGATGTTGCAATATACGAGTGCGACGGGCTGGGTATGCCTTGTATTTGGCCCCTCCGAGATATATGATATAAGACATACTGAGTCGCCGACTTGAGATTTTCCCAGTCTAGGAATCTGGCGGTACTATGGCCCCTTCCCCCGGAATCTCGTTACCTAAATTCGAGATTTTCTCCTTCTCGGTTTCTGGGAGGAAATGCATGCAGCATGGTATATATCATACGAAGTCCCTGCTATGTGATTTTCGTGTAAATTCTGCGCGATACTTTCCTCTAGTGGCCCTCTTTTGCTTCATTCCCGTCTTTTATTATGGAGAATCTCAATACTCGCTTGTGGCATCTAGTCGCGAAAAGCAAATTTTGCACACCAGAGAGCTCACATCAAATGAATGGCTGAGACTTTCGGACCTCGATGAAGTTACTGGAGTAGCTTGCGGGTATGTATCTATCTATCTGGTGTTGCTAAGATAAGGATGTGCTAATGACTGGGACGCTCCTAGTTAGCAGAGTCACATATAAGTCAAAAGGGCGAGAACCCACCTCCGCAGCAGTAGCTCTCCTCCCACTCTCAAAGCACACCAGCCTCCCGACTAGATCCCTCGCATGCTCATCTACACCCGGAAGCAGCTCCTCCCATGACTTGCCCGGAAACGCCTGATACCACTTAAACGGCGGCGTGGAGAACGCCCTCGCCTCTGGCCAGATCTCTTCCGTCGGCGTGCCTACGGTCTTGAAAATACTCAGAATCAGACCCAGCTGATTCCCATCCTCAGACGTCTCTCGCGACTCGAACAGCGGCGTCGGCGGCTTCCGCAGACACTCCACGAGCATGGTGCCCGCGGCCCACATGTCGAGACTCGTGCCGTAAGCTCGGTTCCCGAAGAGGGTTTCGGGGGCGCGGTAGCAGGTTGTGCCTACTTCGAGGACCTTGTGGTGGGCGGGCTCATCGCCGGCTGAGAGGGTGGGATGCCATGCCGTGCCAAAGTCGGAGAGATACGCTGGTCCAGTTTTGGATGCGAGGAGGAGATTAGAAGGTTTGATGTCGCGATGGATAATGCCGCTTTCATGTAAATAAGCTAGCGCCGACAATAGATCTCTAAAGCATGCTTTCGTAATCTCTTCTGGTACTGCGCCTCTACCAATCACTTTGGCGAGGGTCAGAGGGACGAAGGGGAAGACGAGAACTAAGCGGCCTTCTTGGTCTTTGAATGTTTCGGTGAGCTTGATGATGGAGCGGTGGGAGAGCTCAGTGAGGATCTTCGCTTCTCGGAGGGGATTGTGTGGCTCTATATTACGGGTTTCGGTGATGACTTTTAGGGCGAGGAGCTTGCTTTGGTAGACTTCTGATATCAGGCCTGCGGCAATGTGATGGCAGGATGAGTAGTTGCCGATGGGGAGGCCAGGGGTGGTGGGTTCGTGCTCTGGGAAGGAGAGATCCGGAGGAGGCTCATCGATGATGGCACTGCATGCTTCATCGTATGCTTCCTGGGCCTTCTTGTTAGCATTATGGAAAGTATAGGAGTAAGCTGCCTCTTGAATGGCACATGGATGGAGTTGATGTTAGTCACGTGATATAACAATCAACCAGCAGAGAGGCCATACCCTCGACTCAGATGTGTTGTAGGCCTCTGTCTCCACGGCAAAGGCTGACTTGTGTGCCGTTCCAGTCGAGCTTAAGCCCTTCGCCTCGATGCTCCTTCTCCTAGATACAGAGTTAGCATGAATCAGCGACGACACAAACGCCATGAGAGGGAGCACCTACAGCTTCTCTATGTTTTCGTAGCGATTTGCAGCGCCCAATTCCGATCTCCAATTCGACGTTGAAGCCATGCTCGGATTTTGGCGCCCATTCCTTGCACGAAGCCAGCCGAGGTTGACTTACAGATAGATAGTAGAAGATGTGTTGTGCTGGCCGGCCTTGTTTACTCGGTTGGCGAGGGGGCGCCTCAAACCGAGGTACATGTAGAAAGCCCCAATCGAGCAGAGCTGAGTTTGCTCATTACCGCATTGGGACCTCTCTGTGAAACCGATATAGATCAGTGCATGTGGCTATCGAATGCAAACAAGGATTGGTTGAATTGATGCGTGAAGAGGATTCAAGCACAAGTATTTAAGGAATGGAATGCGTGCCCGAACTCTCGCGGGATCTCTCGTGGGGCCAGGGGATGTTTGCTTGGCTCGGAGGATCCGCTTTATAGCCGCGCCTTCTCGAATCATTCCATCGTCGAACACCAGCCAGACCAAGAGAGATAAACAGCAACCTCCCTGCCGACAACCCTCACTCCCTCTTGGCATATTCTCACAAACACCCACAGCTGTCGCATACATATCCTTTGTATTAATCAGACTATTGCTTAGCATGCGCTGTCGCCGTACCCGTACCCGACTCTGAGTGTCTGCAAAAAACCGTCACAATGGAAGCTTTGTCGCGAACAGAATATCCTGCGATACTGGTAAGCAGCAGCAGCAGCAGCAGCAGCAGCAGCGGCGCGAACAGAAGCCCCGCCAGCTCGCATCATCTGCAGAGTCCTCGCTGATTGACCTCAAGGAGCGCCTGACCCCGAAAGCCGTGTCCGCAGAAGTCAATGAGCGTGTGAAGAGGATTGGCAAGCTCAACTCGGAGGTTGCGGATTGGCTTGCCGTAGGTTGAACAGACGAAAAGGCCTTGGACAAGAGCGCTCACACATTGGTAGGAACGCCGGAAGGTCGAGGAAGCATATGTTGCAGGTCTGCGGAAGCTTGCGAGGAGGCCACTGCCAGAAGTAGGGCAAGATCTCGGGTATAACTTTCGAGTTGGAGCTTTGGACTGCAGCTGACGTTATTCCAAGGGTCTTCGATACACCGTGGAAGAAGATTGCCTCTTCGACTGACGAAATCGCCAGATCACACGCCATGCTTGCGGACCGGATAAATAATGAAGTCGAATTACAACTACGTAACTTCCCGACGAAAAATCGCGAGATGGCAGAGTTTCCCACGATACAAGGCAATTTAGGAGCCATGGCCAAAGAGCTAGAAGATGCGCAAAGCAAATCCGAAAAATTGATGCAGAGGGGAGGCAAGGCCAGTGCTTATAAAGTTGAAGCTGCTGCTGCAAGGCTGCAGACAGCATCCACGCAATGGAACAACCAAGCACCTTTCATACTCGAAACGCTGCAATCTGTGGACGAGGGCCGGCTCAATCATCTGCGGGATGCCCTTACCCAGTATGAAACACAAGAGATGGATAACCTCAACAGGTGTCAAAGCATCGTGGAGAGCGCCCTGGGGGTCATGGTAGAGGTTGATACGTCGATCGAGATTCAAAGTTGGGCACAAACTGTTGTTTCTGGCAAGCCTGTTGTGGAGAGAAGGCCTGCGGGAAGACAAGGATTCGTGACAGGAAATGCTATGACTGGAAATACCAATATGCCTCCATCGATTCCTGCTGCAACAAACACCGATAATCGAAGCGAGCATTCTGGAAAGCAAGAGCATGGTAAGACGAAGCCACGACCCTTCGATTTCAGAATTTTGACAATCTCCAATCTTGGAAAATGCTGGCATTGACAAATAATGCTGACTTAATCCTAGAAAACACCGAATCGAGCCTGGAGTCAAAGTTCAAGAGGGGGTTTGGTACCATCATGGGCCGAAGACGACAAAGTATCAGCGGTTATGGACGTACCCCCTCACCCAACATAGGATTTCCGCCATTCGGTAATCGCAGTTTGGCAAGCAGAGAGGGCCGTCCAAGTCCATCCCCTCGAGGTTCGGCCAACAATTTGCGAGACTTGACGGCACCTGACAACCGACTTTCTTCACTTGCAGAAGCTTCTTCTCCGCCTCGTAGCCCCAGATCCCAGGCGAACGGCCACAAAAACACTGTAAATCCCCAATCGCAATATTTAGCAGACAGCTTTGATGGCACCTCATCTCATGCGCCCAATGGCTCTAATTCCTCAAATGTGCCGGATCTATCAAATGTTCAGCCGCCCCCTGGCCCTCCTCCATCCGACTCAGTCGCTGTTCCCGAGAAAGACTCAGAGGGGTTTTCCGTACCTGTCACTATGAATGACCCAATATCCCAAGCACAGCAGGAGGCGGCCGCAGACGTTGAGCAACAGCAATACAATGTTGACATTCGTCCAGAGCCTATACCGGAACAAGACGCAGACGCTCAAGCTGCCTTGGCCAACGTTGCTAATACACTCAAATCTGCGAACATGCCGAGCCGCTCCACCGGTACCATTAGGGGTCGAAGAGACGTTCGAAACACCGTGTTTGTGCCTTCGACATCGAAATCTCTCGAGGTGTCAAGCCCGAACAGCTACTACCCTCCTTCTCCCAACCTTGCACCTGTTGGCCGAGCTGCTGCTCTTGCGGCTCTGTCAACTAGTCATCACGCAAGCGCTCCAAGTGTTTCCGATACCATCTCAATCCGGTCTGGTCATTCGCTAACAACCAAGCCTATTACCAAGCACGATGAGCACAATGAGCCTGGCTTGCATGCTTCGATAATTGAAACCATAAGCGTGACCCTTGAGAGTCTTAAAGTCAAATCGGTGAAGATTGTCGGAGAGATTGCGTTGATTCACAACAAAATCTCCGATGATACCTCAGTTCCAGGTCAGTCCAGGCTATTATTTCGAGCTGGGATTCTTATAGTACTAACAGCTCGGAAGCGAAAGAGACTATCCGTATAGATAACTTCCCGAACATGGAAGCCATTGCAGAAGACAAAACATTTGTTCATCGTCTCGATGAGCAGAAGCCGGATGAGTTCATGATCGACCTTGCTCATGTCTCGGCAAAGCCATCCATCGCATTCACATACCGAGTCCATGTCGACGAGCAAAACATGGAAGCACAAGCGCCCATTCAATTTAGGCCTGGATGGAAGACTGATGGAAACAAACTCTTGATGGTTTTCCATTACGGTCTTAACCCTGCCTTCAGCTCTCAACCTGTCGCTTTTAAGAATGTTGTTTTGATTGCATATTACACAGGTGCGCGGGCTACCGGTTGCCAAAGCAGGCCCAATGGAATCCATTCAGCAGCAAATTCGCTCATCTATTGGCGTCTTGGCGATGTCACTCTGGACAGTACCACGCAAAAGGTTATCTGCAAATTATCCGGGGTCGAAGGAGCCATGCCAGAACCAGGACACCTCGAGATTCGGTGGGACATGATTAGTCCTGTAGACTTGCCGTTTAGCAGCGGTATCAGCATCTCCAAACTCGACCTAGGTGAAGGAAAGGAGAAGGTGGAGAACGACGACCCCTTTGCAGATGAGAGTATTGCAGGCGCCTCGCCCGTGACCCCGGAAAGCAGCTGGACCGTCGTTCCTGCGATGAAGAAGTTGGCGAGTGGTAAATACGAGGCGAGATAGGTGGGTGGGATCATGGATATGGGACTGCATGCATAGGGTAGGAAAAAAAGGCATGGAGGAAGGTGCATTTCTTGGTTTCGATGAAGCGAGCGAGACATACATGAACGATTATTTGTAATTTGATATCTGTACTCTTGAGTACCTACAATTAATGCTATTGCCAACCAAACCAAGGCCTGCTAATTATTAATCAACAACCTCTGAGCAAGCACATTTCCCGCTGCCGCTGGTCGCTGGCTGTTGTCGGATCATCTTGGTTATTGTTCTTGCAGGAATTAGGTAGGTACTCCTCTCGCAGCGCATTATCTGCGAGGAGAAGGCGAAATTTGCGACGATGTGCAGTAGCAAAACGTGCCCCCCTCCCTCGAATTGGGTAAGTAATGGTTGGTTGGTTGGGCACGGAGGCGCCAATTGAATGGGCATGACTTGACGCCCGATTTGGTCGTTGCTTTGGTTCGCTTTTTTTTTTTGGTGGAAATTTGCAGTTTAGATAGAAGCAGAATGAAAACAGAGTGGAGAGAGGATGGAGAGAGGATGGAGAGAGAATGGAGAGAGAATAAAACGGGCAGGTAGACATATAGGTAGACATGTACTTGGGGGAAAAAAACAAAGAATAGAATGACGAAAACACATTCTGCGTCCCTTTTCGGATTTACGTAAACCGTAATGTAATATAATAATATATAGCCCCCCCAAAAAAAGGATAGATAGCTACCAACAAGTCGCGACGAGGGAGAAAGCAAAGAGAAGAGAAAAGGAGAAAAAGGTGTCATGCGGTGGGTAGATAGGGTTACTGTCATGCTGGAAACAGAAACTGCACTATGCATTGCAGGAGGAGGTCTGCTTTTGTTTGCACAACAGCAAAAAGGTAAGATAGGTACTCCAAACGCCAGGTATCCAGGTATCCATCCATCCATAGACGCCCGAGACACTTGCTTCATCGCAGCGCAGCGCTCGAAGAACACGTATCCATCCATCGACCCTATCCAATCACGGATGATAGAATATAGGATATACATGTATACACACATCCTCATAAGGTTCAAACAGCAATACCCCGCCTCGCCTCACTAACACCCACATCCACACCCACACCCCCGACAGCCTTCAGCTCTATACATCCCTCGATCGAAGCCTTCAACCCGGCCACTCGTGCGTTGATCGTGCGGACGAAACCCCCGAGGTAGTCCTTCACCTCTTGAATGTCGTGGAAGATCAGAGGCACGCCCTGGGTGATGCGGTCGATATCCTCCTCGAGCTCCTGGATCTTCTTCTTCAGAGACCTCGTCTTCTTCTCGGCCTTCTGGCTCTCGGCCTCGCACGATTGCTGCAACGCGGCGAACTTCCCCATCATCTTCTCCTCGAAGGTGCGCTCGCGCTCCAGGGCAGCCTTGACAGCAGACTGCCGGCACCGCTCTGCGTGCTGTAGGTTCTCCTCGACCTGATCGGTGATGGTTTTTTTGAACTCGGTGATACTGTCTCGTTGGCGCTGGAGCTCTTCGGTGTGCAGCTGTGACTGGGCTTCGAGGTCGTGGCACTCGTCTTCCCTCCTCGCGTTGGCTTGTTGAAGCTCTTGCATCCTGGATTCAGTTTGAGCTCGGTACTCAGCAGATTCCGCCGCTTTGCGCTCTAGCCCTTCGACCTTGGATATCATCTCTGAGTAGGACACCTGGGATTCTTGAGCGCGCGCTTCCAGCTGCGCGAACTGGGATTCTAGTTGCAGTCTCTGCGCCTCCGACCCTGAGATCATAGACTCGATCTGGGCGCGAAGCTCTTTGAATACTCGGTGTGACTCCTCGAGCTCTCTGATATTGGACTCAGTCCCGGCCCGTTCTTCTTTGACTAATGTCAACATCTGACCAGATTCATTCATTCTCAGCTCAAGCTGGGAATGAAGTTGCTTGGGTCTTTGGTCCACTCCTTGAAAATTCGTCGTTTCGGCATTCAACTGCGCTCGATATGCATCGAACTCTGTGCCGAGGTTTGTGACTTGTGCCTTCAGATCATCAATATAATCGAGATTGCGATGATCTGATCTGGCCATCCTCTCCGACATTTTCCCCAATTTGCTTTCGCACTCTTCATCCAGTTTCGCGACCCGCGAACCAATCTCAAGAAGCTGGTCATCATTCTTGGATTGGGACTGGTCGAGGTGATCCATGACCTCCTTTAACTTATCACAGATTCGATCTTCCGATGCTTCTACCTTCATCTTGATCTCATACGATGTCTCCCTAACCGTCTCGTTCGATGCCTTGACCTCTGCTTCAAGCTTCTGAAGCTGCTCTATACTCTCCGTGATCCGCTGGTCCGAGGTCACTTGCCGTGCCTCGAGCAGACTCATCCGCACCGAGTAAGTATGGGTCTCATTTTCCATTGCTGCAAAATACTGAGCCCGCAAGCTGGCTAGGGTGCTCTGCGGCACTCTATTCGCAAAAACCGCAATGTCCTGCGGTTGGAACGCAGATTCCATGCCGAGATCTTTGCCGAGATATTTGGGCTTGGTCGGATACAGATTACCATTAGACATACTCTCCTTGCATTTCTGTCTGGCCTCTTTCTTCTCGACTTGCTGCTGGTGAGGCTTGCTCCTGAGGTGATTCTCGAACCCTTTGGAAATTGCGTTGAAGGTTCTGTTACAATCCAGGCATCTTATCTTGTTGTCGTCTGCTATGAAGGAGCTGCGGGGGTGTTTCTCGCGGAGGTTGATCACGATATCGTGAACGAAGGGAAGCGATGTATCCTGTGAGGCGTTAGTAGGCAAGAAGCTCGACACTCAATAACACCGAACCTTCATCTCCTCTTTGAACACGATCGGTCTTCCATCCTGGTAGCTCTGCTCCAGCGATCCTGATCCCACTCTCGGATATGAGGGAAGTCTACGGGGCGTGGGTTTATGCGGCGAGTTGAGCTTGCTAGGTGCAGACTTCCTTCTCGAATCTGACAGCGGAGTTCCGGGAGTATCAGAACGTATCCTCTTGGTTGACCGCTTCGGTGTAGAGTTGACATATCTCTGTGGGCTTATGCGATCAGAACTACTACTCGAATCACTCGCAACAATCTCTCTCGGTCTGCTTCTCTTACGGCTCGGGGTCTGAGCCACAGCTTGGTCGACCGATTGGGGCAGAGGAGCGGCGCCCCGGGTCATGGTCTTGTAGGCTTCTAAGTGGCCTGGCCGGGGAGAAGTGTCAGCTAGGGTTGATGTGAGTAAAGCACCCCAAGGAAGATCAAGACCTTCCGGCAAACTTACGAGCTCGCTCAATTGATTCCATTTGGGAGCTACGAGGTTGAAAATCCGTGTCATCCGACCAATCCTTTCTCCTAATTGGTCTCTCTCCTTTCTCTTCTTCTTCTCCTCCCTCTTCCTCCTCCCCCTCCTCCCACCTGCTGAACTCAGCCGTCGTATCGTAGTACTCGTCTGTCCCGTAATCTCCTGAATCCCCATCCCCATTCCCATCCACCGGATCACTCTCTACCAGATCACCCAACTGCACAAACGGTCCCTGCACATCCGCACACCCCTCCCCTCCTCCTCCCCCTCCTCCACCAGCAACACCCTCCTCACTCCCACCATCCGCCAGCCCATCCTCCTCCTCCTCGTAGTCGTCCGCCAGCCGGAACCTCCGGATCCCATCCACAATACGCAGCCTCAGCACGCCCTCCATATTCAAGCGGCGTATGCTGCTCACAATGCGCTGCCTGTCTTCTCCCGCATACTCCTCCACTTGGGATTCGTGGCTTGCGGCGCAGAACTCGTGCAGGCACAGCTGAATCAGGACCGAGCCGGGCACGCCGGCGTCGTCGTCGCCGGCCAGGTGCGCGCCGCGGAGGTGTTGCACGACGAAGGAGGCGATCGCCTCGTGGGATGGCGGCATGGGGCGGTGCGGTCTGAGACAAGTCGTCGTTGGAATCGGGAGCTGGGCGGGGTTTGGGAGGATCATGTGCTGACGCGAGCGCGAGGGTATAAACAAATGGCTGGTGCGCGAGATGATGGCGGATCACGTGAGAGTAGAATAGAGGGGTGGAGGTGGGAGAGAGGTAAAACACCGGAATTCCTTGGAACAGAATACCTGAATGAGGGAGTGAAGATACGGACACGGATGAAAATAAAAAGACTCTGAAATCAGGGAATGAATGCTACCCGGGCTAAGGAACACTTATTGTATGACTTTACAAGACCGATCAGGCGAAGCCAGACTCAACACATTTAAAAATTCCAGGTCTCTTATTTATGTAAATACAAAAGTTTGAACCACTTGGACGGATTATGGTAGTACATGATATGTTGTCTCTCGCCCGCCGTTCTATTCATGCACATCTAATGTCAAAAGCCGGAGCTATCCTACGCAAGCCCTCCAGCGCAGTCATCAGTCATCAAAAACCTACAGATGCAACGCTCCACACTAAACCAGACCGACCCAATATGCCTATGTACACCGGTCGACGAACCTCAGAACTTCCTCGGTCTCTTCGCGTGAGGCGCCGGCGGCGTCTCAGTCGAATCCCGACTGCTTCTCTTTCCCGGGCTTGCCCTCAGGTGCTTCAACGCCGCAAGCTCTGAGCTCAAACTCTTATCCCTGCATTCGAGGGCCTTGATTCGGTCCATCATAGAATCCTCTCGTTTCTGGTTATCCGTGATCAGTTGCTTGATTCGGCTCTCGATATCCAGCTTGAAGGCCACATCACTCTCAAGCTGTCGGTTGGCCTCGGCTTGCAATTCTTCGATGAGCACCTTCTGGGTCTTGGTGACTTCGTCGAAATATTTGTACCAGGTGACAATATGCTTGTATTTTCCGCGAATGCTCTCGATATGTTTTGTGTGATCTCCGAGTTGGCCGTTCATATGTTCCACAGAATTGATCGTGGTGGTAATACATCCCTGCATCTTGTCTATGCGCTTCAGCTGGCTCAAGCATGCGGTCTCGACGGATTCAATCCTTTTTCTCAAAACATTCTGGTTCTGGTCGAGTTTCTCGTTGGCTGACAGAACTTGGGTCTTGGATGCTTCCAGATCTCCCAGTCTCGAGTCGATGGCTGGGATGGATCCAGTCGCGGCCTTCAAATCTTGTTCTCCCTGCTCTACCTGATCGAGTCTGATACGCAGACTCTTCTGGTCTCCTCGTAGATTTTTGAAAGTCGACTTGGTCTCAACACGAGCGACCTCCAACTCGCTGATCCTCGACTCCATTGCGGTATCGTACAGGGAAGCGTTGTCGCACCAGGATTCCACGCGCTCAAGTCGGTCGTTTAGCGTACCGTGATTCTGCACCAGAGTATCGTGGGTTGCGAGAATTTCGTCTTGGGCCGTCTTCAGGCTTTCGAAATGTGCCTCGACAGCGCCATCCTCGTGGGAGTCTCGGACAGTTTCGTTGTGCCTTTCGAGAGCTTCAACGGCGAGGTCCAGCTGGTTGTACCTCTGGCCAAGGTTGTTAAGGGCCTCGAGATAAATGTTGCTGTCATCATCCAGCTTCGTGACCTTCTGGTCCAGCTTCGCAAGACCTTCCTCCGTCTTGACATCGAGCTCCGTAACAGCCGTCTTGATGGCCGGAAGTTCCGCTTCCAGCTCGACCACACTCTCGAAAATCAGCTTTCGCATCTCATCTGCCGCCTGCACCTGCTCTTCAAGACCCAAGATTGCAGCCGCCACGGCGCTGATGACTTGCGACCCTTTTTCCATTCTCCTCTCCAAGTCTTCCAGCCTTGCCCGATGCGCCTCATGCACAAGACTCGCCGCGCTGTTCGTGTACTCCCCATTCCCACCGCTCCTCCTCTCCCTCTCCTCATCGATCTGGAGCCCGAGTGCCTTGAGTTTGGCTGCGCACTCCGCTTCAAGACTTACAAGCCTCGTGACCTGCACCTTCAAGTCAGATGCCTTCTTGGCTAGCTGCTCCAGCTGCGCATCGTGGTAGTCGAGCCTCAGGCCCCTCGTACTGTCGCTGGTCTCCAGCGCATCGAGCCGATGCGTGGTTTCAAAGCGCAGGTCGTCGAGATTGTCGGAAAGCGATTTGACGGGTTGCGGGGCCGAGGGTGGGGCTTCGGTTTTGGACGGGCCATTCGGGTGGTTGGCGGAAGGTCTCGACGTCGACGAGGATTCCGGAGAGAGTTCAGGCATGGTTTGCATGGTAGAGGTGGTTGAGTTGGTTGAGATGGTAGAGATGTTAGAGGTGGTAGAACTGGCCGGCCGTTCTGGGCGGCGCGTGGGGTTGTGGAGCGGCCGCTAGCGCTAAGACGGGTGTTCACGTGACCTATAAAATTCTGCCAAATAGGAAGCTTTTAGTGACAAGGCAGTGTGACAGAGCCAGACATTTCTTGGGGGTTTGCAGAGGGATGATGAGGTGGAAAGGTGAAAAGAACCTGGGAAGCGAACCTCAAATAAGTACATATACCACATATATGCTCATAGACTAATCAATCAACATACATAATTGCACGTGAGCTTCATCAAGGAAACGGTCCACAATGGACCGAGGTATCTATCTACCCAGTATGTCTGCGGCCTTGCCTTGCCTCGCTCCGCTGCCGCCCTGGCATCCAGCCTCTTCTCTCCCCCTCTTCATATATCCAACAACAACCTCTTCACTCATCACCTCCTTCCCAATTCCACGCACAGAGAAAGTAAGAAATAGTACAAGATGGCATATGTGTGTGCTGAAAGTATCCAGTCCAACCAAGCAAGTATTCCACCATCGAGTGAGAAAGTATCCGCCTATTGATTTCTTTTTTTTTAAAAAAAGTATAGGGGAAGGGGTATCCACCAACAGCAATAACAATAACGACAACCAACACAGCCGCGCCAGGACGCAAAATGAGACGCAAAAACGCAGAAGGGGGTATAAGAGCGATCAGCGCACTAGGAACGAGCACCAGATCGTAAAGCACGCGCGACGCGCGTTATATACATCCACGTTGTCTCCCGAAGACCTCGCGGCACGGAGGAACGTGGATAGCGCGATATGTACATGCAATAGAAGAAGATTAAGCAGTACAGATGGCGAAACGGCTGGTCCCGAATATGGGTACGAGCAGTGGATATGGAGGGAGGTGTAGATGCTGCAAATATGTGTGTGAACATGGTTGACCGGCTGGGAGGGCAGAGAGGCAAACTGTTAGCTTGCCGAGTCCGGGAGAGACCGACCGATTGACCGGAGCGAGACAAGGCGTATTAGGTATTTGTCGACGCATTAGAAGGTATGCGGAGACAAGGCCATTTCACACAGTACGATGGCGTGCAAGAGAGGGCGAGTCAAAGAGGGATGGACGGTGTTGCGCAGCCACGGTTGTATCGCACTCGTGAGCTTCGAAGCAGAGCGGAGCTTACAGCAGCAGGTAGCTGGCGGCGGCGCACATGACGACGAGGCTTGACATGCTTCCAGAAGCGACTAGTCCTTTCGGAGCGCCAGACTGGTTGGTTGCCTGAGCGATTGGGGAATCGGCTGGAGTAGTATCGCTACCACCGTAGGCGCCGTTGACGGTCGTGGTGGTATCCTTACTCTCGAAGAGAACATGTGCTGATTGACGGGCCGCTGGGTAGGCTGAAGTTTTGTTGGTAGACGATTTCGACGCGGAAGAGGACGACTTACTAGCCTTGCTTTTCCGAGAAGCGGAAGACAATTTTGGCCCGGACGAAGAAGACACGAGGGGCGAGCTTTTCCTAGAGGTCTTCGAAAAAGCCTCCGAGGCTCCCGACAGCGCAGAAGAGGGAGAGGCCGAGAAGGACGATGTGGGCTCTGCGCTGCTGAGAAGTAAGGAGGAGCTTTTGCGCTCCGAGCTGGAGGGCGACGTGCTAGTGCTGGTCAATAAGATTGAACTTGATGTTGGACTGGGCGTCGGGGTCGGAGTTGGAGTAGGAGTAGGTGTGGGTGTGGGTTTAGGTGGTGGTATGGGCGTTGGAGTCTGTTATCAAGTTAGTTATAAGTCTATTGATAAGTTGATTGAATGAGCAGTCCTCAGCTAAATATAAGGTGTATCAAAGCAAAATTGAACTTGCTAGTGTGGGGGTTGGACTTGCACTGGGTGTTTTAGCCTCTGGACTCGGACCTGCCTCTTCGGCCTCTGGGGGACTTGGGCTCTTTGCCTTGGGCTCTGGATTTGGAACTTTTTCTTTGGGCTCTGGACTTGGACTCTTTTCCTTGGGCTCTGGACTTGGACTCTTTTCCTTGGGCTCTGGACTTGGACTTTTTTCCTTGGGCTCTGGACTTGGACTTTTTTCTTCGGGCTCCGGAGCTTTGCTTGGTGCATCAGGCTTATAGACTGCTTGCCCAGCGACGTCGGAAGCGAGATCTGATGCATCTGGAGAGCCAGAACTAGAGCTAGAATCAGTCTTGAAGACGACAATCTCGGCAGACTCTCCCTTCGGAACGGTAACGACGCAGAAGCTGGCCCCTCCTGCTCCAACACCCTGATCGGAGCTTTTGACACCCCCGACTCCATCGCTTGACGGATCAATGGAGCATGGAAGCCCAGTGCAGCCAGACCCGGCACATACGATCTTCAGTCCAAACTTGGGCTTGGTGGCAGTGAGGGCAGAGTTTTCGATGAACTTCGGATTCCACCCAATCTTAACGAAGGTGATTCCGCTGGAAACTTGGTTGGCCCCTGCCACGTAAGGGGACCAATTCCCGACTGGCGTTGTTTCTTCACCCCAGACACAGGCTTTATCAGTGGATACTCCCGGAGGGTTGACATAATAGCTACTGATGTTAGCATTGCTTCCAAATGCATGTTAAGGACACTCGTACTGCGCGGCCGTGCTAGCCCAATAAGTCGCGTCTGGAACTGCCAAACCAGCCAAGTCGTGAATCGCCGTAGGGATCACCATTGACTCGTCTCCAGGCAGGACCGTCTGGCAGAATGCGACAGTGCTCCCACACTTGTTCTTGACCGCGACTGACCCAGCCCCATCAACACAGTATGGGCTGTCTGGGATTGGTTTGCTGACTTTGCCATTCGAATCGCAGTAAAGACCGCCGTCCTATTAACATCAGCGATTTGGCACATCCCACGAAGATAGCCACGTACCAAAGATGCAGGGTACGTATAAGATTTCGCCTCTGGGTTCCATTGCGCCATCACCTGCCCAGGAGGGCAAGCATATGGACAATAGCTCCCAGCCGAGCAAGGCATATCAGGTGCCTGTGCCCAACCTCCGTTTTTCGACCCAGGTGTCACCGCTACGAGGCCGGCATCCGTAGGAAATTCGCATGTAGCTCGCTTCTGCAACACTTTGTCGAATGCCTTCGACAAGTGCCTCCTGTGGCTGTGTCTTCTCTTCAAAATATCCAGAGGCGACAGTTGATGGCCAAGTTTCGCCTCACATGGCCATGATAGAAGTAGTACAGTCGCGCTGACTGCGGCTTGGACCTCGAGAAGCCTCATCGTGTACCGTGGATGGAAGCCGTATGGCTCGAGTCGCGGGTCGCAGGTCGGGGTCGCAGGTCGGGGTCGTGGTCTATTTCCGTCCAGGTGAAGGTTTTGAAGTCGATTAAAGACGAGTATCAATGGAAATTGGCAGCGCCGTTACCAGACATATCCAGATCAGAAGGAGTGAATTGGTCGTGAGTATGCTGGAACTGCAGGACGAAACGAAGAAGAGAAATCGAAATCAAAGGAGTGTGGTGAGCATAAGCATGCAACAGTAGCGACAGTCAAGAGGTAAAGGAAGAACAGTACAGACAGAGTATGTAGGGAAGAGACCCGCGAACTGCGCACGATCCAAGGGCGAGAGGAGATTGCAATAATCTTGGGACCGAGCTCATCCTTGTCTGTGGTCTAGGGCTCTCGGCAAGCGTTGTGGGGAGATTTTGCATAAGCGGCGGCCGTAGCGTCTTCATCAGCAAATCACGCTTCTCGATCGCACTCAGGGGACTTGAACTCTGTACCCAGACATGCCGTACAGTCAGTAATAGTGGGACTTGAAGTCGCAACGGTAGGGGCCCTTTCTTAAAATAGGCGAAACAATTGTATCCCGCACCGATTTTTTTATAGTAATAGATTGCGAGGAAACCATAAACCTGCAAGATAATATTTTCAACGAAATATTAACTCACGTACTTTAATAAGAGTAGGCAAAAAACGTAGGCATGCTATTTCAACTTCCGATCCTAATTTCGGACACCAAGAGCTCTTTCAAGCCTTTCAGCTTGAGCGAATATAGCGAGCCTTCGAATAGCTTTTCGAAAACCCTTTCGAAATAATTATTATTGCGAGCCGCATCTATATCATCAAGAAGGGCGATACTTTGAAGCGCGAATAGCGTCGGCGTTAAGATAAATAGCTTAAGTTGGAAAAGAAGGAAACCCAGCGAAAGATAAGGAGAACAGCAATATCATTACGTAATAATATAACATAAGGCGGTTTTGATCCACGCCGCGGATCCAGCAATCGAAAGAAAGAAGAGGGTTATTAAGCGCATGCTTTATCAATGTACCATGGATGGTACGGGCGTAATTGTTACATCCTTGAGGGTGCCTCAAAAGTTTAGTTTCCACTTTAAAGCCCCTGGTTACCCTACCCTCAAGGGTGTAACAATTACGCCTGTACCGTGCGTGGTATCTGCTACTTAAAAGCTGCAACAGAATAAGCAAAAGCCTTTCTAGCGTTAGTTGTAAAATTGATTGAAAGAAACGGCAGAACTTTACGCGATACGGACTAAGCTAATCGCGTTTAAACGCGTTGACACGCATATCGAGAAATCTTTCTTTTGTTAGTTTTATATCGAGCTCGTTTTTTATTAGGAACCAATAGCTGAACAGCTGAATAGCTTTACCACGAGGCTAAACGGGCCAAAAAGGCACAATAATTGAGAACGCTTCTTCGTCAGCTATTCTACTATGTGTAGAACACTTCAGCTCACCTGACTAAGCCTTCTACTCCTGACATTTTTGCTATCCAGTTCTGCGGAATTAGGCTTAAAGATAAGCATAGAATCGCGAATATAAATAAGAAAGGCGCGCGGATTTGTATGCCGGCCAAAGAAGAAGTGATCGTACTGATTAAGATCAGAGAAATGTATACGGGAATCTAAAAAAAATAGGCTATTGGATCGCCGGTAGCGAACGTTCATTCCTAGCGTGCAGCGCACGTAGCTTCTTGCCATTGCAAAACTGTCGGTAAAAATGGTATCTGATTTCTGTCTGCTCCCTAAGGTTCGGAGGAATAGACTCTTTCTACACGATCAAAAGGAATCACGAGAACTGTTACGGTCCTCGCGAGGGGTTGTAGTTGGGTTAGTTGGGGCTGGATTAGTCAACCGAGGTCACATGACATCCCGTGAGGCCACATTCCCCCTTATAAAGGAAGGAGCTCTCCGGAATTACCAAGCTCGCAAGCTCGCTTTGATAAACACAAACATTTCAACTCTCCCGCTATTGTACAAGCCACGCGGAACACGATTACTTCGCGGGACATAATTGTTTCGCTCACTTTAAGGAAGGGCCCTAAAAGTTGCGACGTCAAGTCCCACTATTAAGTACATTAGCCGAGATCTAATAAGTAAATAGCCCTTGTCTCAATCGAGTGAGGAGATGCGGCGGCGTCGCGGCGACAACGAGGCGGCGCCATTAAGGGAAGCAAGTCATTCATTCATTCATTTGCCATGGTTTCAGAAATGCGCGACCCTCTTCGAGTGGCGCTAGCCAGTATTGATGATACCTGTTTCTGATCAACTCACTTCGTACATCTACCACGGTACAGGCCTAAGTATTACCCCTCGAGGGTGCCTTAAAAGTTTAGTTTCCACTTTAAACCCCCTGTTTTCCCTACCCTCGAGGGGTAATACTTACGCCTGCGACGTAGTACATCCCGAAAAATGCCATGAAGAATCAGCCCGCAAAAGTCTCTCCGTGCCATCCTTAGGGTCCTGCCCTTTACAACTAGTTGTACTTGCTGTTCTACATTCAAGAAGATAGTAATGTTTTAAATATTGTCTCCATCAAATATCCAAGGTCAGACTATGACAGTATCGACCGCTGCCAAGAGGAAAATAAGCAACAGGACCCCTTGTTCGGAATCTTGACTTCGTTTTGAAGAAATAACTGGAATTCCGAAAGAGGTTAAAGAAGTCTGATATTGATTGTTCCTCCAAATTGTTTAGAAACACTTCGCAGAATATGAGAGACACATTTGAGACGGCAAGCAGGAGATGAAAGGTAAGATTTCGACTCTGGGGGTGACTTATAGCGTTAACGCGAAAACCCGAATCGTAATCCTGAGATATCGCACGTGACGCCGACTCTTTACATGGTAGCCTTGTCCAAATCTGAGTCAGCTCCGTTCAGCTCAAGCTCAACTCAACCCCCACTACCACCTCGAACTCAATGTCGGCCTCACAGATCCCAAACCTATTACATTCCCGAGGAGGACCTCGCATCAGAGGAAGTCGAGGGAGGGGCCTCTCCCGTCGTGGAGGCAGAGAAACCGGTGTACAGCGCAAAGACCTGGCTATTCAATCAACAGACACCGATGCAGCTGTATCGCGACTTAGCGCTGTTTCCCTTGGATATCTCGAGGACCCTATCGCGACTTACTTTGTGAGCGGTGATGGTACAAGGCGAATGCCCATCATCAATAGAGGTGCGCAGACCCAAGTCGTTATACAATGCATGCGCATGCTAAGCAAACCCGCCTTCAGGGACCTATACTCGTACAGCAGCTCTCGATATCCTCATAAATGCTTTCCTCGCTCATCCAGACCCAGAGTCGATACCGCAGACCAAGCAGATAATATCTCTGGGTGCAGGTACGGATACACGGTATTTCCGGTTGCGGTCCAAGAATAAACATCACAGTCTCGTCTACCACGAGTTTGATTTCCCCTCCGTATCTACGAACAAGAGGCGAATCGTGTCAAATAACAGATTACTTGTGAACAATGAGGACGAGGTATTATTTCCAGAATTCAAAATTGGCACACTCGGGTCGCCAGAGCCAGATACAGAGTGGGGGGTTACACGTACTCAAGGTGCCACACCCGAAATCACATACTGTTTTCACCCCATGGATTTGCGGCATCTTCCACAAGTTAAAGAAGCGCAGGAAATTCGTGGCTTACAACGAGATATACCAACCTTAATAATCTCTGAGTGCTGTTTATGTTATTTCGAGGTGGAAACTGCGAGAGATGTGGTAAAGTGGTTTGCGGACAGGATATCGTCGCTTGGTCTGGTCTTATATGAGCCAATCAGCGCCAATGATTCCTTTGGAAGAGTTATGGCATCGAACTTAGCTTCCAGGGGTATCACAATGCCGACCTTGGAACACTACCAGACTCTTGCTGATCAGAAATCTCGGCTAGTCAATCTGGGCTTCAAAGAGGGAGCCGAAGAGGGCGGCCAGGAGGCGGAAACAATTGAGAATATTTGGCAAAATTGGGTGCCGAGCACAGAAAAGCAGAGAGTGGACGCACTCGAGGGATTGGATGAAGTTGAAGAGTGGCAGATGCTGGCAAGGCATTACTGCGTTGCATGGGGCTGGAGAGGAAGTGTAGGATGGGATGGCTGGGCCGGACTGAGGGATTGATGTCTTTGCTTTGGACATCATCCAACCTCTTGTCGAGCTCCCTCGTCCAAATTGGTACCCACGCCCGGCTTTACAAAATAAATACAGCCCCCTATTTTAGCGAGATCATGAGAACCCTTGGTTCCACTGTCTCAAAACACCAACAATCGCCTGGTAATGGAATGTACGCTTAGCACAGTCACAACGCATTCCTCCCAGCACCCTCGTTTTCACAATGACTTTCACCCTAATAAATTTCCGATCATCGCAATGTTTTCACGGGGCACTTTCGGGGTTCGATTCCAACTTTGCTTATCATGGCGTTGATATCTTCGATAGTTTGCAGGTCATACCTTACCTACTCCCTCTTCACAATCTCAATCTGGCTCTTGATACCTGGCGCACTTGCGATAGTGAGCTCTACGTACCAGCTAGACACGGACTACTCTGGCCCAAAATTTTTTGAGGGCTTCGACTTCTGGACTGTAAGTCGAGCCCAGCCACTGAAAGATTTTGCTAATTCTGCTTCGAGGAACCCGATCCAACAAACGGCTTCGTGTCGTACCAATCGTACGCATCTTCTCTGAGGAAAGGCCTAGTTAAGAATAATTACGATGGTTCTCATTACATGGGTGTGGATCATACCACAACTCTCTCGACCGCTAGCGTTGGTAGAGAGAGTGTGAGGATCAGTAGCAAGAAGCTGTTTACGCATGGCTTGTTCATCGCAGATATTCAACATATGCCGGGTAGTATCTGTGGTAGCTGGCCAGCCTGTACGTTCTCTTGCCCAGGGCTATGATTGCCTTTGCTAATGGTTGATGCAGTCTGGATGTTTGGACCGCAATGGCCAAACTCGGGCGAGATTGATATTATCGAGGGTAAAGTGCAATGCTTGATCCGGTTCCTGATGTCTTATCTGACAATCTGCAGGAGTCAACAGCCAAATGAAAAACATCATGACCTTACACACGTATGTTTATATCTGAATCTGAATGAGGCAACTAATACTAACAGCAGCAGTGGTGATACTTGCACAATCTCAGGTGCTCTGTCCCTCGGGACTCTTCAAACAGGCGACTGCAATCAAAAAAACGGTTTCGGATGCGGTATCTCGTCCAGCAGCTCATCTTCTTATGGAGACGGGTTCAACAATGTAGGAGGTGGTGTCTACGCTACACAGTGGACTTCGGACTATATCCGTATCTGGTTCTTTCCTCGCAATACCATACCCGCCGATGTCCTGTCCGGGAACCCAGACCCTAGCTCTTGGGGCTACCCAGATGCCGACTTTCAGGGTAACTGTGATATTGATGCGAATTTCCGAAATCACCAGATTGTGTTCGGTACGTTCCCCAGTTCCCAGTGGCTTGGGGTATGATCCCGAGACAGGGCCCTTTGATTTCCAAAAAGTTTTCAGGGAGCACTTGCTGACTTTCCTATGCTTCAGATACCACCTTCTGCGGAGATTGGGCTGGCGGCGTATTCAGCAGTGATAACTCGTGTAAGTACAAAGCGAACAGCTGTGTGGATTATGTGGCGGGAAATCCAGGGGACTTCAAGGATTCGTACGTTACATCCTCTCCAGGGCTCAAAATTTGAAGTCGTCCAGCTAATGGAATGCGACAGGTACTGGAACATCAACTCGGTGAAAGTCTATGTTCTTGCACCAGCACAAGCACCAGCGCCTCCCTCATCTTCGACCAAGCCAATCACCACCTCCAAGCTTACATTAAGTCAGAATGCAATCATTGAGCCCACCACCACGGAGACCTCTTCGATGCCGCTTTGGACCATAGAGCCCACGTCAGAGAGTGTGTCTTCGACTCGCAAGCGCCTGCCGACGTCCGATCAAACCACCGCAGCCTTTCCATCCCAGCCAACATCTTACACGAATACAACGATCATATCCGCGCCGCCGGCTTTCAAGGACTGGAAATATAAAGGGTGTTTCTCCTCTGTGAAATCTGGCTTTCCTACTTTCACTCTCGCTTCAGAGGACCGGTATATGACTACATCTATTTGCGCGGGAATTTGCGGCACCAAGTCGTACTTTGGGATATTTTCGACAAACTGTTACTGCGGTACCCAACTCACCGACACGGTTAGAGTTGCTGATAGCGCCTGTTCAACCCCATGCCCCGGGGATTCTAGAGAGAGATGCGGAGGTCTGTTGAGCCTCGAAGATAAGAGAAGCATTGACCATGCGTCGTCTGGGGAGGTATTGGGGAAGAGAATCAACGATAATTATCTTCTGGTTGTTTACGAAAAGGATGCACTGCCTCTTGATATTCTTTCATCGTCCGAGTCTCCGGCACCCAAGCCTACTGCAGACCCGTCAGAAGCCTATTTCGAACCTACTTCGGGAGGACTGCTGGTACCGAGCATCACACGTTCAGCGATTGGATCTCTCATTGGGTTACCGATGGGTGAGAGTGCTGACCCGTCGGATCTGGCTACGAGTCGTGGTACCCAGGTGTACCCCGTGCACACAATCACGCCTCTGGCAACACCTACGACTAGCTTCACTTCCGTGGGTAGTCTGACAGGTGCTGGTATGGGAGATGGGAAAGGAAATGGTGCTACTACATACACCACAGTCCTGACCAGTACGTATCCTGCATTCGCTCTATCATTTACCAAGTAATTTGCGAATGGAATGTTAACGCTAACAAAACACTGATAGCCACCTACACCGATGTCTGCGACTGCGCCGAATCAACGTTCAAAGAATTCACTGTCACCAGCACAATGACGCTCACCCATTGCGGATGTACCTCGAAGCCAAGCCAAGCCTCCATACCGGCACAGATCCCAATGACGACCATGACTCGATTGTGTTACGACTGCGGCATGAGCGGGACCGTGATCGTCACGGTTCCATGCACAGAAGTGAAGACTCCTCTACCCAAACCAACGCACCCGGGTCTTCCTACCATCAGCAGCCCAGTGGTCGCCCCAACCCCGCGCACCGAATCCACGGCTCACATCCCCAAACCAACTCCCCCGGCAAAGCACACGGTTCTTTCTATCGTCAGAAGTAAAGTCGTCGTCACGGTTCCGTGCACGGAACCCACGGCTCTCCTCCCCAAGAAAGCCCAACCGGTAAAGCAGAATGGTCCTCTCGAGGTCAAGCCTAGAGCACTTGTCGGGGAAAACACCACTGCGGCTGCGGTCTCGAGTGTCACCACCTCGCCGCTTCCCGTGTACCCGAGCGAGTCGGCCCCGATTTGGCAGGCGGCGAGCAATGGGACGTTGCTAAGTAGCGTGGGTGTGGGTGGGAAGAGTGCGAGGTGGGGGCTTGCTCTCTTTATGGGATTGGGGGCTCTGATTTTGATGTTTGGATGATGTCTACGATGTTTACGACTGTTATGGCTTTTTTTTTTTTTATGTCTTATTGATTTGATTTGATTTGATTTTTTTTTTAATGATGAATGGGGGAATGAGATAGCGCTAGCATTTAGATGATAATGACATTAGGCAGGATATGTTTGGTTTATAGACAGGATTAACGTAGCGAATTGGATTTTTTTTTTTTTCTGATTTTTTTTTAGCGAGCTCGCGAACCCTCCTCCAAGAGAGTCGGGGTTATCTCCCGTAGATAGGTAGACAGGCAGTTTGATTCCTAGATATAAAATGTTGAAATAGGAGGTGACTAGGTAATACAAAGTAATACATGTCTGAGAGTTCTTTATTTCTCTAATGGGTAACAGTAGTGGGACTTGACGTCGCAAACTTCAGGGGCCCTTCTTTAACAGTAGGCGAGGAAAAAAAAGATGGCTTTGTGGGAAAGAAAGATGGCTTCTGTCGAACACACCCACATCGGCTTGGAAATTCGCTGCGTTTCGCGAAATTTCAGCTTGTTGTTTCGATAGCTTAACGACATCTTTTTTTCTCGCCTACTTTAGGAAGGACCCCTAAAGTTGCGTTTCAAGTCCCACTACCTATTGGAATGCTCTGAGACCATCGTTACCACCATTTGACTCTTTTTTTTATATGATGAACGAGAGCTCGTGATTCACGAATTAAAACGTCAAGATTAACCCAATCCTACTCAGGAGTGAAGCAGGAAGCTCGGGAGAGCACAAGGGATGTACACGGAGACTCCGTACGCGGCCACCAGCGCTAGGTCTGCATGGGTGAGCAGCTGACGGGAGGCAACATGGCAGGCGAACTGGACAGGCTGTCACTGTTCACAAGGCAGTAAACCTACGGGGTCAGCTAATTCCATTAGCGTAGCAACCTCTCCGGAGAATAGACTGTAGCACGTTGAAGCCCCGTGACCTTGAAAAGCCGGCCAAACTCCCGACTTTGAAGTGTATCGATTACTCTTTGCGCTATCTGTAAGGATGAAAATGAGAATGAAAATTCAAGGCCGTTGAAATTTCGAACCGTTTTTACCGGGACAGCTGTTGTGCTCTGATCTTAGAGCGAACGTTGGCTCTTGACCCTTGATCTGACTCATAGGAGGAGGATTGCATAGATGGGATTTAGAGAGGAAAGCTACCTACTGATCCGAATAAAGTTTCTTGATAAGTAGCGGGAACTTATCCCCGAGTGAAGGTGGACCGTGGGTGTCGATCGAGTCCGATGACGTGCGTCAACTCTGTTCCTTGCCCCGCCATCCGACGAATACTCCGTAAGTATATTTCGAGGAGCTGATCCCCAACCACAACCTGGAATCATCACTGCAGGCGCAAAGCTCTCTCTCCCTCCCTTAAAGTCTTACCCGTTGAGTCCTCGCCATGTCGACTGTTGTGGGGAGGCTCCCAGCTCGATATCCGGTTGAAGAATTCCACGCAGAGGCAGGCGGTAGTGTGTCCCCCCCCCCCGGGTCGAGGCGAGGAAAGCATTCCAAGCAGTACTAAAGAAGCAATACCTCGTGCGACCGCCGACCTGCCACCCGGATCCACAACAGCTGCATTCAGCTTTTCTTCTTCCGACCTCCTTCAGACGCCCCTATCCTCCTGGCTCAAGTCCTGCGTACGCCTCTTCCGATCCCTTCAAACCAGACCCAACCCCCCCCCCCCCTCAACATGCCAACCTTCCTCGTCCACGGCTTCCGCTGGAATCGCACCAGCATACGTATACACATCATATTGAACAATCTGGACGACGCAGCGCCCGAATGGATCATTGCGCCCGCGAGCTCGGTCACCCTGCTCAACTCCTTCTACACCCTGTTCGACTTCTTGCCGCCCTCGAATCCACCCCCCGCTTCCAGCCCGCTCGCGCCTGTGGCCGATCAAGTGGTTACCGAGGAAGAAGCGACGCGCGGGACGGAGAAACTGACGAAGGCGAACAAGAGTAATCGGAGTATAAGCAGCCTGCGCGATTTGGTGCTGAGGCCCAAGAGTAATGGCGTTGTGAGTCTGGGTGGTGGGAGAGGTAAGGAGAAAGACAAGGAAGATGGCCCCAATGGCAATGGTACCGGAAGCAGAGAGACGAAACCACCTGCGGGTGCGACGGTGGCACCGACCACCAAGACGACAGAGAAGAGGCCTACATTCAACGACTGGAGCGTAGTGAAGCTGCTGGAGCAGTACGATCCCGAGATTGAAACCTGTAGCCAGCCGCACGCGTACGTCGCGGATTACATGGTGGAGGTTTCGCTGGGGGTTTCTGTTGCGGAGGAAATGGCCAGGTATGAGGCTAAGATTGCGGAGGAGGAGAGCCTCCTGAGTGCGCCGGCGACGCCTCTGTCACCTGAGAAAACTGGCTTTCCGACGGTCGATGAGAATGGAGAGTTGGCGAGTCCGCCGCTAAGTGCGAGGGATGTGCGGAGGAAGAGTAGGCGGCTGAACTGGTTTGAGAAGTTGAGGGACGGGTTGCAGAAAGAGGCGGCTATTGGCTGGCATGTCGTTGTGTGTGGAGATGAGGAGAGAACTCCGCCTAGCATTAATGAAGACGAGGATAAGGAGAGTGTTGAGGAAGAGGGATATCAGAAGCCACCTCGAAGCGCTGGTTTGAGAGGCTTCTTCGGCATGAAGAATTAGGTTACAAAAAGGAACAGGGGCTTATGGATTGGTATGGCGTCTTGGGTGCTAGTACTAGGGGGAAGGATGAACCAAGTAGTAATATCCAGTAGATGAATATATGAATGAGTGAATTACGTCGTTACTCAATTCTCTCACTGTTTGCCCTCGTAGTCCCTCTTCCAAATCCTATCCCAGCACTCCTTGTCCACCGCGAACTCTCTGACATAGTCGCTCTCCAACTCATGCGTCCTCCGGCCCAGCAGGACCATACTGTGCAACGGCCCGCCCAGAATCTCATCAGAATCGCATAGCTGCTTCAAAGTCCCACTGACGAACTTTTCCGTCTTGCCGCCGACTCTTGCTGCTCCAACAGCCAAGCTCTCTTCGTCGTAGACCCCTCCCTCCCCCGCCTCCTTCTTCAGCTCCTCAATCTCCAGCATTTGCTGTGCACACTGCGCGACAGTCATGTATCTCGGCGGCTCATAGACTTTCCTCCCCCTCGCCATATTCTCCAGACTTTGCTCCTTGACTTTAATATCCAGCAGTACCAGAGTATGCAATCCGATATTACGATTCTCACGGACGCGGTCATAGAACGACGCAGGCTTCCAAGAGTCGGTAAAAAAGACCATAGAGATCGTCTGTCCGAAATTATAGAGTTGCAGCCCGGTTGCGCCAATAGCGGACATGATCGAAGCATTGGGGATGGTGGAGATGGGGATCTCGAGGTCGCGGGCGCGGAGAACGAGGTCGGTGTGCGTTGTTGCTCTTTCCACCTATGTTAGTGTACATCCATTTACTTCATCTATGTAGAGAGTAGAGGGACAGTATATACCCGAAAGGATCTCCCACCACCAAGAACGCAACATCTACATTCTGCGCATCGTTCAGTATCTCGTCGCTGGCGCTCTCCACCATCTCACGGTCTGCGATGATGACGTCCCGTCCATAGTATTTCTCCTACTGCCCATCAGCGTCAGCCAAAGCACAGCTCTTCCGAGAGACGACGGTGGGTGGGGTTTGTTTACGAGTATTGTTTTGTCGACGAGGAGGATGCTAGTGTAAGCTTCGAGGTAGACGCGGCTGCATTTCTTGACGGTCTCGAGGCCTTTCACTGTGATGTCTGTCTCGTCGGAGAGACCGAGGCCGATTAGGTAGAGCATTTTGAGAGTGCTGTTCAGAGAAGGTTGTTGTTTTGGAGGGGTTGAAAATTAAGCTGACCCCGCCATGCGGATTAAGTAAGTACTTGAAGCTAAGAAGTTCCGATTGAGGAATCTGCCGAGCTTAATTGATAGAGTGTAATGTCTTCAACCACAACGTCGACAACCGCCCACCCCAAGAAAAACAAGTGCCATCCTCCTCTGAGCTGATTATCCGAACCGATCGAACCACCCAAATCAGAACCGCAGCCATGTCGTCGTCCAAGAAAGGCGCCTACGAAACCGCCGCCTCAGACACCGACTTCAGGAAGAAATACGACCGCGCCGAGTACGCGCAGAAAGCCGCCGACCGCGAAGCCAAGGAGAAGGAAGAGTCCAAAGCGCGCTATGAAGCCAAGCTCGCCGGCAAGAAATACTATGCGCCGCTGACCGGCGACGAGACCCTCACGCAGGCCCGCGCCTCGCGCCTCGACGTCTCTGCCAATGTGGGCAAAATCACGCTCATGCCTGCGGGCGCGGCGACGGGAAAGCGAGGCCGGGGAGCGGGCTTCTATTGCGCGGATTGCGATCTGACGTTCAAGGATAACTTGCAGTGGGTGGAGCATGAGAATAGTATGCAGCATTTGCGGGCGATTGGGCAGACGGGTGAGGTCAAGAGGGCGAGCACGGAGGAGGTGAGGGAGAGGATTGAGAGGATATGGGAGAGGATGGAGGAGGAGAGACGGGGGGATATCAAGACGCTTGGGGAGAGGCTGGAAATTCGGAAGGAGGAGGAGGATAAGAGGCGTGAGGAGAGGAGGGAGAAGAGGAAGGAGACTGTGGAGAGGAAGAAGGCGGAAAGAGATAGTGCGGTGGAGATCAAGAAGGAGTATGGGGAAGATGTGAGGGTCGAGGGTGAACACGATGAGGATGATATGATGGCTAGTATGGGGATCACTGGGTTCGGGACGTCGAAGAAGTGAGCGAAGAACTGAGGGATGTACATTGCGGTATTAGCGATGGCGTTGGGGATATAGACCGTGGGGCACAACCTGCCAGGTCATACAGGTAATATAATATATTGCTATGGCACAACTGACTTGGCTCAGCGAGACGGTACAGATCCATCCGAATCCGACTATGCATCCTGGGCCTCACCGAAACTTTCCTCGAACTCGTGCAGCTGCCTAGATCCCCAGAATATCATCTCGGGTGGTTGAGAAGCTTGTAGCCCGCAGCCTACTTGTCTGGCATTCATTTTCTCGGTCCAGAACCTCTGCACCGCCCTCGTCAGAAACCGCTCCATGTGGTCCCCGGGACCACTATCTCTTCTCTTAAACAGAGTCAGCCTCTTCAGACGCAGAAATGGTGCAAGCGACAAGCTCATGAGCGCATATCCTCTATGCCTAAACCCAAGCATAACCAAGTTCTGCACTGTCGCGAGCGACTCCATGACCTCCGGACCTGGTTTAGGATGGATGCCCCACTCGGGATGGCAGCGTATTGCCAGGACGTCTCTGGAGAAGTTGAAATATCTCGGATGGTCGTTAACGGCGTCAAATCTGACGCGATGGAAATGTGTAAGTGCCAGCTCTCTGGCCAGGACATTAGTATGCAAGGCCACTTGGACTTTCCCAGAGCACTTCGCGACGAATTGCTCCCTGCCATCCGTATACCTAAAGATCGACCCACCGATGCCTAGCGGGACGTGGATGGACAGGTTGTTGGTTGTAGCCCAGAACCCACCAGTCTGGGTTATGACCACTGTTTGAGGGTTCTGTGAGATGAAGCACTCCCAGATTGCGAGCTGCAACTCTTTGGGGAGGAGAGGGAATAGTGTGAAGGTTGCTAGGGACGACATGTTTGCTGCTTCGTGGGGGAGGTGCGGCTGTAGGTATGGGAACAGGCATCGAAGTCTGGGGAGGAAGAACGATAGTGTTGTTCTCTGCCTACGATGTACTTCTTATACCCTTTGTTTTGGCAGGTGACAATAGTCCTGTCTGCTAGTGACTCGGCTTGTCTTGACTCGAAACGAGTTTTCGATTTCGTTTCTTCTCGGCTATTATTTAGAGACTCAAGGAATATCTTAAGACACGCGATAGACAATGTCTTTGTTCAACGCGGTGCTATTCTTTGTTCCGATCTTGTTGAAACTGTTTTTTATTGTTCAACGGATAGCGGTAGAGTGATTATGTCCACGTTAGCACAATTTCGCCATTAGGTCGAGTCCTATCAGGCACAGAGTTTTCCTAGATTAGGGCTCAAACCATAGTAGGATTTGGCTAAAAAAAGCCCCAAAATCTCTAACTACAACCTCCATCATTACATCTCTCACAGTCTGCTCATCTCTTTCTCACTAATAGATTGCACTCCGCTAGTGCGCTGGCTGCATTTATGCGTCCCAGGCCCTAGCCTACAGATTGCAACACGTCCAAGGCGGCCAGCATCCAGCTCTGGTACTGTTCCAAAACCAGCTCTTTCATTCTGGCCCAACTGCAGTGTTGGATTTACCCCAGACTCCAACCAAGTCTTGTACGTAATGGCCATGAAAAGCTTTATCTAGGGCCACGAGCTCCCACGCAGACATGACCTCACACTAATCATTCCCGCTCTCTTCCATCTTCTGCGTCACAGTTTGACCGTCTACGAGATGGATGTGTTCACGCTATCACGCTGGTAAGGCGTTAAATACCGTTGTTTGACCTTCTGGATCCAGTATAAGAACGAAATCCGGCAACGGTTTTAAGCGAGGCCAATTTAAAATAAGCCAGTAATCTGATATTGATATCTTGCACCGGGGAAGATATCTCTCTCCCATCTGAGCCGGACTGTGGAAGCATGTTTCTCAAGTTTGTTAGGATTCTCTTGTATCCATAGCGTCGGAGATCCTGATCCTGCCGCTGCCCTTGTCGAGCTCTTCGTCCGTGTACGGTACTCAAAGACGCCGAAAGTGGCTTCCGTTCCCAATTCATCAGTAGCAGGAAATGCACCCATCATCCTCTCTAATTCGGCGCTAGTTTACAGACTCCCTCTTTTTTTTTCTTTCTCTCTCTCTCTCTCCCATCCTTCCAGCTCCAGTGTCCGGTAAAGCATTGATGTAATCGACTGAAGATATTGGCATCAGCCCGCTGCTACACAGCGCTTTGCCAGAAGGGAACGAGAAGGTCTGCAGCTTCATCTACAGTCACTACAATACGGAGTGAAGTTTGTAAATGTCGAGATGTGAAGTCCTGTCCGAGTCCCAGTCCCAGTCCCGGCCCGGCCCCCTGGTTCCTGGCATGCCAAGATACAGCCCCACCGATAGCAAATTCCAACGCTTCATCAAAACAAAAACCCAAAATAACCCCACCATCAGTATATTTATTTCTTCCAAGCTCAACTCCTCCATTTCCCATCGACACACCAAAACGGCAGATAAAATGCCCGCCTTTGACTTGAAAACCTGCGCCCGTCCCAATATTCTTGCCTTGGAGCCGTACCGGTGTGCGCGAGAGTAGGAAGCCTCTGCAAGAATTACCTCCATAAAATGTTGACTCACCCCACATAGCGACTACAAAGACAACGGAACGAACGTCCTCCTCGATGCCAACGAAAATGCATTTGGTCCCTCGCTTTTCTTGCAGGAGTCCAAAAGAACAGAGGAGATTGAGACCGGCGACGCAGATGTCGACCTCTTCGGCCTGCACCGCTATCCAGACCCCCACCAACACCCTCTGAAGCAGCTCTTCTGCAATCTACGAAACACCCACATCCATACCAAGAAGAACATCACGCCCGAGAATCTGTTTGTGGGAGTTGGGAGCGACGAAGCCATCGATGCCCTTCTCCGCTGCTTCTGTGTGCCCGGCAAGGACAAGATTATTGTTTGCCCACCCACATACGGAATGTACTCTGTGTCAGCACAAGTTAACGATGTTGGACTTGTCAAGATCCCGTTACTTCCTGCGCCAGAGTTTGCCCTCGATGTAACTGCAATCACATCTACACTATCATCTCCCGATGCCTCGAATATCAAACTGATCTACGTTTGCTCGCCCGGCAACCCTACCGGATCTCTGATTAAGAAGGAGGATGTACAAAAGCTGCTTGAGCACCCTACTTGGAACGGAGTCGTTGTTTTAGATGAGGCATACATCGATTTTGCTCCGGAGGGATCGTCACTTGCGGAATGGGTATCGGAGTGGCCGAATTTGGTGGTGATGCAAACACTTTCGAAAGCTTTCGGGCTTGCTGGTATTCGCCTGGGTGTTGCGTTCACATCTCCGCCGATAGCTTCTCTATTGAATAATATGAAGGCGCCTTATAATATTCCCAATCCAACGAGCGAGATTGCTATATCGGCACTGACGGACGCTGGACTTGGGACGGATGGGGAACCTAGACGGGGCAAAGGTGGGTTGCGTTTAATGGGATGGCGAAGGACAAAGATCATCGAGCAAAGAGAGCGACTGCTTCAAGAGCTGCCGAAGATCAAAGGTGTAGGAAGATTCAGAGGCGGCACAGCGAGTAACTTCTTACTGGTAGAAATGCTGGATGCTCAAGGCAACCCAGACAACGTGACGGCATTACAAGTTTACGAGCAGCTAGCAGAGGATAGAGGCGTGGTGGTTAGATTTAGAGGCAAAGAGCATGGCTGTCTGGGATGCCTGAGAATGACAGTCGGGACAGAGCCAGAAGTCACAAGGTTATTGAAAGAGCTAGGATCGGTACTTGCGCAGATTCACAGAGATAAGCAACGGTCGAACGGGACTCTGGAGGAGAAGAGAGAAATAGAGGCCAATGCCGTGGTGTCGTAGATCTGGATATTCAGGGTGGAACAATAAACCAATAAAAGATAGGCTCTCTCCTAGCCTAGGGGTTGGAAGCCAGAGACACCTACTTTCTGTAAGTGATAGCCACGGATTTTGAATTCTTTTGGCAAAATGGCAATCTCTCAACCAAGCATGTTGCGCCACATGGATGCAGCAAGCCTACAGGCAGACTCCGTTTGCCCTCTCTTCCCGGTTTCACATGTGGACCCCGATTGCCTTTTGTCCGTCTATGTAGACCCCAGATTTCCCAGGTCGATCTGCTGAGGTGACAGTCTTTTGGTACTTTCACACCTTCCACACCTTCCACACCGGTGCTGTTGCTTCATGGCTCCTTCCCAATAAGTCGAACCCCGAAGTGGGGGGTAATCGTTCTCGCTTAAATCCTTGGCAGTCCTATAAGGTTTTTCGCCCCATGAATCCATCTCCTCTCCCTTTTCACCTCTCCTTCTCCTCTAACCATGCCGCGAGCTTCTAGACCGACCGTGGGGAGCAAGGACATGATCATAGACCCGTACGCTATCACGGACCGGGAGCTGTTCTACATATCCCAGAGGAGTCTCTCGAAGAGTTTGTCAGCACAGGTCTCCTCACGTGCCACGTTCGCGATCTACCTGCGCTGGCTTGAGGTGCACCGGCAGGAACCGTCCCGCCGCTCCGAGCACTGGTCGAACACGGTGATGCACTGGGTGCAGAGCTTGCGGAGCCGTGGGTATCAGGAGGAGGAGATTATCGGCCGGGTTGAGGAGTGGAAGCGTGAGGAGGGCCCCTGGATGTCGAGATCGCACCGCCATCCGCCGACGGAACGTGATATCCGGAAGGCGTTTGATGAAGACACGAGGCAGCAGCGAGAAGGTGGAAATTTAGAGGAGAGAATGGACCGGGAGAGACTGGTGGTGACACACGGTGAAAGGAAGGCATCGGCGAGGATGATGTCGGGTGGGCATGATATTTACCGCCCTTCGGATTCGTTATTCCAGAAACCCGAGGAAGCTTGGGAGAGGAAGGAGAGAAAACGGATTGAACAGTACAAGTTGGATCTTCCACCGCCGGTGAGCTACATTTGCAACAGGTGTGGCAAGAAAGGTAAGTGCTCAAGTCAGGAGCGAGCGGCCTGGATTGTCTTCACGTCGAGTCCCGCTCATGGAATCAATGTCCTCTGATATTCTGGGACGACGGGAGAGAGAAAGCTGATTTGGATTCAGGTCACCACCTACAGATGTGCCCAACGAACATGGATGCGTCATTCGACAGGCCACCTGCCGTAGACTACCGTTGCGACGTCTGCCACGAAAGAGGGGTCCACTTTAAATCGCTTTGCCCGAAGAACACCGATCCCTACTCCATTATACAGAAGCGTAAAGCAAGAGGTATTGCCACACCCACCAAGAACGACAGGAAGAAGGAGAGTTCTATTCGTAGTAGAATGAGCGATTTTTCCGTGGAGTCGTCTAGCACCTCGTCTACCAGCTACAGCTTGTAGGTAACGGAACCAGCAGCCCGGGGAATTCCGTCCCAATTTGTTCCAAGATTCCTGCAAACATTGACTTGGTCATTTTCTTTGGATGAGCAGTTGCTGACCGTTGTATCTTACAGCCCACCATCTGTCAAGAAGCTCGAACTCATTGAGTCACTACAGGACCTAGAGAAGAAGAAGCAAAACTTGTTCCAAGAGCAGTCAGAAGAGATCGTGGGCATGATTCGGGAAGGCACTGGGAAGCGAGTCCGGGGTATGAACAGTCCATTTTCCCCCTTTTGCTTATCCGTAAATGTCTCAGGGCTCCCGGAAAAAAAAAATCATGGGCTGTCGCTGATTTCCAGTGCCATAGAACAAGACTACTCCAGGCCCAGTGGCAGCCCACAACGAAGGAAGGTTCGCAAGACGGATAGAGAAGTAACGCCATCCGACAACGAGCAGGATGAAGGTGGCAGGAGCGACGTAGAGATGATAGAATACATCGACGAAAACGCTCATGCAGACAGAATCTTTGCACTCCGCCCTATTGAAATATCGTCAGCTTCAAGGGTTTCAGATCAAAGAGAGAACTTCGACGAGGAAATAGAGGAATTCACGATCGAAAAACCGACCAAGGAATATCCGCCGTTCGTTCGGATGCTGATGCGGACGCGACCAGAAATGAGTGAGATTGTCAATCATATCAATAAGCGTAGGAGGGCTCGAGATATGTGGGAGGTAGGTGCCCGGATTTCCTATTTTTTCAGTCTCAAGACTTCAGGGCACATGTCATCTCTCTTTTCTTGGGTAGGAAGATGCTGACTCTCTCGTGCCCAACAGCAGGTCGACCGCGAGCAACAGCAACAAGTAAAGTTCAGGTAAGCACTTTTGTTTCGCCTTGATGCCTGGATGCTTATGCATGGCCAGGCCAAGACCAACGGGACTATTTTCGTACGAAGATGACCAGGAGTCTTTGTTAACTGAAGATTCGGTGGTACTTAGCAGCCGAGGGGGCTTACCGGAAATCAAGATGCAATACGACGGAACTTGCGATGAGCCAGATTCTAGAGCCATTGGGTTCTCGGAAACTGTCACGTCAGACCTCCGCACCACCCACTTTAGTAAATCATCGACACTCACGACTAAATTTCGAAAGAGCCCGACCAAAGTCCCCAAAGCTACAATCGAGATCGGAGACGGCCCTTTCAGGACGGCGGTCGAATCCAAGATGGTGCCCATGGCTACAAGGCGAATGGCTAAGAAAATCGAGGACCTGAAGAAATTCGGAAGTACTTTCAAGCTTGCAACACCAGTCCCAAATGACCTCGTACAGATCTTGTCGAACAACCCGGCCAAGCAAGAAGAGATTCGGAAGAGGTCTGGAGCCCAGCAAGCACCAGTTGTGGGGTCGGTCGAGGCATGGCTGGCGAGTTGCAATGCAGACGGGAATTCCGGATCTTGAGTACCGTTCCTCCGCATACTCGTGGATGGTTGGGCATGGCAGATCTCTAGAGATTCGGGGTGCGAGCATATGATAAGCATGGTATTAGAGGTGCAAGGCTTTAGCAGAGTGCATTAGATTTGCTTTTTCAATCAATCAGATGTCATAGCAACTACGGCACAGCTCTGACCAAGCCATAGCCTGGTGAAACTGGCATTGAGAAATACCGTCACGTTGCATTATTCCATGAGCAATCTTGACCCAGGGAGAGAGTGATGGTTGACTTGCTTTGCTCCTTGAACGCCAATTCGCCGCCCGTATGCTGACCTCGCATGTCCCGTCCTGCCCTCTGTTCCGTATATACTATCTCCCACCCCTCTTTCACTCCAGCTTATCGAGATGTTCCAGCCGGGTGAGGACCACCTGTTTACTCGTCTCCTCGACTTCGCCTGCGAGGAACACCTCGTCGAGGATGGCGTAGACCTGCCGCAGCGCGTTAGCCATCTTTCCACGACACCAGCGCTTCCTCCCCTCTCCTCTCTGCCTTTTCCCTCTTCTCCCTTCCCAGGTTCCTTCTCACACCCCTTCCCAAGTACCACACCAATCTCCCCTTCTTTCACCTCTCCTCCCCTTCCCCCTTCCCCCCCCCTCCCCCCATCCCCCCCCCCCCCCCCCCCCTTCCCTCTCCCCTCCCACACACACACCCAAACGCACCTTATAAAAATTAAACACCAAATCCAGCTCACACACATTCCCAAAGAAGCTATCCAGCACCTCGACGAAGAAGTGCACGGCCTCGAGGTAGGCCAGCTCGTTATCGTTGGCGTCGACGCAGACGCAGAAGAAGAGGCCCGCGTAGCGCCGGTACACGATCTTGTGCGTCCGGAACTCGACGAAGTTGGACTGGTACTTCTGGTCCCGCGGCGCGACCAGCCGGTGCACCTCGCCCTTGAGCTTGATCTTCTCCTCGTCGTTGTACGGCGCGTACCATTTTGCTAGGCGGGTTTTGCCTCTGTGGAAGGGGGGAGCGGGGTTAGGTGGATGTTTGTGGGTGGGGGTGGGGGAGGGGGGGGAGGAGGGGGAGGACGCACTGTCTGTTTTGGATTAGGATGAAGGAGAGGACCATTTTCGAGGGGGGGAGCTCATGGGCGGCAGGCTTGCTTGGGGCTTGGGGGGGTGATAGTGTAGGTAGTAGGTAATTGAGGTTGTACGGTAGGGTGGGGCCATATTTCCTCGTTCTCGTTTTCGTTTTCGTGTTCGTTCTCGGCCCTCACTTTTTTTTTTTTTTTTTTTTTTTTTTCGCTCCGTTGGAAATTTTAGAATGTTTAGGGGGTAGATAGTAATTTGTGATACGATGATGAGGATGAGAAGAAGAGTAAGAATGGAATCATATGTTGTTGATGATATATACGGGGTGGTTGTCGCTTGGCGTGGATGTTCCACGGCGATGGGAGTGTACCTTTCACCTTTAGATAAAGAATAGGAGATCAATGTATATCCGCAGGACAGGGACAGATTACGCGATATATATACCTATTTGATATCCGTAACATGGCTCACACGGGTCTTTCCGTTAGATTGGTTTCTGGCAGCGTTATATTCTATGTATTTTTTTTTTGTTTAAAAAGAGAAGAAGGGAGATACAGTATGCGGTTCGGTATACTCAAAGGTGCAGAGGGGGGGCGGAAGGGTTTAGCCAGCGAATTTATACTGCACATTCCGCCCGGCGACGCATGTGATGAACAAGAAGCAGAGTAACGCCGCAGAGAAATCAAGAGGGTGAGGATATGCCGCCGCGGCTTATCCAAATGCACCCACGAAACGCTTGACGGATTGTTGAGCGCGCAACATCGTCCCGGAATGGGTAGTGGGCTGGGTAGAGTAGGTTGATTAGCAGACGACGGGGATGGTTGCAGGTGAGAGGACTGGGATGAGAGATTCTGGTATATGGATGGATGGATGGATGTAGTATGTCTGGTAGCCAGCCTACCTAGCTAGCTGAGCTACGCAGGCTGTGGTTTGGGTTTGGGTAGATAAAGGAAGTAGGTAGATGAACTGTGTTTATGATCCGGGGCGGGCTAGATGAAGGAAACGAGCTGCGTCTAGAATCCAGGTTTTGCAGGCTAAGTAAATGAGCTATACTAAAATTCGGGGTTTGGTACGCTAGGTTACCAGATACCGTACAATACTACGATCCATGGTCGATGTATCAGGCTAGTGACCTTGCGGCCCGTGCCGAACCGCGCCGTGGGGTCTCTCGGTTAATTTTCAACGACATCCGGCTTGCTGATACTGGGTATTAGCTGCGTAAACTCCTGCTTTTACAAGGACGATAGCAGTAGATGGCCAATTGGGTATGAGATTCGATTGGAAATAGGTAATGGATATGCTCAACCTATTGTCAAGCTGCGGATGTTGCCAGTGGCTTGGGGCAGTATACTGTACTGTACGGAGTGCTACTAATTAATTTCGACGTCTGAGCTGGATTTGAGGACATGACAGCAGTAACCGATTTGCTTGCTTTGGGAGACGATGTATTAGATATGTACGAACGGGTAAGTTAAATTATGTCTCTGGCTATGCAGGTTCTGACTTCTTCTATGGGTGGTCTGCTCAACTCAACATGTGCTGCGCTACTTCTACCGAAATATATATAGATGTGTATTAACCAGTCCACCTCCAACTGTACTGTCCAGGTATACTGAATATTTTATCTGGCCCCGACTATTCTATTGGAATAATTGTCAACACGCCTTACACTTTACAGCATAGCCTCTCATAGAAGATGGTCATAATGAACTATCATAGATGGGAAGTAGACATAGTAGTCGAACAGGGATTCGATCGTAGCATAACAGCAGTAATACGAATCAAACGATCAGAAATTATGTTTCCTTGTGTCGATTTTTTACTAGAGCGTCCTCCAAGAGGTGGAGCAGCGAGGTGATTGAAACACGTCTAGGCGGACAAGCGAGGAGCATTGCGCTACAAATCACAATGTGCCGGGTGTAGACAAAATTGGATTTGACCCATAGTGCATACATCTAATCTCTAAAATTATTGGACTTAATTAATACCAGGATTGGACGGAATCATGTGCTGTGAGTTCAACACTCGTGAAGTGATGTCAGGGGTAACCTAAAAAGGAAAAAGAAAGAAAAAAAAAAACTCCAGAGAAAAACCCCTCCTTGACATCTGGAAGCCCCTAAACGTGAGACTACGGCCCATTGAAAAATTAGTCCTAGCGCATGGCAAGTCCCGGACTTACCAGACTATGTTTCGAGGCTAATAATCTCACTGTTGATGTACACATCACTGGGCAGCGTCCCATGAAAGTGCTATTAGTATGATGATGCAATCAACCGGCTACTTTATCACGATGATTGCGTGACCAGGCCACAAGGCAGCCATCACTAGACTGTGGGTCGATTCAGTGAATAGATCAATGAGGGCGAGGGATGCTGCCTGAGATCGGGTGGGGTGCGGGTCGCGCCTGCCTGAAGTACTAGCGTGGCAATCCAAACTAGCTTAGCTTGGAAACTTGTGGAAGGCTAGAGTCAAAGTGGGGCCCCTCTCATGGATATATTCTCATGACGCTCTTCCTGTCTCTTCTTCCAACCTCAACCTCCAACCTCCAACCTCCAACCTCATAACAATCTCATCCCAACCTCGACTCGAGCAATGTGGAACATCAAAACAGTTGTTCACATAGCAAGAGAAGCATCACAAGTCAAGGTAAGTTTGTGTACTGTTCAATTGTCTTCCCTCTTTGCCCTTCCATCTTCCATCTTCCCTCTCCCATCCTCCCATCCTCCCATCCTCCCATCCTCCCATCCTCCCATCCTCCCATCCTCCCATCCTCCCATCTTCCCATCCTCCCATCTTCCCCTTCCACTGCGCGTACTGTCGGCCTCAAAGCGAATCGCGTCGAGGTCAGCGGTGCGAGCTCTGACGCGTCGCACTCTCTCTTCCTCCTACTCCCCCTCTTCAATCGATCATGATGACAGTATCCCGCTTCTTTAAAGAACCTGATACGCATCAATTAGTTCGCGTTCGCGAACGCGTTCCAAGATGGTCATCCTCTCTTTCCCGCGTCCTGCCTCAACCTCCCCACCCACAACTTCCAATTATCCTGCAACCAACCATCGGGGCACCTTGGCCTCTTCTCCTCTACACAATCTCTGACTCGTAGCAGACTTCCAGACTCCAAATGCACAGCCTGTCGCGCACTCTTGAAGATGATTTAGAATCAAACAAAACAAACAATACGCGATCCTCTGATACATTCACAACATCAGTCTGGCACATCCACCTCCCAAATAAAAACCACCAGACGTGCTCTCGCTCGCGCTCGAGCTCTCCCTCGAGAGCTCGACCGCGTCTTACGGCCAGCTGCTTGGTAAGTTTTCTTCTCGCTCGATCACCTTTGGTCCTGATTTCTAATCAAAAATCAGGCATACAGGCATTTGCTCCCCAAGCCTCTCACATCTCTTCGTCTTTCTTCAGCAACAAGCCCCACTTGAACTTAATCAAAACGACGAACAACTCACGTGTTTCAAGACGGGGCCGAAGCAAGCGTCGAGCGACTTTCATCCACATCACGAGATCTCCAAGCTTTGTGGCCTTGGGACAGCCGGCCCTACATCTACTACAGTGTAAGTTCCTCACACTAGTTGTCCCATAACATACTTACAATACACACAGGTTAAGCCTTTCATACAATTCACACCTTCTGCAGATTGCTCCTTTCCACCAGCATACTTCATCTTCATGAAGAAAAATTCCATACTCGACATCCTCACCCACACTGCATCACTGCCTGACACTAGTCTTCTATCTCTATAAACAATGCTGCCTTCTGCGACCATCTTCCTCCAATCGGACTTCACATCTACTACATCCGGTCCTCACAACAACAGTTTCTCCTCTATGATAATACCACCGTCTGCGACCGTCGTTCTCCAATTGGTCCTCACCTCGACTACATCGCTTTCTCAGAACAACACTCTGCCTCCTCCATAACAATAACTTCGTCTGCGACCGTCATTCTTCAATTGCCTATACTTCAAATGTAAGTCAACATCTATCCTGTTTGTATCTTCTTGGCCATCTACTTACCTGAGTCTAGGCTCGAGACATCTTCTCCACTTCGCATACTTCCTCCATCGCCGCGTCAATTGCTTCACTTCAAACGAAAATATCTTTCTCGAGGAATTTGGCAGAGTTCACGGATGGAAACCTACAAGTACTCGCAACTCACAACCACTGCCAAGAGTTTCTGAAGCTAACACATCAAAAAGATCCTTCAAGGTCCCATCCAAGTCCACGCAGCATCCGAGCAGCATGCAAAGCTGAGTCGGACTCGGAAACATCAAAAATCACAAGATGCCATCATTACCAAGCACATGCCACTCTGAACTCCCTAAGGTCATTCGACCCTTGACAATTCCCTGGCAGAGGACTGATCACCCTCTGTTCGTGGCTGTTGAGGTGAGATATACCAAGGGGAGGAAAGAGACCCAAGGATTGAGACTTTCATATCCAACATCTCTACTACTCGAGGTCAATCTTACCACAGCTACTGCACAACCACCATTACCCAACGCTACACACAATGCAATTGAAACCATCTTCACAACAAACAATTGATACTTCCCAAGGCTTCCGACCAAAAAACTCTGCACTGCCGGCAAATTCAAGTCCGTTGCAGGTCGTCGACTGCCATCTTGATCCTCTCGACGCGAGACAACTTGCAACAAAACATTGGCAAGCAGTCCTCCTCCGCGAATATCCAAGGTCACTGGTGCCCGGCACGGCAACGCTCTATGCAACAAAAAGACTTGCACTCCAACAAAACAAACAACATCAAAGTTGCACGTCATGGCATCGGTAACCACAGGAGGAGGACTTGTATTTTCAAACATGAAATCAGCGGAGGAGACTATGTGGTAAGTGATATCCTCTATCCCTTTTGTTCTTTTTCCGTCTTTCCTCTCTGCTTATCCTTCAGGGCTTTGCTAACTTGCTTGCTTTAGGATTCTTGATTGCTTTAGATTTAGAATGTTCACGTTGCTGGCACCGGGCAAGGTAAGTCGGGTCACCATTCCATTTGCTGACGGCTGGAGTTCTTTACTCTCCGCGAGACAGGGAGTCGGCTGAAGCTGCGGGTCGTGGCTGCGGTTGGGCACCTGGAATGCTTGAAGACCATAAGTCTAGCCTTGTGGATCGATCCGAGCAATATGGCATACAGGTACAATGTACCGAGTGTTAACTGATCAACGTACGGGGAATGTGGTATACCTGTGACCCGAAGCTCAAGAGTAAGCTGTTCCCTTCCTTTCCACATAGATAAGGGCAGGGCTAACATTAAGTATACCAGAGGTCCTCTTAAGGGCGCGGCACGAAGAGTTCGGGGTTCAGGATTCGTTAGCATTTTCGGGTGCTTTCGAGTGTTGTTCCCTAAGGTACTCTTCTAGACTGCAAGAGCGAAGCAAGGGGTACTCGTCCTTCTTGTCTGATCTCATTTGTCCATCCGCAATGGAGTAAACAGAGCCCCCGGGCTCTGTGAAAATCCAATGCACACTCTACCACATCGACCAGTTATCAGACGCCGCCATCGGATCGTGAAGCCTGGCGAAAACTTGGCACGTGTTCCGTCTGCGCACAGGGGGTTTACTTTAAAAAGGTGAAGTGTGTTCCAGGACAGTCTAAAAGGGCGTATCACTCATACAAGCCCAAGCCGCGCAAGTTATTCTGCCGGTGAACGGTAGTGGTACGTAAGACTAGCCTGAGTTCGCGCCTAACTGAAAAAAAACTTTGAAGGAGGTGTTCCAGGACAGTAGCTCTTTTCCTAAAGGGCGTATCACTCATCCAAGCCGTGCAGGTAAAGCTGACGGTGGGTGGTGGAGGATACGTAAGACTACCCTGAGTTCGCTTACCCGGAGAAGACTTCGAGCGGGAGCGTGTTTCCAGTACAGTAGCTCTTTGCCAAACGTATCCCTCATCTAAGCCGTGCAGGTGATTCTGCCGGTGGGAATACTTAAGACTACACTGAGTTCGCGCCTAAACTCGGAGAAGGTTTTGAGAGAAAGTGTGTTCCAGGACAGTAGCTCTTTGCCGAAAGGACGTATCACTCATCCAAGCCGTGCAGGTGATGCTGACGGCTGACGGTGGAGGGTGCGTAAGACTACCCTGAGTTCGCGCCGAATCTTGGAGAAGACTTCCTGGGGCGTGGTGGCATCCTCGTGTCCTTTATCACCAAGGTCGTCGCCAACAGTGGAGGTCGGCGTCTCCGCATCATTGCTACTTCATGCCTTTGTCAGACTCCCCCCCTGGTCAGACTTCCACGGTATGTCGGTTTGCAATGATCCAGCCTGGCAGCCTAGCTGGGGAGTAAAAAGGGCCGGAGGCGCTCCCAAAGAGTCGTCGATGATGGTTCTTAGCATTGGTAGATCCTGGAGATCACTGAGTTGGTCGGCTGGAGCGGGACGCCACTCCAGTGCTGAGGCTCAGTGTCTTTAGGGGAGGGGCCCTTATCCTGGTTAGTATCCTCCTTCCCGACGCATTTGTTCTGCTGATCCTTCTGAACTTGTCTGGTGTCTAGCAGGTGGTGCCGGCGATGTCCATGTGTGTGGTTCTTGGTTGCTCGAAGGAGAGTTTTTGTATTTATTGCCTGTCTATGATAGATAGAAGACTGTTCAGTTGCAGAATGTTGACTTCAAATGCTCATTGAGCTTGAAAGTGTTTGGACGGGTGGATCGCTCATTCTGTTGAGATTTTTAAAGCATTCATGCTTAATGCACACACACATGGACATCAAAAACAATCCTCTCTTCTCCATAATGTGGCATCCAATCAATTCACTGTATTTTCTCCTTCCCAAACTCTCTGATACTTAGAGAAAATGATAAAAAGCAAGTAACCTATCAGAGCTTATCAGCTTGAGTATTTCGAACCTCGGATACTGCAGACCCATTCGCCTCGTCATTCCTTTTTTTCCTATTTTGTTTCTAAACTTTACATTTCAGCAGTACAGCTAATATATTACCCTCTAACCCATGCTTCGAATTCAATCCATCCATCATCCCTAAAGGACGATAAAGGGGGGGGGGGAAAGGTGCCGCCCCCAACCATAAATACCACGCTAAGCTATCTACCTACCTACCTATTGCAGTAAGTATGTAAGTACGCACTCCAGCGCTTCTTTTCCTAACTATCTCTACATCCCCTTTACGCCGGAAACATTTTACATTGTTTTCAGAATTGAATTGAATTGAATTGGATTGATTTGGACTGAATTGAATTGAATTGAACTGGATTGAACTGGATTGAACTGGATTGAACTGGATTGAACTGGATTGAACTGGATTGAACTGGATTGAACTGGATTGAACTGGATTGAACTGGATTGAATTGGATTGATTTGAACTGAATTGAAACTTTGCTGCTGCTGCTGCTGCTGCTACTACTACTACTGCTTGCTGCCTCCTTCTGGATTATCAACATTATCAATATTATTATTATTGTTGTTATACTTCTTTTTGGATGGAAAAATGGATGAATGAATGAATGGTTGAGTGAGTTGGTGAGTTGGTGAGTGAGTGGCTGACCGAGTGGGTGAGTTGAGGTAAAGTGGAGTGACGAAGCTTTTGATTAGGCTTGGGCTTGATCTCTAGAGAAGAGGGACGGTCGACCTACTACGGTAGTAGGTAGTAGTTCTATTATTGGCTGCAACATGATCATCAGTGTCACAGGCAGCCAGCATTCCAAATATGCTGCTTGTTTGCTTGCTTGCTTGCTTGCGTGTCTCGATTTATCTCATTCCCTTTTCATTCCCTTTGCATCCATAATACGCTAGCTACCAGCTACCAACTACTCATGATCGCGCATCAAGCCCTCCGCTTCCTCCTCAAGCACAGGAGTGCCAGCAGCCCGGCTCTCCAAGCACTCATCCGCATCGATACCCCGCCTAGCCTTCTTCCTCCTCCTCCTCAGAACGGCGGCGTCGGCGCGTCCCCGCTCGGCGTCGACGGCCATCATCAGAGGGAGCGGCAGCAGGATGAGGATGGCGAGGAAGGCGAAGGCGGGTCTGATGGAGCCGGTTGCGTCGACGATGAGGCCGACGAGGGCGGGGCCGAGGGCGGAGCTGCCTTTGTCGGTTATGGCGTACAGGGCGTAGAAGGCGGCTTCGTTTCCCGGGGGGATTAGTTGGCCGAAGAGGGAGCGGCAGTAGGATGAGAGGCCGCCCATTACGAAGCCGTCTAGGAGATATGGGAGGTTAGCAGATATCCGAACAGGAGGGCGTTGGGGAAAGGTGTTAGTTAGGTGTTGGCTTGGGAATCATCTCGTCTTTATCTCATTTGGTGGGATGGAAGAGGGAAAAGAAAGGGGTGATTAGTTCACAACTTACGGATGAAACCCTAGAGAGAGCGTGGTTAGAAGAGATGTTGTGGCTTGGGGGGAGGTGACATACCAGCGGGTAGATCTCCCAGGCTTGTTGCAGCCCGCCCACGCCCCAGGATTTCACGAGCGGAACGTAGCCCAGCAGACCGTAGAGCGGGATCAGTTCCATGGCCAAGATACACGCAACGATCGTGCGATTTGTTTTGAGTTCAAGTCGGCGCGAGATCAGTGGCCAGAGGGTGGCGCCGGCAATGCCAGAAGCCGTGGCGGTGATTGACAGCAGCGCGATGGCGACTGTCCCATTTTCAACTCGGTGCGAGCAAAGAGGATGGCCGTCCCCGAGACCGTGGCGATTGAATCACTGAGCAGGAACCAGGCAATTAGGAAGATCACCATTTGCCGTAGCTTGACCGCGATTTTGACAGTCTTCCACACAGATCCCCAGGCGAACAACGTGTATGCGAAGCAAGACCTCAGGACGTTTCCGTCGGAGATTTTCTTCAGCGGAGGTCCCGGTCGATCACGAAGCCACATTGAAGATGGGATGGTGAACAAGAGCCACCACGTGCCAACCAGAAGCAGGACAAGGCGGAGAGGCAGGGTTGAAGATACGGAGGAGAGCTTCGACATGCCAAAGAGGAGCAGGATGCTGAGGATCTGCACGAATACAGCTGCCGCATAGCCTATTCCGACTCCCGTTGATGAAATCTGTGTCGAGAGTTTCAGCGCAACCGAGTCCTTCTCATCGTTCGCAGCCTGTCGAGTCAGATCGAGAGATCTATCAATAGAGAACCTGTCTCCCGAGTCCAGCGAATGCACCCTCGGTGGTATAGAGGATCTATCCTTCTCAGCAAGATCATCGCTTGCGACTTGAGGGTGGTTCGCTACAAGAAGTGGGAGAAAGGAGTTGAGGATCACGAAGGACGATCCGAGGCATGTCACTCCAATGACCACCAACAACGGGGCCAGTAGAAAAGCTTGAGGGACCACGGCAATGAAAAGCATGGACGAGATGGATCCACAGAAGCCGAAAGCTGTCAGGAACTTCTTTCGGTAAAGCCCTGAAGGTAGTCAGATACAGGCCACGGCGATCAAAACGGCGAGTATTCGAAGACTCACCATGGTCTGCGACGGCACTGAAAGACACCAGAGCCAAGGCTTGGACGAAAACGGCTATGGAGAAAGTGTAGAGGGCGAACGACGAAGTGGTCATGTTTCCCAGGGCTGGGATAACACATTGAGTGGTATCAGAGGCCGCGGCTCTTGCTGCCACAACCCTTGCCGCCACCCTCGTCGAAGTTTTGGCCACACACGGGGTGGTCTGATCTGACCACAAGACTCCATTCTCGCGTGCCAGCTGCTCCAGAGTCACTGGAAGAAAAGATCCTGCCGATTGTTCAGATTTGAAAGCAGGTAGCGATAGAAGAAAAAGAAGTTGTCGGTGAGCTTACCAACACCGCAAACAGCGAATACCTCGGCGGCAAGACTATACACATAAAAGCCCTTCAACTCGCGTGATGTTGTTGGCGACGTATCTTCGTCCTCGTATCGCGGTTTTCGAAGTTTTACGTACTTCCCGTCCTCCATTCTCAAGTTCGCAAGGCCAATCTATGTTGATACCAAGCGTTAGGCGAGACTGGGTCTGAGATACGGCAGGAACGAGATGGACGAGATGACGGAAAGAGATTCAAGATCTTACGCTTGGTACGGAAATCGAATTCACCATTTTCCGTACGAACGAAAAACCGCTCAAGAGAGAGAAAATGTAGGATTCCCAGAGATTTCTACATTAGTTGGACGAGCTTCGGAAAGCCGGCGGGGACTGCAGATGATGACATCATACGCGCATACGGATGCGGTCTTGAGAAAGTGGAGATGCAAGTACGGAATTCATCGATGGAGCGGATAGAAATAACGTAGGATAAACGAATATGGAAACAATTTGCATTTGTTCTGGAGAGGCAATGCAAGGGAGCATTGCTTGCATTATGGTTTGGTACATGATGCGAGAGAAAGTAAATAAATGAAAGTGGCCTTAGAGGAGTATGACTAAGCAGGCTTGGCAAGAAAGGTGCAAGTCGGTCAGTCAGCCTTTCTCAGCCTTTTTCAGCCTTGCCTCGCTTGGTGAGTAGTTAGGCCCAGCCTCACCAACGACAGTCCTCATATTATTACGATACTGAGATACAGTCACCCACCCCACTCATACTCTCCGATCTACTCTGGACGATCAATAAATATCTGTCGATCTGCGAGGATTATACCCCATCCAACTTTGCACACGATCCAGAATAGCACAGCGTCGCAGCGACGAATCTACTGCTACACCATCACAACTTCGAGGAGGACGTGGCCAGTGATACGCAGACAAAATGGCAGACAAGACGGCCAAATACCGCACGGAGATCCAGCAGGTAAGAGGATGCAAAATATAAGAAGCTGATAGTCGATACAAAATGCCAACTCCCTCCTCGCGGGTATGCGCCTTTTTCGTGAAAAGTCCTTTCTCGGCCCCTCTATCTGTGTCACAAGCAACCTTTGCCGCTCATTTTCAGCTTTGGGTTTCTTCTAGCGATACTATGAGCAATTACAAGGGTCTTGCTTCACCACCAACGAGAGAGCAGCAAACATGTAACTTCGTAGACGTAAGATGTATAGCGAGGTGGCATACGGGAATAAATCTTCAGCGAGTGTTCTAGGGGGTGGATAATCATGAGCTAACGTGCTTCTCTCTAGATGATGTATGTGTCTGGAGAGACAGCTGAAGCGTCTGCGGAAACCACCGGTATGATCGAAGAAATAGTGCGACAACAAGTCATCGAAATGGTATGGTATTTCGCCGCATCAGCCTATCGTCACAACTCGGTTGGGGAATGGGCCCTTGTCTATAAGATCTATCAATACGTTGCTGACCAGATTAGCTCCGACAATGCACTGAACAAGCGTCGCGGCGAGGTAGCCGATCCATTTCTACAGATGATCTGATATTTCTGATCCGACATGACCAAGCCAAGGTGTCACGTCTTCGCACTTTTTTATCCTGGAAAGATGTCAGAAAGAATGTCAAAGACTCCGATGATAAGGGGGGAGAAGCTGATATTGGTGCTGGCGACGACCCAGCCGGTGCGGCAGGTGGGGGGCCAGTGGTTGATACAGCCAAGAAGAACAAGAAGGCCAAAGTTGGTCTGCCCTGGGAAGTCCCCTCGTTCTACAACCAAGAGGTACCCGAGCGGGAAGACGAGGAAGATGAGGACGAAGGAGAAATGAACTATGCTACTCTGCAGCGTCTCAAGAAGGCAGACGAGCGTACAAAGGCCATGACCAAGGAGGAATACGTCACATGGTCCGAATACCGCCAAGCCTCGTTTACTTTCCGCAAGGCGAAGCGATTCAGAGAATGGGCCGGCTTCGGTGTCGTGACGGACTCGAAGCCTAACGATGATATTGTCGACATCCTCGGTTTCTTGACCTTCGAGATCGTGCAGACGCTGACCGAAGAGGCACTGAAGATCAAGGAGCAGGAGGATCTTGTAAAGGACAAGACAGGTGGCGAGCAGACCGGCAAGAAGCGCAAGATCCAGGGACTCTTCGATCCGCCTTCCGAGGGGCGTCTGCCCGTCGAGCCCAGACATGTGCAGGAGGCATTCCGGCGGCTGCAGCAGAGACCGACCAAGCAGCGAGCGATGTGTAACTTCTCGAGAGGCCTCAATCGCACCCCATTGAAGCTTGTCAGTCTCCTTCCAGCATCCATCCATCCATCCCTTGAACTTCCCCCGCTAACATCGCTGCAGTTCTGAATGCCTCTTGACAAATTTTTCTCTTTTCTCTTTTTTTCTTAGCGGGCGTTTGAGGGAGACAGGCGGGCGTCACGGCCACTAGCTGCCTAGCTAGCGCAAGAAGGAAGTCTGGCGTTTCGTGAAAAACATACCCAGAAACACACACATACAAATCAGGTTTATCATCATACATTCTCTCTCCTTCTTCCCTCCTCCTCTCATATATGCCTCTTTTTTACCCTTCAAAATCGTGCTCGCGCAATCCTATTCTTCCAATACCCCCTCTCCCTTCCCTCTCTTACATACCTAGGCAAGCTGCATCATCCATCTATCCTCTCCTACTCTGCTCTGGGAAGTACTTACGCGAAATTACGGCTCGTTTTTCCGAGTGAGCGAGAGGTGAGGGTTTTTTTTTTTTTGGAACGTCGCGCTCAATGTCTTTTATTAGGGTTGTGGGACGTTGACAAAGATGGAGAGAGAGAGAGGGAGAGAGGACCATTTGCAGCTTCGCGGGTCTTCCGTCGCATGTTGCAAGTAATTTCGAAGGTGTTTGGAGAGTTGAATATTGATACAAGATACAAGAAGCGGTTTGGTGCGGACCACGACTCTGGGTGTGTTATTAGGACTAAACGAGCGATGCTAAATTTCATAATAGTATCACTCCGCGCCATGCACGGCTACGAATGACCGAAATCGAGGTAGAAGCGTGCAAAAAATCATGGCTTTTCATTTATTCATGAATCATGTAAGCTATTAATCGCAAGCTAGCTTTTCTCTCCCTCCCTCCCTCCCTCTCTCGTCTCTCGCCATAAACTTCTTAGGCACCGACCATAGCATTCGAGCTTCTCCAAGTCGACAGTTCCTGCTCGGTCAACTCCCGCAACTTATTAACACTCGCCGTCTTGCCCGTAACAACACCCTGAGCCAACTCCATGCCCCTGCTGATCGCATTCTTCTTAGTCAGCGCATACGTCGCCGTCATCGCCGACACCTTGATCACGCCAATGCGAGGATCCTCAGGTCCACCATCGTGCTTTCCGTCGCCGAGATCGCCCACCCAAGCCTTGAGACTGGAAGAGTAGTACTTCTTGACGACATCCCGGTCGACGATGATGGCGGCTCTGCCGGAAATGGAGGCCCACTCGCCGGAGGAGTTGAGGAAGGCGATGTTGATGTGCGAGTCCGATTCGATGTCATCGGTCTTGCCTGACTCGGTGTTGGTGTGGAAGATGAGGTCGATGCCGCCGGCTTCCTGGAGAGATTGTTAGTTTTTGGTATTTCGTGGCAGGTTTTTGGGTGGTGGGGAACTGGACCACGGTTGGGACGTACCTGAGCAGCCAGGGCCATGCATCTCGAGACCAGGGCGCCAGAGGAGCCGTCCCGGGTGGTCATCATGCCGAACTTGGAGGCCTTGATGAATTCGACAAGATCCTCGACTTTCTCCTTGATGGAGGTCTCGTCCTTGTTGGCAGCCTTGTACGGGTCTGCTGGCTTGGAGCCGGTGTCTGCGTTGGAGAAGGCCATCTTGGGCGTTGTGGTAGTGAGGGATCGTGTTTGAAGGTTGCTTGGTCTGGAGAGAGGTGCTGTCAGCGGGAGGACTCCTCTGATTGTTGTTGTTGTTGTTGTTGATCTATAGAAAGTAGATTGACGGAGAGGTCGAGTTGAGATGAACAGTTTCATGGTGGAAGGAGGAATTGGGGACTTACGGTTAAGCTGATGCCGAGATGGAATTGGGAATTGGGATATGGAAGGAAAGCACGATCGACCCGGTTTAGCTCCTCAGCTACTTATATCGTCATTGACTCTCAAATTGATCGTGCCTGCTCCCTTGTTGGGTGGGGTCATACGCCTGACGTCACCCCTTTGTTTTGATTCCAAGCTGGTTGCCGGTCACGTGAATGGCGCTGTTGCTAGGAACCTATGCTCGTGACATGTTTCAAACGTCTTTTTTTTTCTCAATCTTGATAGTTGATGATAGTGTGCCTTCTATTACCGATCAAAGAGAGCCAGATAAATGTTAGGCCTGAACTGAATTCAGAGATCTGCTACGAGTTGGGCGGGTCACGGGACTTCGCTTTTTAGCGTGATTCCCATGTCATACCTCGTACAATGGATCGCGTACTCTGTTGATGGGTGAATCGGCAGTGCACTCATTCGTTGGTGTACCAGATCGATATCTATCTGATACTCAACTCCCCTCTAACTTTTCCTTTTCCCTTTTCCCTTTTCTCTTTTCTCTTTTCTCTTCCCCCGTCATTCCCGTCCTTTCTTTTCTCTTCTCTTCTGTGGCGCCCCGCAATTTCACAAACGAGCGGGAGAGCTCGAGCTCGAGCTCAAGCGTTGACCTCACCGACACCAACCAACCCAAACCACCCAATCCAAAAACATACAACAACACCACAGCCACGTCTCGAGTACCGCAAACGCCGCTCACCCTCGCCAGACGACAACGGCGACGGTGATCTCCAGGCGTACCTCGCCATCCCAGCCAGCAACAGGAACCGCAACATGGCCCATACTCATGGACCACTCCACTTCCCCGGCAATGGACCGCCTTTCAATCATGTGAGTGAGCACTTGCTTACTGCTCATCGCGCTGGTCGATGGTAACCAAAAAATCTATTAACTGACTCTTCAAAGGTCTGCATGATGGACGGACCCGATCCCGAAATCAGACTCTCTGCTCTCCAGTACGAGAACGTGGTTGATGAGAACAAGCGCTACCAAAGTGAGATCCAGCGATTGACCGCCCTCTTGCGTGAGCACAACATCCAATACAGAGTCGCGCCGCCCGGCACCATCAATCACGTGTCCAAGAATCTCACCATCAATTCTCATGGCCAGGAGAAAAGTGCGACCGCCGATAGCTACTCCGCTGATGGGGAAGCTAGGCCATATCTCCCGATGGAGATCCTCTTCAGAATTCTTGGCTTTGCGCTGAAGAGCAAGCACCCCGTTATTGATCCTTTCTACAAGTTCCGGAAAGAGAATGCCACATCAGCCGAGTACTCCGGGCGTGGTGATCTCAATATCAACTGCCTCGCTGTCTGCCATGCCTTTCGTGCCGAGGGTATGCGTCTTTTGATCGGAAGCAATGATTTCGTCTTTACTCAAGCTGCTGCACTGGAAAATTTCGCAAAAGTTCCGACGCAGCTCCGTGCTACTATTAAGCATGTCACATTGCGGGTAAGTTCCATTCACTCACTTGCTAAGTTTTTCATCACCCCCTCTACTTACAAGGCTCGAGCACTGTCGCAAGTTGGCGCACAGATTACTGACGGGACGAATCTTAGGTTGTTGGACGGTACTACGCTGATCGTGTTCGGAAGGTTGATTTGACTGGAATCAGCAATTACCACAAGAATGTCCGTGTGTTCTCAGTACCTATTCATGCGCGTCCTCGTGGTATGGTCAACGACAACGGTATCCAGGCATACTGTTGGTACCAAGTTGCAGACTTCCTCAAGGCTTTGCAGCTTCCATATGCCACTGAGCCAACGTTCACCGCCACCAATAATCGTCCCAAGCTCTTGCCCGGACTCAGCACGATGAGAATTGACTTGGTCAATTTTTGCGATCACCTGCCCCTTGGCATTACCTCGTTCGCTCCGATTATCCGCTGGCATCTGGGCCCTTTCTTGGACGAGTATGTTTTCTCCCAATCCTGTCACAAGATTCCCGCGCACACCTTGGTCTGCTTACGGAACGGACTGGTGTATTTCTAATGGTAGCTGACTTTCGCCTCTAGGCTCGTACTTACTGGCTGTCCACACGACGATATTTCGCGCGATGAAAAGGTAATCCTTCGAAACGCCCTCAGAGACGAAGGACTCTTCTCCACCGCTTGCCCGGCATTCATATCCGGCAAGAATTTCCTCAAGAAGCTGTCCGTCTACGAGTACCGACATCAAGTCGTTGGTGCGCGCAAAGCCAAGAACCTTTCGAAGAAGTCCAATAAACACGCCGTCCCTCAAATTCACCCTGAGGGGGGTAGTCCTCCCGTCTCATCGTATCCTAGAGGCACTACGATCTGGAAGTGGGCCAAGACGGAGGACCAAAAGCCGAAGGAGTGGATTGAATTCGAGAGAGGCTCAGGACGCCCAATCAGTGAAGTTGAGTTGGATGACAGCGATGAAGATGACGATTCCTATATTGCGCCTCTTCACGGCATGCTCCCAAACCTCTTGGCTCATGCAATTCCGGCCATCATCCAGGGAGCGATGCCTCCAGACATGAGCATGTTGGCGGATAGCGACGAGTCGGACGACGAGATGCCTGAGTTACTCGACCTTAACCATGATACAGATGAAGAGATGGTAGGCAGTGGTACCGTGGCGACTCCTGCTGCATACATGGACACCGATGATGAGATGCCTTCTCTTCTCGAAACCGACTCTGCATACGAGGACACCGATGATGAGATGCCTTCTCTTCTCGAAATCGGCAATAGCACGGGAATTGATGATGTGGAATGATTGGTGCCGGATTGTAGGTACTCTTCCATGCAGGTCGATGCGCTGCTTTGCGGCTGCGGAAACTCCTGTATGGGTATAATGGGTGGTAATTTTCTGGCGCTTTTCCCCGATGGATGTACTATATTTTGCCTTGCGAGATGACCGATGTTGCTTGGCGTAGCGGTCTCACTCTCTCATTGCAGATGATACCACGATTAGCTAGACAAGCGTTTAGACCCCTGCCAAACTTGCAGATAGAGGAGTCTGGCGTTGGTGTGAAGATAGGTTCTTCAATATTAATTCTTGCTTTTCTGAGCGTTGCATGCGGACGACGACTTGTTCTTGATGTCCGGGTATTTATTTTCCCCTCTGCGAGACTATCACTATTCCCCTGCATGTGCTAAAGCCAGCCCCCTCAGCCTCTCCCCTCCCTCCCCTTCCCTTCGATATTCGGCCACGGTACCATGTACATATATCTACTTTGAGGAGAGGTACTACGATAAGGGTAGTTATAGTACAGTACAGTACAGCACAGCACAGTACAGCACAGTGCATATTCCTATTGCATCACGGAAAGGATGCATTTCTCTAGCCAGCTGCTATCCATGGTATACTGTGATGTAAGCCCTTTTTTGCCTTTTTGGGGTGAACTTGATAACCTTGCTGATAGACGTTGATGTTGTTAATGATTTCTCTGGATGATTTGAGAAAGATATGGGGGGGTATTTATGTATTTATTTATCTCTTTTTTTCTTTTTTTTCTGGTTTTTTGGTTTTTTGGTTTTTTGGTTTTTTGGTTTTTTTGGCCGAGGGTTGTAGATGCGCCTGCCGCTGTGACGGTTAAGGAGGAGGGAGGCCTGGACGGAACTGTCAAGGTCTACCTACTGTATAAGGAGGCGGAGGCGATGTGGAGCTTCGGGATGATCTCTGAATCGGGGGGAGGGGGAGGGGCTTAATAAAATCATATACTTGTATTGACGGGGGTTTTTGGGGTGTTGATTTCGCGTGTGCTCTCGCTTAGGATAGTTATACGTTTGTTTCTTGATTGATTTATTTATTCATTTCTTTCTTTTTTTTTTTTTTTTTTTACTTTCCTTCACGAGAGCCTCACTGTGCAGCATACAGGCCACAGATTATAATCGTCATCATTGTCATCGAGATTGGAATTACCTATTGAGAGTTGGTGGTTCTAAAAGCGTCTTGACTTCGTCATCGTAAAAAAAAAAAGACATGGCGCCTGCTGCGAGCTAGCTAGCTTCAGTCCGGCCCGGGGTATCATACGCATGCCTCGGAATACCACCAGTACCTAACTTTGCAAAAAAAAAGAAAAAAAAAATCGTACAGTTGTTTTTCCACCCCCCATCATGAAGGAGAAATGGAGACCCCCTCCCCCCTCCCGAACTCCGAACCGTTACATGTATCCCAATCCCAACCTGTTGGTTTTTCCGGTCTTTTTACATTACTTTTTCTTTTCTAATTTTTTGTTTTTTTGGTCTTTTCGTCTCCGGTCGTTCGCAATATTTTCGTCGGATGCGCACGCGAGACGCATGGCACACGCACACACACGCACACGCACATGCCCTAAAACTTGGGCGCGATGAGCAGAACGACCCACTTGACCTTGGCGTCCTCGTCCTTCAGCGGCGTCCAGTGGGTGACGTAGCGCTCCTCGACCCTCTTCAAGCCCATCTCGCCGCTGCTGCCGAACCAGCCCTTGGACCGGGTCTCGGCGAAGCCCGTCAGGAGGTTCATCTCGACGCTGACGGCCCGGCCGTCCTTGAGCGCGGTGCGGACCGTCTGCTTCAGGTTCTTGTGGGCGGAGGACGAGGCCGAGGAGGAGAAGTCGCCGAGCACCTTGAAGATGTCGCGCTGGTGGATGTGCGCGATGCTGCCGTTGGGGAGGTTGAGGCAGAGCATGTCGATGACGCCGGGGGAGTAGTACTGCACGTTGAGCGAGCTGGTGGCGGCGTTCCAGGCCATGACTAGGTACTGTTCGAGTGAGTGTCAGTCGGAAAGCGCTGATGGGTCGGATAGATTGACGGATTTGATAGACGGGTAGAGGGAGAAGGAAGGGAGGGAGGGAGGCAGACCTTGGAATACGCCGTGTAGAAGGCCTCGACCTGGGTCTTGAAACTCAGCTTGCCCAGCCGGTCGGTCAGCTCCCCTTCGATGCCCGCCTCGTCCCTCACGCGGAGGCTGCTCGCCACCGGGAGACGGGCGGCGGTGTATTTCCTCCAGCTCTTGAAGAAGGAGCTCTTGGGCTTCGGGGCGTGGTGGCCGGTCCCCCGCGTCTTGCTGCTGACGCTGGGGGCCCGGTCTCGCGACGTGTTGGCCGCTGCGTCGGCCGCATCCAGGTCCTCGTCGTTCGTACTCAGCACCTTCAAGACGTCGTTGCAGGAGTGGATCGTCGTGCTGCAGTTGATCTGGCCGCCGAGGAAGAAACACACCTCCCCGCTCTCGTCGAGTAGCGGCGCCACGTACAGGAGGTTCCAGAACGGGTCCCCGTTCTTGCGGTAGTTGAGCAGCAGCTCGACCGTCTCCTCGCATGCGTCGATCGAGGCCCGCAGGCGGCGCACGGCGACGCGGTCGGTCCGGTCGCCCTGGAGGAAGCGACAGTTCCGAGGGACGATGTCGCGGCGCGAGTACCCCGTCACGGCCACGAAGCCGTCCGAGGCGAACCGGATCGGGTTGTCGGCAGTCTTGGGATCCGTGAGACAGAAGCAGTCTCCCAGTCCGGCGAACCGGTCTCGCTGCGTGGCCAAGGCCTGGATGGCTTGCGCCGTGACTTGGTGTTTGACGAATCTGGGGTACACATCCGATGCCAGGAGCTTCTCGACGTGTTTCTGCGCCCCTGTGAAGACGGATTCCAGAGCTGGGATGGTAGATTGGGTGGCTTGTCTGATTTCGCCGGAGAGCTCTTTGATATGGTGATGTGAGATGTTGATCGGGCGAGGCGCGTCTGGTGATGTGTAGGTGGTGTGGATTTGACCAAGCGTTTGTGTGATTTCGTCAAGGAGACGGTAGTACCTGTCGACCTGATGTACGTGAGCGGCTGACTGAGTAAACGCGGGAGTCGGAGTCGGCTCCGTCGTCTCGCCTATTCGGACCCTCACTTACCTTCTGCAGGAACTCCATGCTCTCCCCAGCAGCCCGGCTCTGACAATATTTCAAGAACCGATGCGCCGTTGTCGGGTTACGCAGCACGATGTTGAAGACGTCTGAGCTGAAGAAGTCCGCCATGTTGGAAGGTACGACGCTGCTCGGCATGAGCTCGCCCATGCTGCCTCCAGATTCGCTCTCGCGGCCGTTCCTCGACTGAAGAGTGTGCCCGCCTCGGCTGCTCCCTGGACGAACTTCCGGTGCAAAGTTCTGGTGGAACGAAGCTTCGTGAGGGATCACCTCTGGAGATGCCGATGGCAGGGGAGAAAGCGAGGCCGCCCTTCTCAGGCTCGTCTCGGAGGGAATGTCGCGCGGGTGTGTAGAGAGGGAGTTGATGAAGAGCGGGCTCACAGGGTCCAGTCGGTCTTTCTGGGCGGCGACCTGGTCAATGGACTCGGGGGTCGAAGGTGCTAGGGGATAAGGCATCTTGACAGCAACGTGGTTTCGCGAAGGAAGGATGAGAGTCCGATGAGCGACGGACGGAGCAGAGAAAGAAGTCCTACATATAGGATAGGCGTCGGTACCCGGGTACCCGCGCTCAGGGACTTTTGACTACAACTGCACTTTGACGGTGTAAGAGAGTTCGGGGACTCCAACCTCCCCCGCGATCTGCAGCAGCGTTCTTCTGCAGATGAAGTAGAGCAGGGTTGGAGAGTAAAGAAACTCAACAACGCTCGAATCGCAACTTCATCAGCTGATGGAAATCCGCTTACGGAGGTTTGGTGATGGGTCCAGGTCGTCGTTACGATGATCACGATTGGCTGAACCGCCTGCGCGTCCTGGAGTCCACGGAAGACACCGTCTGGTGGATCGTTACGGACATGTTCTTGGAACTACTACTATGGACGGACTACTGTGGAGTATGGCAGGCCGAGTTGGATACAGTAGGTGATACTGTATTGACCGAGTTTGTACTACGTCCCAGGCGTAAGTATTAGCCCCTGAGGGTAGGGTAACCAGGGGGTTTATGGTGGAAACTAAACTTTTGCGGCACCCTCAAGGGGTAACAATTACGCCTGTACCGTGGGTAGATTGTGACGACGCAGCCAACTCTCTATCTGAGTTTAATTGCCAAAAGTATATCTAAATGCTGATCTGTGATAAGGCCCTTGGCGACTAGATCTGGGCTTCAAAGGCTAATCGAGTCAATCGACAGAGGAAAAGAAAGTCAAAGGAGCGGGTATGGGCGTCTACAACAGGCAGCCCAAACTCTTGGTCAACCATTCGAGATCAGAACAATAATGTAAGATGCAAGTCGGTGGAGTCCCTAGTCGTGTCCCTACCCACCACGCCTTGATCTTTTCAGATTCGCGAGACAGATTGCAAGCGTTGAGTGGCTGGACAAGCCTAAATTTGATTCTGGTACGTGCTACTCCCCCCCCTGGATACCTGTCGAAAGTATAATTTGGCAAGGGGATCTTACCAGGTCTTAAACCGATCAACTTACCGCGGTACAGTAGGTACTAGTATAAGGATTCATTCAGCCTTGAAAAGCATCTGTGAGCCAGTATTTAGTCTGTGCAATGGAGGTGACAGGGCTTTAAGCCATTCAGAAATCGCCGCTCGACGATTTATGGAGCTCAACTGGGTCCGACACTTATTCATGGGGTGGGGGATGGTACTACGTATCTCTGGGATTGATTACAACGTACGATGCAGGAACAGAGATGCTGGCCGCACGAGGGCTTGGATGCATGATCGTGGTGTCACTACTCAAATGAGAGAAATGAGAGAAATGAGAGAAATGAGAGAGAGAGAGAGAGGCCTCGTCGTCACCGAGCCTTGGTGCCTTCATAGGTCCAAAGCAGCTGCTGCAAATACCTAACTCATGCCCATGTCCCAAGACCCGGACGGAGGGTTAGGAAAGAGCTTGGCCGGTCGGTCGGATCGGATGGTGAAGACAAAGAGGCGATCGAAAGCTTTTTGGACCCCTGGATTCCACATCCTGGAACCCTGTGGATGGATAGGTAGGTAGGTATCCCTTGGGCGCTCCGTCCCCGTAGTCGTCACACACGGTACCAGAGGACTTGCTTATACGGGAGACGAGGCTTTGTTTACGGAGTCCTAAACCGTGCGCACACGAATGCGCTACACCGTCTTTCAAAACATCCACCGAATTTTGCAAATTGTAGTAGGTGTCCTTCCGCGTGTTTATTCTTGCCGTCCGTAGCTACTTCGTGTTCGTCATTTCCGTATCGAAGTAGTAATCGAAGGATTTTGAACAAGTAAAGCGCTTTTACTGTACCATAGATATGAGCGCGTTCGCGTCGGTCGATACTGGAAGAGCATATCAAAGTTGCGGAACAGACATTTCATCAATGCAGTAACCTGACAGTGCGACCGCCTGCGACTCTGTCCGCTATCGTTATCGGGAGGTCTGGTGGGTGGAGTATGGTTTTGCAAGTCATGGGTAGGATTTCCAAAGCGTAGGAGGCCGATAGTTTTCCTCTGCCTCGAACATACTACGTACGTAGCACAGTACTGTAGTGGAGCACGTTTTTTGCATACCTCAAACTCTTCATACTTAAATTTGAATGCCGCTCTACGCTGCGAATTTTTATTTTTTCTTCTTTTTCCATTGCGTGCCGCATAACCTTTGCAATTATTGACACCGGACTGTAGCTGTAAGTTCACCTTTACTTCAGTCTAAAAAGAAGCCAATTTCGCGCTCAAAGTCTAACAAGCTTTCGGCGCTGGATAACTGTCGATGATCATACTACTAGTAGTAAGTGAACAATTAAGGTAATAAGATTAGTATTGCGCAGCGTACTACGTAGCTTTACGTGCTCTGCATTCAATATAGTTAATTGCTTTCTCCCTCTTGCGTGGCTCACTTCCGTTCACATCTCGCCATCAGTCGAATCTGAACCCGACTCGCTGTCTTTATATTTCTACGGTCATTCGCCATTTACGACGTACTACCCCGCCCTCGCTGTGTTTAAATGTCGGACCCAGTTTGGCTCCATAAATCGTACAGCGGTGTTTTCTACAGTAAATAGCCTAAAACCCTAGTAGTCAGTGCGCTGCCTGTTTACTGCGGGCGCTCGGTAACCGCAGGTAAGCAGGCCACACTTTAAGACGGGCAGCGCACTACCTACCGGTATTACTTATCAACTCTCCGTGCTGCACAAACTACTATAAATACTTACGGAGCAGATTCTCTTCACGGCTGGATTTGTGACGTCACAAGAATACTGCTTCGAGCCCGGGTAAGAGCCCTTGCAAAAATATAGTAGTAGTAGTAGTAGTAGTACCTTCGATATGTATGCTTAGGGGGGATAGCAGTACTGAGTAGCAACCTGACCTGATGAAGAAATAGCTTCAGTTCAGCTTCTACGCTCGGCCCGGCTTTTTCAATCCAAGGGCCGAGGCCGCCTACTTCAGGGCCAGCGCACGGAAGAAGTCAGCGCTAGCACACGTAGAGCGGCATTCAGTTTAAGGTGTTAAGGGCATGCCGAAAGTATCCCATGCCTCGTACTACTGCAGTACCTACTGTACGTACGAGGCATGGGATACTTTCGGCCCGTGTGAGAAGCGCGCGACTGACTGAGAGTAGCCGATACGGCGCACGGTTACCCCGAATCAAGTACACCAAGGAGCGGCTGCGAACTGCCAGTACGTAGTAGTACAGGAGAAAGCTTCCCCATCTTTCTCTTTCTAAGTACTGTAACGGAGTATCCTCTGCCAAGCAAGGTCTGGAGTCGATGCAATCCGAGCGCCCAGCTTTCACATCTACTACCGGTACTTCCCAGAGAAGAGGTCGAGATACAAGTACGTGTCGGTCCATTCCGCTCTTCGTGACACATCGCGAGAGTGGACGGCGCAGATACGTAAGTAGTACTCGGGCGCGTGAGCCGTAAAGGCGTAAAGGGGCTGGCTACGAGATGCCTTTGGTCCGTAGACCCCGTCAATCTCTCGGAAGGAGCAGAGCTTCTTCTGGCAGATCAGAATAGCGCTCAGGCCGCTTGCCCTACTTATCTTACTCTGTATGCAGTCCCCTCGACAGGCTGAAGAGGATGATAGGTACTGTAGCACCCTCTCCTCCGAGGCCTCTCCGCCGAGGCAGTCGTCCGTCTGAATGCGGCTGTACTCTCCAGCCCCCCTCTTCGCGCCCAGGTGATACAGTAAGTAGGAACGAGTGCTTGCCATCGGCGAGTATCAAAGAGAGTTTGGGAGCCGATGTTGCCACTTGGATCAACTTACGTGATAATTGAGTTACGGAACAGTTAGGTTTTCCGGCCCATCACGGAAACTAGCTTCATCGAGCAATGCTTTTACCAAGTACTGTACTATAGTACGATCTCCCGCTCCGTATCGCTGAACGTGGTAATGGTATCAAAGTACTGCTCGATTAAGGTAGTTTCCGTAGTGGGCCGAATGCTTCACCGGTCCGAACCCTTCCAATCAATTAGCTAACAGCATGGGCTCTGGAAAAGGAGGCTTTCGGAACCCAGTGATGGGTTAATCTGGAACGGCTTCGATACGGTATCGTGGTACAACGTTCCACTACAACGCACGTCGTGTTGGTACCCTACTCGAATCGATCAAACGCGGGGGCGTTTACGGAGCAAAGGCCAAAGCACAGATTACAGAGCTTTGAACTATATCCAAACCAAACCCACTGGGATATCGCGATAGTGCATCATTATGCATAAGCAGCTCCGCAGGACCTGCTCGGCGGGTACTGACTGCACCCTTGGCGGTGGCGTTGACTCTCTCAACTTAAGATAACTCGGTGAGTTGAGCCTGGCACCGAAACTTCCCTAGGTACCGTACCGGTATTACTGTACTTGCTGTAGTGGTTGTCGTTAAAGTTGTGTGTAGATTACACCTTGTTCAAAGCACATCTGGGCAAAAGGCCTCAACGCGTCCAATACGTAGTATCTAGGACCCGACATCAAACTCTTGAGCATGCTCTTTACTGTATTGCTCCAAACTTCACCGACTTCACGGGGTGTGCTAGCGCTCCCCATCCATCCGTAGTACTGGGTCCTGCGCGCAGATCCATGGGCTGGAAGACGCAGGATGTTATTGTGAGCTGCGTCGGGCATCACCAAAATACTACCTCAGATACTGTACAGCAGCAGTTAAGACAGGCAAGCAGCTCTTGCATCGTTCAAATGTCCTGGTCAATTGATTGGAAGCTCAGGCCTCTCCTGCCTACAGGGACGAAGACTTTGCTTCTTTCTCCTGATCTCCTTACCTTGTTTCAAATGCAAGCTGCAGATCTATTACACAGCTCGGTACAACGGAATCTGATACATTTTTTGCTTTTTGCAGACATATCCTAGGTTGGTCCCTCGGTATTCCTTTTTTGTTTCGAATTCCTCGCTTAGCAGTGTACCTTTCGAGCATACGTGACGGAGTCCTGGCGCAATGGCTCAATCTACTCGCGACGGTTCCAGCGGAACGGCACGGCCTTTACAGTCGTCTACGGTATCGTCGCCAGCTTCGACATCTCAGACCCATATTGGCCGGGAATGTCATGGCAGCTGAACAGACGTCTTGCCCTTTCGTATTTTCGACTCGCTGTCCCGTTGCCGGTCGAGCGATTGCCGGATTCTCCTCCTCCCAAGCCTCCTCTCCTGCGGTGTTTACTCGTAATGAGCGATCCCCCCGATGTTGGGTTCGGTAAGCGGTGGTCGAAACGAACCCGCTTTACGAATACATCGTGATGCTTTGAAAACAATGGTCTATACTGGGCTGAGCTGAAGTTCGGAGCGTCATTAAACAAATCCGTTTGCAACGAACGGGTGACCGGGAACACGGCCATGAGATCACTATCTCTCGTTCTCACGCATCCTCCAACTCAGATGTAAAGGATGGTCGATCCTTTCTCCATTCCGACTCCTCTACTAGTATGATATTATTGTTCACAACAATTTGTAAACAGTTTCTTGATTTCGTCTCCAGATCTCGGCCTTCGGGTGAGATTTCTTGATCATCGCTAATCATATACCATGTATGTACATACGGTAGAAACTGACGCTCAAACCATTGGCCCGCTTACTTCAAAACGACAACATGCAAAGATTACCGTCTGAAAAAAGAGCAGTCCGGAATCCTCTAAGCGAGACCTCTCACCAGGCAGTCAATCTCATCCACAGCGTTCTCTTCGCAACCAATCGCAACCATAAAGCATCGCGGAGTGTATCTCCGTCCAGCGATTTCCAGGCCTCCATCGCCACACTCCCATGCACGATCCCATCCTCACTTGAAATATTCCGCTGTCAAGCAGCGCCTCGCCGCATTTGCCGCCCGCGCATCACATCCCGAGCCCGTTCCAATCCACGCGCTCCCCGGAATCGAAAAATCTCGCGATTCCATCGCAAACTCACATTTCAACAGAGTCTCTGCGCCCGACGCACATAGGATGGCGGCATCTCGATCCCCAGCGACGGGCGACCCGTAGACCCAGGCAGCACACACCACGCGTTTCCGGACGAGAGACAGGCCGGCTGACGACCGCGCAGCTCGATCTTGTCTCTATTCGCGGTGATGATCGCAGGATCTAGATCCTTAAATACGGAGGGGTCTCCGGCGTGTGGGTTTTCTCCTTCGCGCAAGTCCTCCGCTGCTACAATTCGCCTTCCGGCATCCGAGTCTACTGCGCAACATGCATCCGGTCTGGGCCTTCTACTACACCACGATCTATCGTCACGCCACTCTCAAAGCCTTCCAATCCCGGAGACGCGTCGATTGATCGATCGATCGATCGCTTTCGTCGGATTGAACCGCGCCGGTTTCTCTCTGAGCTCGGCACCCCCGAGAATGGACGTCCAGCTGATCCTGGGCCACCTGGGAATCGCGTGCTACTGGGCGCCGCTGTGCGAAGCCGGCTTCGAGAGCTGGGAGGTGCTGCAAGACATCACCGAGGCGGACATGTAAGACGGGCACTTTTTTTTTCTCCCCCTCCCCTCCGGCCTCCGGGCTACCTGTAGCCTCGCCTCTCCTCTGCTGACCAGTCCACAGGGGCTCGATCGGGATGAAGCTCGGCCACAGAAGAGTCCGTCGTCCCAAAACTCCTCGCATGCGATCGCGAAGAAGATCTTTTGGGGGCGAGTGAGACTGACCCGTCTTCAGAAACTGCAGAGGGAGATCGCCACGTCGCGAGGAGTCCCGCCAAACGCGACCCTGGAATCATCCGTGTCTTGCTGCTGCTGCTGCTGCTGCTGCCGTCTTGCTACCCGGCAGAGTGCGGGCGACAGCGCTATAAGGGCAACCAACGGCGCTCATTGATGGGTTCTCTGTCTGCGTGCATTACGTTCTGCCGGCCCAGGTCTCTTTCCGCGCGTGCTGCTTCCAACCATCACTCGCCTCGCTCCTTTCTCCTAACTCATCGATCGGGTATCCAGGCGACAGCATGCGATGGATACAGTACGTCCAGGCCTTCCCCGGACCCCAGCGACGAGTCGCTCGAGAGGAACCCCCGCGATCGGGGCGAGGCGTGCGAACACGGACGGGTCTCCCCTAGGGTACATTTCATCAGCGGTAGTTTCTGCTCGGCCTCTGCTGACCGGTCTCTGATCGGCCGCCGAATAAGAAGAGCTTCCAAACCCTTCCTTTCTTGACCGACCGACCCTATTGTGAACCTACCCGTCCGTGTGCTTGCATTGTGCACGGATTGGATCTTTCTCCTATGACCAGTCTTCTATCTCGTCTGCGTGTACTAAGTAACGCTAGCGTGGTCGAGTCGGGAGTTGTTAGTAAGCATCTCTCGGATGGACCCGCTTGGTATCCTCTTGCTCGCTTAATGTTGTTTGTTTACGGCGCACTCGCTCCGCTCTGCTGCGTTGCAGGGGCATCGAGACAGCGGGGGGGGGGGGGGGGGGGTGGGGGGNAGAGAGAGAGAGAGAGAGAGAGAGAGAGAGT